CACGCCCACCAGCCAATCAGGAGCGGGTATGAAATTAACTCCAAACAAGATGGCTGCAGCCACAGAGTGAGCAGGAGGCTTGGGTTTCCCCAGCAATGGAAAAAGCCAAGCTTTCCACACACCTTGTCAGGCTCAGGCCTCCACTCAAGGCTACAAAGTTTCAATTATAGAAGATAAATAAATCCCAGATACCAGGGCCTCCACTTGGGTTGCCGGGGAGCATGGCTGTCCTGCAAACCACCACAGTCCCCTCGCTCAGGCTGCCCCATGCTTCTATCCTATCTAATAAAAGAGTAATATGCAAATTGACTGTCACTCCAACACACAAATGGCTGCCCCTATGTAGTCAAAGATCCTGCCCCCATGTGGACACAAGATGGCTGCCACAAGATGGCCAGCAGGGGAGGGCAGTTGGGAGGGACCAGGCCTGCAAGGGAAGGCAGTTGGGGGTGAACAAGCCTGCAGGGGAAGAGCGTTAGGGGTGACCAGGCTGGCAGAGGTGGGAAGTTGGGGGCAACTGGGCCTGCAGGAAGGGCAGTTGTGGGGGACCCTGGCCTGCAGAGGAGAGCAGTTTGGGAGTTCCAGGCCTGCAGGGGAGGGCAGTTAGGGACAAACAGGCTGGCAGGGGAGCAGTTAGGCATCATTTAGGCTGGCAGAAGAGTGTTTAGGGGGTGATCAGGCTGGCAGGCAGAAGAGGATAGGGGCAATCAGGAAGGCAGGCAGGCGAGCAGTTTGGATCCAACAGTTCTGGATTGTGAGAGGGATATCTGACTGCCCGTTTAGGCCCGATCTTACCAGGCAGGATCATTCCCAGATTGGAGAGGGTGCAGGCTGGGCTGAGAGACACTACCCCCCCATCCATGAATTTCATGCACCAGGCCTCTAGTACATTATAATTGTCTACAGTCTGTAGTACACTAATGTGCTACACAGGTTGGATACTAGAAAATATAGGGGAATAGAACTTGCCACCCCAAAATATGTCTTTCTGGCATAAAAATTACTTTGGGCTGATTAAGAAACAGCAGACTTCGGAGAGGCTCTGAAAACAAATAGAAATTAACCTTTAAAAAAGACTTTTACATTTGTAAGGGAAATTTGCATTAGCAAGGCTTTTTCCCTAGCATTTCAGAAAGAAGTTAATGACCTTGTCTCTAGAAACTCTTACCAATGCAGAAGGCAAATCTTAAATTTGTATAATATCCTTATCCTTATTTTACTGTGTTTTTTCTAATAACCTCCCATAACTGATTCACTCACTTAATATAAGAGGTAGTTTTAACTTAAAAGTGATACTTGCAAAAATAGAACAATGCTCCTATACTTCTACAATGGCTATTTTAATTACACTTTATTAAGAACTTTAATTGTATTTACTATGAAAAAATCTGTAGCCAAAACAAAATACATTCAACTCCCTTTAAAATTGCATTCTCTTATTAATAAAACAGAAACAATGTTATGATTGCAATATTTAAGTTGTTAAAATAAAAGAATAAATGGAAGAAACAATAATTTAACTGCATTGGAAACAAAGTCCAGTCCAAAGTTAAATGGAAACATTTTGTTTTTCTTGTTAAAGAATGCAATTTCTAATTTCAGTTGAATGATGATTTGTACCTTAGTGATGTTTGGCTCCTCCATCATAGAATTTTTGATGGTTTCACAGTTGTCCTCTAATGACTTCATCAAGAAAGAATAATCACATGACAAAGAGTAAGATGCAATGTAACATGCAAAATACTAGGGATATTTTTTTAAATTATATTTTTCGCCAAATTTAGTAATATTGGACTGAGTTATTATTTTTAAAATTTCATATATCTTAGAAGAAGCATGTGTGTGGGTGCAAAATAAGGGATTAGGAAAAACTTAATCCCTCAAGATTCATTAACAACCACTATAAATTTTATTCAACCTCCTAAGAAATTTTTACTCACTTAACTTTGAAATGTTGATACTAAAGCCCAAGTACTTTATATTACAAATTTCAGAGCTAATGGTGCCAGAGTACTATCAACTGAAAATTAAAGTCAAATTGTTCTCTTATACAGTACTATTTCTTGTCTCCTCACTCTTCATGAAAACATCACGATTAAAAATTTTTTATTTCTAGTTCTCTAATTCTCACTTTGTCTTGATTGAGGCAGAAATACTCAACAAACTGCTTGGAAGCATACATGAGTTTTTTGTGTGTGAAATAGTAAAAGTACACTTACTTTTTATTAATTTAGTATATGTGTATCCAACAACATACTAATACTATCATAATAAGGTTGTTATTTAAAGGTGTAGAGTCTCTTTTTCTCTCTCATTTTTTTAAATTGTATTGGGGTGACAGTGGTTAATAAAATCATATAGGTTTTAGGCACACATGCTCCTTAAAAGGAAATATTAACACTAGTTGAAGCAAGAGCTGGTTCAAGACCTTTAGTTTTTCTCAGAAAACAAAAGTAAACAGAAAAAGGAATCAGGGTGCCAAGATTTTTTTTATTTGCTCAGGAATGATTTAGATGTAGTCTATTTGTAGCTATCTGCACTTAATTTCTAAATAAATACAAATAAAGAAGGCCTTCTGTTTTAAAAATGCATCTATCACTAAAAACTACATTATATAGGAAAGGAAAGATCTGAGAACACAATAGAATTTTAACATCAGGTAAAGAAAATTTCATTTTCAAAGACATAAAGGAATAAAGAACAGAAGCACTTACAAAATATTCTCCATTATCTGCCATCTAATAACTACCGTTAATCATGCCAAGTTTTTAAATAAGTTAAATGTACTGGTTAAAACACAGCAAAGTGAAAGGTATTATAGTCATTTTGCAGATTAAAAAAAAAACAACACATTAAAATACTTAGAAAATATTTAGCTTACTGATAGAGATACAGCTTTTATTCCAGTATTCATATTACTGCTTTTGATTAAAATGGTTATAATAGAAAAATAACTTTATTTATCTGCTATCTTTCCTTACTCACTCTGGCTTCCTTATGTTAGTCTATCTACTTAATGATTCTATCCCCTAATTCTATTGGACAATCTAGTGATACAATAATCTTTTATTTTGTTTGTTTTGAGAACTATTTCATTTTACAAATATACTAAATGTATCAGAAATAGAGAAATGTTTTATTTTTACAGTTATAGTAATCAAACATGACAATGTTTTTTTAAAAACGATTTTGTACTTGAAGTTATTATCTCAAATTTACATATTCATATAACAAGATAATCAGAGAAAATGAAGTAAGCACAGTAAACATGCTTTTTATTCATAGCAACCAACAGTGCTTTATACACTATTATTAGAATACTTTAAGTTATAATAAATTATTTAGGCAAACATATATTTAAAATAAGAAACAATGCCTTATCTGTAAACTTATGCTAATTAGTCTGACACTCTTATCTAGTAAATCCACTTTTAATTTTATTCATCCCAAAATTTGCTTAAACTGTTTTAATAGTACTTCATATGCTAAATATTTAAGATATAGCTTACTTAAGGTTATATAGAAATACATTTGTATTGTATCTATTGGGTTTATTATTTGCTCAGATTTCAATATTATACTAAGGTACATATGTTAAGTCTTTTAAATTAGCAAAAACACTAAATATTGTTTCTTGGCCTGGCTAATATAGATATATTTATGTAAATAGGCAAATAGTAATTAACAGCATGTACAATTGCCTATAATAAATTAGTGCTTAGACTGAGAGACAATGAATTATATGTAATTTTCCTTTTTTCAATGAGGTTAGATGTCATCTTGCTTTTTGCTATCTTGTCTATTAAAAAGCCATTCTATTTTCTAATTTATCCAACTGAACTATCATCCTTTTTTCCTTCAGACAATTGAGGGTATCACAGACCAGTTGCCAGTCTTGAACACTTTTCTGGTCCATAAAAAGATAAGGAATTAACAAAATCACTAAATCCACTGTTTATTTACCCTATATTTTTTAATAGCAAAATTGTCTCAATGAAGGAAACAAAATGTTAATTTACATTCAGGTACAAGTTTCCCATTACAACAAATTGAAAGTTTTTAGTAGCACTGAATTGAGAAGAATCGTTATAATGATAACATCGAGGTATAATCAACCTATAAACTAGAGTTTGCAAAATTTCATTAAGCAGCATAATCAACAGAGTAAAAAAAAACATATATGAATGTACATATTTGAAATGTTTTCAGTATATGAATCTAGTTTCAATTAAACTTATAAGATAAACTTCTTTTAACTGTCATATGAAAATCATGGGAACTTTCTACTTTGTCTCTTAAATTGTGATCATGACAGTTCAAAAGAGGAAACAAAGATACAGAATCTTAACCAATATCTGATATCTGAATTAGTTACTTTAAATAGATTTAAGAAAATACTGACCCTCTTTCTTTCTTATTCAATTACTTTTCTATATACATTAACTGCATAGGATATCTTTATGATATAAAAATTAGTTTTATTTTATTATTTAATATATTTTATTGATTTCAGAGAGTAAGGGAAAGGGAGAGAGATAGAAACATCAATGATGAGAGAGAACCATTGATCTGCTGTCTCCTGCATGCCCACTACTGGGGACCAAGCCCAAAATCGGGGCATATGCCCTTGACCAGAATGGAACCTAGGACCTTTCAGTCTGCAGACCAACACTTTATCCACTGAGCCAAACTGGCTAGGGCAAAATTATTTTTATTTTTATTTTTTTTATTTATTGATTTGAGACAGAGGGGGGAAGGAGAGAGAGAAACATCAACTTGTTTCACTTATTCATGCATTTATTGGTTGATTCTTGTATGTGCCCTGAACAGGAACCAAACCCCTAATTTTGGTGTGTTGGGATGATGCTCCAACCAATTGAGTTAACCAGCCAGGGTTAAAATGAGTTAAGTAGTCTATAAAAGGCAACCTATTCTTTATGGCTACATAATATAAAAGATTTCAATAACAAAACAGTAAGCAGGTTTTAACTAATACCAACCTCATTTAGGCACCTTTTCTTTGTAAATATATTTCTGATAAAGGTTTCCTGAATTTCTTCTTGCTTCACCAAGTACTGCCAAAGTCTTTTCACAGACAGTGCCAGGTGGTGTTTGGATCTATAGAGAAACAATATATTTAATTATACATCTAAAATTCTGATTAACTTGACTATATCTACTTAGTATTATATAAGTGTTTATAATAATAATTAACTATTAGAATCAGACCAAATCATCCTGGGCTGCAATCAGTACTAATAGACTTTTTCTAAAGGGAATGGATGGTAAATATTTTAGGCTCTGTAGGCCACATGGTCTTTCATACTATTACTCAGCTCTGCCAATGAAGTGAGAAAGGGGCAGAGATGATATTAAAATGAAAGGGTATGGCTGTAATCCAATAAAACTTTATTTACAATATAGGAGGAAGGATGAATTTGGCCCATAGGCTGCAGCCTGCTGACCCCTCACCAAGAAGAGATCTACAAGCAGAGCTACTAAAAGTGTTGTCTGTGAACACATACCAGTCCATGAAATCTGTTACTGATGTACAATGAGGTAACAGATTAAGAAGAAAATGTAAATGAACTAGATTAAGTCACTATAGTAAGACTTTGATGAAGCAAGCACTGCACTGATTTACCTTTTTCACCTCACAAACAGCAATCCAGTTTGCTGGCTATTTTGAATAGCACTGCTTGAGAGTGGGTGTGTAAACTACAAGCCTGCCTTCCATTTTCAAAAATAAAGTTTATTATGTAACAGCCATGCCCATTCACTTACTACTTACAGTTCATAGTTGCTTTCACTATACAATGGCAAGGCTGAATAGTTGCCACAAGAACTGTAAGGTCCCTAAAGCCTAAAATATTTACTTATTTGGACCTCTGCAGGAAATATTTGCTACCCTCAGGACTATAATAGGCATTACACAGAGACACAGAGATGAGCCTAGAAGAGCATATTATTCATAAAAATACTTAAATATTTTTTCTTCAAATACTACCTGAATCCACTCTCGATTTAGTAAAACTCATACTTAAAAACAATATCCATAGTAAAACCTACTTGAAAGGAGTGTTTGTAGGTTCCAGCAAAGCTTTATGGCGGAGAATTGCAGGACCTGCAGACAAACTCTCTTCAGAAGTATAACTTGCAATATAGTTTTGAGGGGGGCCACCATGGACTTCAAGACGTCGGAGAAGAACTTGTTCCCAACACTGAAGAGTTTTTAGAACTGCGTGACAAAGTGGTGAACTAACAGGAAGCTCTAAAATGAGAAAATAAAATTGACCCGCATTTATCTTCTGTAGTAAAATGCTATATTCAACTGTAAGAATGACTGAGATATTAACACACATTTCGTCAGAGGTGATGTGAAAGAGGAGGGCATAGAATTCTAGAGTATAAAAAAAGGATACCACTCAGCTGGTGTGGCTAACTGGTTGAGCGCCAACCTCTAAACTGGAAGGTCAATGACCAGGTTACAGGCTTGATCCCTATTAGGGAGCATGCAAGAGGCAACTGATCAATGATTTTCATCATTGATGTTTCTCTCTCTCTCTCCCTCTCTAAAAGCAATTACAAAAAAAAAAAAAAGTATTTTAAAAAAGGATATTATAAATCTGTGTAACATTTCAGCATAATTAGGTGGCCAAGGACAATAACCAAAAATGGGCAATCTAAGTCAAAATTACATCAAAGATTTACAACTACTACTTGGAGTAATATTTATGATGTAATTTAATTGACTGCTATGTCAATTACTGCTTTTACTTTAATTTCACATAAAATTTTTTACCTGAATATTATAAAACTACTAGAGGCCCGGTGCACAAATTTGTGCACAGGTGGGGTCCAGCCGACCCAGCTCCGATTAGGGCAGATTGGGGCTGAGCCTGTAGGGAGGAGGAGATGGCAGAAGGTTGGCAGGCCAGCCCACCCTTCAATTGGGGTTGGGGAGCTGACTGGGGGTGGGGCCAGGCCAAGGGGAGGGGCTGTGGGAGGTGGGCTGGCTGGCCCTGCCCCCAAGTAGGGTTAGGGGATACTGATCAGGGGCCAGCAGCCTGGGGGAGGGGCCATGGGTAGTTGGTTGGGGGGCCCTGCCCCTGATGGGATAGGGGGCTGATCTGGGGTGGGGACATGCGAGGGGAGGGGCTGCAAGAGGTTGGCAAGCCGGCCCTGCCCTCTATTGGTGAGGGCAGGCTGGGGGGAGGGGCTTCTGGCCAATCAGGGTAGTGAGGACACATCAGGTATGTGGCCAGCCAGGGAGAGGGGCTGCAGGAGGTTGGCCAGCCAGCCCCACTCTCTATTGGGGTTGAAGATTCCATCAGGAGCAGGCAGACCTGGGAGGAGGAGCTATAGGCCTATTGTGGTGGGGAGGGCTGATCAGAGACAAGGCTGGCTGGGGGGAGGGAGGGGGCACTTAGTCAGAGGTCCACTCTTGATCAGGGTGGGAGAGTTTGATCAGGGGCAGGCCAACAGCAGGGAGTGGCTGTGAGGTTGGCCGGCTGACCCCACCCTTGATCGGGCCTGTTTGCTGGCCACAGTGAGCATCATAGCAACTAGTCATTATGGTTTTTATGGCTGATATGGTCACTGGCTTTTTATATATAGAGATGTCTGGGAAGAAAATTAATTGCTTTAACCTTTGTATCAGCCCAATGTCTGTATAGCATATAACTACAATTTGCTTAGAAAATTAAATAATTCACAAAAGTTAAAAAAAAAAATTATGTAATACTATGAAATGCAGCAACTTCCGGTTCTACACTTCTATACTCTTGAATCCTGATCCTATTCTCAACTTTTAGCTTTTTACCTACAAAAATCTAAACATGCTCATACTGTGAATTCTTAATCTTTTAATTTTAGAAATGACCTTCTGATATACTGCTATAGAATATAAGAATAAACTTCTCTCTCCATCATTCCAATATAATCACATAATAATTTTTTATTAAATTGGCATTAGTTTTCAGATATGTATATATTAAATACAGATCACAGATGAACCACTTGGTATCCTAACATGCCTCTTTCTTTCCTATATTACGTTTGTTTCCTCCCTTGGAGTTAATGACTAACTTTTCACATTTACTTAGTTTTCTATGTGTCTGTCCATCACTATTAAATCTCCCAATATCTCAGCTGTGGCTATAAATACAGTCTCAATAAATTCAACCACATCAGATTCAAATTTCCTGGTTTCTGGTACTCCTAAGAGCACTAACAAGGTGGCAGACATATCTATAGATGGTTGGTTTAGTTAACAAAAACCTATCTTCTACAATAGGAAGTTATTTAATTTTTTCTCCATTATTTGAAAATATACAAAACAGTAAATCAAAAGCAATGGCAATATTAATTCATGTTAAAATATTTTTTAGCCCAGCTGATATATCTCAGTGGTTGAGCATCAGATCATGCACCAAGAGGTTACCAGTTTGATTTCCAATAAGGGCACATGTTTAGGTTGCAGGCTTGATCCCCAGAAGGGGGCATGTAGGAGGCAGCCAATCAATATTGATCTCTCATCAATGTTTCTCTCTCTAAAGAAAAATAATAAAAATATATTTTAAAAAATAAATAAAATATTTTTTACCTGCAAGATCGTGACCTGCAAAGGGATAGAAAGTCTTCAAGTTGTTGAGTACCAATTGCACCATTGCCAAGCGCATCAATGACCAACTAAAAATAAAGCCAAAAGTAGATTTGTTAATTTTTACTCAGGGATTTATAAGAGTAACTACTCTCTGACCCAACAATTCCACTACTAGTAATTTATCCCGATTATATACTTCCACAAAAACAAAAAGAAAACACATATGCATGTAGTACTCAAGTCTGCATTATCTACAATAGCAAAAGACTAGAAACAATCAAATTATACATCAAGAGGGTACTGGTTAAATATCTAAAGTTCTGTAAAACAGAATATTAGGGTAGCCATTTTAATATGTTAAGTGCCCAGCCTGTTTTGTCTTCCAGAGGGAAAGTATAGTGTCAGTCACCAGTGACTAACAGGGCTTAAATGTGTTAAAGAATGTTAAAGAAAGGATCTTTAAGTATTAATATGGTGTGAACTCCAGTACATATTGACAAATAAAAAGTTATAGAACACTACATATAATATGCTACCTAAAGGGGAAATATATGATTTCACACGTACACACACATGCTTAATTCTGCAAACAGAAAAATAAGCCAGAAATTGGAGGTTGTAGAAGAGAAATTAGCTGGAAGAGAGAAATGGTGAGACTTCTGATTTCACATTTTTATACAGCTTTGTTTTTACTAAAGGCCCGGTGCACAAAATTCATGCATGGGGGGGAGAGGGTGGTGGTGTCCCTCAACCCAACCTGCACCCTCTCCAATCTGGGACCCCACCGGGATCGGGTCTAAACGGGCAGTTGGACATCCCTCTCACAATCTGGGACTGTTGGCTCCCAACTGCTCACCTGCCTGCCTTCCTGATTGCCCCTAACCACTTCTGCCTGCCAGCCTGATTACCCTCTAACCACTCCCATGCCCCGCTTGATTGATGTCTAACTGCTTCCCTGCCAGTCTGTTTGGCCCTAACTTCCGTCCTCTTCCAGTTTGGACACCCCTAACTGCCCTCCCCTACAGGGTTGATTACCTCCAATTGCCCTTCCTTGTAGGCCTGGTCCCTCTCAGCTGTTCTCGCTTGCAGGCCTGGTGCCTTCCAACTGCACTCCCCTGCTGGCCATCTTGTGGGGGCCATCTTGTATCCATATAATGGCAGCTATTGTGTGTTGGAGTGATGGTCAATTTGCATATTGCTCTTTTATTAGATAGGATAGAGGCCTGGTGCACAGGTAGGGGCCAGCTGGTTTGCCCTGAAAGGTGTCCCGGATCAAGGTGGGTGTGGGGTGGCCTGAGCAAGGGGCCTGTGGTAGTTTAGAGGCCAGCCACTTCCCCTGGCAATCCAAGCTGAAGCCCTGGTATCTGGAATTTATTTACCTTCTACAATTGAAACTTTGTAGCATGGAGCAGAGCCAAGGCTACTGCTTGTTCCGTAGCTGGCAGCCATTTCTATTTGGATTTGTTTACCTTCTATAATTGAACCTTTGTAGCCTTGAGTGGAGGTCTAGGCCAGCAAGGGCAGGCAGAAAGGTTGGCTTCCTCCATTGCCAGAGAAACCCAAGCCCCCTTCCTGCTCTCTGTGGCTGAGCCATCTTGGTTGGGTTTATTTGCATACTCGCTCTGATTGGCTGGTGGGTGTGGTTGATGGGCGTGGCTTGTGAATGTAGTGGAGTGATGGTTGATTTGTATATTGCTCTTTTATTAGTTAGAATTTAAAAATATTTCAGCTTCTCTTTTATTTCAAGTGACACATTTATTTCTTAAAGTAATGGCTTTTTATTTCTTTCAGTTGTGGTAAACTAATCATAAAATTTATCATCCTAATTATTATCAAGCATACAGTTAAGTTGCATTAAATATATATTTATATTGTGCAACCATCTATTTCCAGAATCCTTTTCATCTTGTAAACTGAAGCTCTATATCCACTGAGCAAAAATTCTCCAATTCCATCTTCTCCTAGCCCCTGGCAACCACCATTCTATTTTCTGTCTATGAATTTGATTTCTCTAGGTATCTCATATAAGTAAAATTATACAGTACTTTTCTTTTTGTGGTTTAATTTGCTTAGCATAATGTTGTTGAGATACATCCATGTCATAGTAACATGTATGATAATTTCTATACTTTTAAAGACTGAGTAATATTTAATTGTACATCTATATCACATTTTGTTTATGCATTTACCTGTTGATAGATACTCAGGTTGTTTCTATCCCACTGGCTATTATGAATAATGTTGTTATGAACATGGGTGTACAAATACCTGTTTAATAACCTGCTCTGTATTCCTTTGGGTATATACCAAGAATCAAATTGATGGATCATATAATTCGATTTTTAATTTTTAAGGAATTGTCATACTGTTTTCCATGATGGTTGCACCATTTTACTTTCCCACCAACATTGAATAGGGTTCCAGTTTCTCACATCCTTGCAACACTTTTATTTTCTGGATTTGTTTTTTTTCTATAGTAGCCATCTCAATGGGTGTGAGATCATCTTTCATAGTAATTTTGACTTGTATTTCCCTATTGATTAGCTATAGTGAACAATTTTTTTCATGTGCTTTTCAATAAAGGAGTACTTCATTGGTCATTTGTATAACTTTTTTTGGAAAATGTGTATTCTAATCGTTTGCTGATTTTTAAATGGGATGAGCTTTTGTTGCTGAGTTACACAATTTGATTTTTGAGCCATGTTAATATTATATATATTAAAAATTAGATAAACAGGAAGAAATCAACACTTTAATAAAATCAAGATAATATATCAGCACTCCTACATGTAAGAATAATACTCATTGAGGGTGAATGTTTTGAACATTTATGATCCTTATCATATATGGAAATAATTTTTAAAACCATGATCACTGACATATTAGCATACTAATGTTTACTTAAAGACATTAGATTTTCTAGGATAAAACAGTGGGATTTATTTATATTAGGAAGCAAAGGACAAAGAATAATCTGATAGCAACATTTCTGAGGACTAATAAAAAGTACAGGTCACCTATGGAATTATTAAGAAAGGGAATTTACCAATTTCAATTAAAGAAATCTAAATTAAATGTGTTATACTAGGTGTATCAGCTAATAATGCAGATTTTTTTCAATAAATGAAGTTACACATGTTGATAAATATGCGATTTGATATGTATGCTATTGTGTTGTATTGACAAGCTTCAAAACTTCATATGTCAAATTTTCTGAAGGTGTTAACATCATTTAACACTTAAAAATGTTGAATTTTGTGCCAAAAAACAGCATTTGCGGAAAGTTTTAACTCATTACATTATTTTGAAGAAAAGGTTATCGTATACTTCGGGAAGCTTATGGTGAATATGCTCCATTTGGTTTAAATGCTTTAAAAGTGATGATTTTGATGTGAAAGACAAAGAACATCCAGGTCAACTGAAAAAGTTTGAAGACCAACAATTACAAGCACTATTGGATGAAGATGTGTGTCAAACTCAAAAACAACTTGCAGAAAGATTAAATGTTGATCATCAAACAATTTCCAATCATTTACAAGCAATGGGAAAGATTTTAAAGGAAGAAAAATGGGTGCCACATCAACTGAACGAATGGAAAACCGAAAAGTCATCAGTAAAATGTTGTTTTAATGGCACAAAGTATTTCTCGCATCAAATTGTGTGACTGGCAATGAAAAGTGGATTTCTTTTGAGAATCCTAAATGCACAAAATCATGGGTTGATCCAGGTCAACTATCAATATCAACTGCTAGGCCAGATTGCTTCAGAAAGAAGACAATGCTCTGCTTTCGGTGGGATCAGGAAGGTGTGGTATATTATGAGCTTCTAAAACTAGGTGAAACCGTTAATACTGATCACCACTGACAACAAATAATCAATTTGAACCACACTTTGATCATGAAATGACCAGAATGTTCCAGAAGACAAGGCAAAGTAATTTTGCACCATCACACACTTCAAAACCAGTTAAAGACACGTTAAAAGATCTTGCCTGAGAAATATTAACCCACCGGCTGTATTCGCCAGACCTTGCTCCTTCAGATTACCACTTGTTCTGATCGTTGGCATAAGCACTGTCTAAGCAGCACTTCAAAACATAGGAAGAAGTGGAAAATTGGGTCTCTGAATGGTTTGCCTCAAAACTAGACAAGTTCTATTAGGATGGTATCCACAAATTACCTGAAAGATGGGGGAAATGTGTAGCTAGTAATGGACATTACTTTGAATAAAATACTTTTAATGTTTCTCTTGAAATTATCATGTTTTCTTTGATTATAAAATCCGCATTATTAACTGTACACCTAGTAAGTCCTAAGCCACTAGTTTCACATGTACTATTTTCAAAAATATCATATATGACATCATTTAAAAAAAACAAAACTTAACATTAAGTATCCCATACCTGTATGAATTTGAATTAGAATGCTCTTGGAGATGAAAATCTGAAGCTGAAACATCATATTCATCATCATCATCATCACTGTCCACACTCTCCTCTGAATCATATTCTCTACTTAGGGAAGGGGGTAAAAAAGGCTAAAATAAAAAGTTACAGAATTGACCATGAACTATCTGATTTAATACTTTGAATTACATAGTCCAATATTAGCAATTTATCCCATTTTCAGATATTTTGTTATAAGAAGTAAATCCAACATTTAATTTTTTCCATTGATTTCTAGAGAGTAAAAGGGAAGAAGAAGGGAGAGCGGGGGTGGGAAGGACAGGGAGAGAAACAGAGAGATCGAGATCAATGTGAGAGAGATATACTGATTGGTTGTCTCCTGCATATGCCTCTACCAGTGCTGGGGAATCTGCAACTGAGGTATTTGCCCTTGACTGTGAATCAAATCCATGACCCTTCGGTCCATGAGCCAATGCTATAACCACTGAGAAAAACTGAACAGAGCTGCCTCTTTTTGCTTGACATTCTATGCCTTTGACATCACTTTACACAATTTCCTTACTTATTCATTCATTTAACAAAATTTTATCAGGTATCTACTATGTTAAAAAATAAAAAGCATCTTATATAATAAGAGGCTAATATGTAAATTGAACAAACAGCAGAACAACCAGTCGCTATGATGTGCACTGACCAGGAGGGGGCAGACACTCAATACAGGAACTAACCCCTGGTGGTCAGTGTGCTTCCACAGGGGGAGCACCACTCAGCTAGAAGCTGGGCTCATAGCTGGTGAGCTGCAGTGGCGGTGGCAAGAGCCTCTCCTGCCTCCACTGCAGCACTAAAAACCTCTCGGAGGACATCCCCCAATGCCTAACTTATAAATTCATCTTTATCCTAGGTATGTATGTGTAGGAAAAAACAAAATATATGTAATTACGATTTGAACAACATGGGTTTGACTTGTGTGGATTTATTTACATGCAGATTTTTACTAGATCCACATAGTTCAAGCCTGTGTTATTCAAGGGTCAACTTTATTTTTGATCCATGGTTGGCAATTCATGTATGCAGCTGGCTGACTACAGTTGTACGTGAAAATTTTAACTGTGTGTTTTGTGTGTGTGTGTGTGTGTGTGTGTGTGTGTGTGTGTGTGTGGTGAGGGGCTGGTACCTTCTCTGGATTCAGCCTTCCACTGAGGTCTTGGAACATATTCCCCACAGATAAGGACAACTACTGCACATAGTTTAAAAAAGTTGAATAAGAATAGAAAGCAGAGTCTGGACAGTATGGCTCAGTGGTTGAACGTCAACCTAGGAACCAGGAAGTCACAGTTTTATTCCAGATCAGGGCACATGCCCAGGTTTCAGGCTCAATCCCCAGCCGATCAATAATTCTTTCTCACCACTGATGTTTCTATCTCTGCCTGTCCCTTCCTCTCTGAAATCAATAAAACCATATTTTAAAAAATAAAAAGCAGAGAAACAGAATAATTTAAAAATTTGGGGGGTTAAAGCAAGGTTTGGAATGGGAAATAGGAGAGCACATTACTGCCCTGATGGAAGGAGGCAACAGAGAGGAGAGAACTGAAGGCAAGGCAGAGTATAGAAAAAAAGGCAAACATGGGATTCAGAATAAAAATGGGAGTCTTTGATAGGAAGGACTCTTCATAATAACAGGAGGAAAGAAGAAGATGAAAGAAAATACAGTTACAGCTTCATGACAGGAGGATAAAAGAGTTTTGTCTAAATCTATTTTTTAAAGACTTAAGAGATTAGGTTATCAATTAAGAATGAGAATGAAGCCGAAGCCAGTTTGGCTCTGAGCATCGGCCTGCAGACTGAAGGGTCTAGGTTCGATTCCGGTCAAGGGCATGTACTTTGGTTGTAGGCACATCCCCAGTCAGGGGTGTGCAGGAGGCAGCTGATCTATGTTTCTCTCTCATTGATGTTTCCAACTCTCTGTCCCTATCCCTTCCTCTCTGAAAAAAAAAATCAATAAAATATATATTTTTTTAATTATAAAAAAAGAATGAGAATGAAAGTGTGGGAAGTTTGAAAAGTTATACAATCTTGGGCCTAGGGAAGTTTAATAAAGAAACAAAGCAGGGAAGACAGAACTTCTGGAACAACTGAGTAAAGAGGTTTGGTAAATCCTCTTCCCCAAAAGCAATAATAAAATTGCACAAAATTGTCAAAAACAATCATTTAAATATATTAAAAAGTGACCAAATGCATATAACTCATTAAAAAAATATAAAAAATATCTACTGAATCTCTGGTAAAGCAGTCAGAATCTGGCATGTTAGCCAGGGGTTACACTCCTCCCCAGCCCTGCCACTCTGTGGTACAATTGTTCTATCAGGGCCAGAAGCGCAGTCTGTGAGGACTAAGAACTCTGCTTCTTAGCCAATGGAGGCTGACTTTAATAAAATTTCCCTACTTAGTGGCACTGTCAAAAACAACAGATATCTCAATAATAAACATTTAGGGAAAGCTAACATCTATCCTGAGGCTATGATACCGATTGGGGCAAGAGTAGACCAATCAGAAACTTAATAAGAAGATTAGGTACAAGAAGAACATGCTAATCAAGAACCCTATATTCAGCAATCTATGCTTCAAAAATGAAGATGAAACAAAGACATTCAATGAATAATTGATTGTGCAAATGTCCTTCTTTACAATGAAGCATAAAAGATAAGAGAAAAATAAAAATCGCTGCTTAACAGGCCAGGGGGACTGGTGTCAAGAGAAAATAGGGAGATGTCAATTAATACAAGGAAATAAAGAGAACACGCAGAAGCTAAGGATATAAGGAATTAGTCTGATCACAGGAGAAGATATATACAGGAGGACTTGCGTGGAATTAGTGCAGGAATGTAAAAATGTCTAAGCAACCTGGAACCATGCAAAGCAATCTTAATAATCAATGGAAAATTACAAGATTCTGCTACTGTTAAAAATATTTGTCAATACAAACTCTTACGGTCAGCTAGGAAAATAAAAAATATAAAAAATATTTATTTCATACACTGTAAAGCATTAGAAACATTGAGAATTAAAGTACTTTATATTTTTGAAAAAAAATTATTGAATACTTGTCTTCTAAAACAATAAAGCATTTTTTCTAATCTTGACAAACTGTCATAATCCTATCTAAGTTTGTATCAGCTTCCAACATTTTATGCTTTGTGCTTGCAATGTTGTGAAACATTACCCAGAGTTTCTTTAACAGGAAGGTGTTTTTTGTTTGCTTGTTTGTTGCTCATTTCACTATCTGTGGGACATTTTATCTTTTGTCACATTTTTCTCATTTATGTTGCTAAATTGGCCTTAACTAGATTTCTCTAGCTGCAGATCTAGAATCTTTTATATAATAGTAAAGTCAATAATTCCAAAGTTAATTTTTCTATAACTTTACATTTGATTTTAATTTTCACTTCTAGTACTATCCTTTTCATACTTTTTGTTGCCCTTTCATCAATGTTAGCCAATTCCCTCTTCTAATTATCCAATTTTATAAAATGTCACTTGGGTTTATAATGGGAGACAAGGAGGCAGGACACAACTCCTTTTCCTGTCTGTATATGAACTGAACAACAGATACTAAATAACCAACCAACAGAACACGTTAAGAGAACTGCTATGGTTAGTCACTGATCATGAAGTGCATCTGTTATTTTCCTTTTTTTTTTAAAAAATACATTTTATTGTGTGTTTTTTTTACAGAGAGGAAGGGAGAGAGATAGAGAGCCAGAAACGTCGATGAGAGAGAAACATCAACCAGCCATCTCCTGCACACACCCCACTGGGGATGTGCCCGCAACCAATGTACATGCCCTTGACAGGGATCAAACCTGGGACCTTTCAGTCCACAGACCGACGCTCTACCACTGAGCCAAACCGGTTTCGGCTGCATCTGTTATTTTCATTGTAATGTGTGGACTGAAAAGCTCGCAGGGAACTTTGTACTTGATGTAATTACTCATATTTAACATACTGTGTTAACTTAAACTTGAATCATGTTGTTGAGGGGCTAATGTTATTTAATTAAACAGATGAAATTTGTGTATATTAACCAATGCAGGGCTGCCTGTAATATAGAAAAAAAAATTGAGAATATGGATGGCAGTTTAACTTCTTACAGTCTTGGTTCCTTAATTACTACCAAGTACATTGGTATTAAGATGTTAACTAATTTATCTTTTCATCTTAATAAGAACTTCATATAAAATGCAAAAAATCATAACTTAGCAAGGAACTGCCTTAAAACTGGTTGGAAATATAGGCAAAATATTTGTTTTTTGGGGGGAATGTAGCCTGATAAAATGAAAATTTTCTAAACCACAGTGGAAAAACATTTGGAAGCACCAATAATTACACTCATTTTAAACACTTTCATTTCCACTTAACTGTGCAAATATTGATCTGGACAGCACTTTTATTACCTTGGCTATGAAATAGTCCCAGATACTGAGCTCAGGCGGGATGAACTTCTCTTTGACTGTCAGTGACTCCTGGCTCACTGGCGGTGAGGAAGAGGTCGCTGGGGTAGATTCTCTGCCAGAGACTTTTGATGGCCTAAAACGTGTGTTCTGCTTCTCTCCTTCTTCCACTAGAGAAGAAACTAATAAGTACAAAGTAAAGTATTATTATTATTTTCATTGTATAAGACCTAAGGCTATCTATAAATAAGTATACACACAAAACTAAGATTCTTATTATGATAGTAAGGCAAGAAAATTGATAGAGGAAGTGAGACAAAAACTACCTTGAATTTATCTCACTCTCTGTTGACTCATGCATTGTATATATAGGTGGTAGGATATAATATCTGCTTGTAAATGAGCCCCACATGATAGGAAATTATCTACATTGTTGTTTGTTTTTTTAAGAACATCATGGTAACAAAAAAGAATATCATGGGATGTCAATGTTAATTAAAGGCAACAACTCAGGAGATTCTTCAGTAATCACTGGCCTTTTATCTACATATAAAACTACATTTTCAATGAAAATTAAAAAATTCAAACGCGTAACTAATTAAACTGACTCAGACTTTTAGAAATGGTTTGAAAATGGAATTTTGTAGTCAATGGAATAACAAAAAGGTAGAATGTGTAATCTCTATTGTTTTAACTTCAAAACACTTAACAGTTAGTATTCTTTTAGTATTTTAATTTAGAACATTAAAGAAATTAGCATATGCAAATCTTAATGAACACTAAGTCACATATACAAATCACCAGTGAAGAATCAAGGATCTCCTAGACACAGGTATGATCTGATAGGCAAACACCACCACATTGCGGCACTTGAATATTCTCCTTCAATGGTTCCAGTGAGCATGTATTTACCTCCCAAATGAATGCAATAATTGTGCTATAATAAATTTTATCTTATTGTCTGAAGCTACTTGGCTTGCATAAACAGCATGCTCATGCATTATATCAAGCTACAGCCAAGCTCAGTTTAACAGAAAAATTTAGTAATTTCAGAAAAAGGAAATTAAGTTAAATAAAATTAATATTCTAAGACATGGCTAGAAAGTGGTATGATTATTACATAATCTTTCAAAAGGTTTTAAAAGGAACTATTAAATTAAATGTATACTTTTTTCTCTGTTCTTATTAGTAATTGATAATTAACAATCACTTTTCCAACATACTGTTTGCATACATTTACATATATTCTAAAACTTAAACAGTGATTTTTCCAAATTCTCATTAAGTAAAATATTCAGGATATAAATGTTTTTTGTTTTTACTTTTCAAATAATGGTTACAGTTTAACATAAATTTATCATTTAACTTTAACATTACTATTTTGCCTTTGTTTTTAAATTATTAGATGGCTTCATAAAAGCTTTGGAGATCTCTGAAAAATAAAATTTTCTAGCAATGCTAAATTAATAAACGTCATAAAAATGTAGATTAAAAAAAAAAACGTAAGAGGGATTTTAAAATGAGAAAACATTTTAAGTTATAGTCTGTGAACTCAGATAGGCAACATGAAAATAAGAGATTAACCACAGTCGGGGAAAATATTTAAAATTACGGACTCAATCCCAGAATTATAGAACTATTTATCAAAATACTATTAATAAATAAAGACAATAGGGGGGAACATGACAAACAAGTTCACATTACTGAATGTTATACTATCTGAAATGCTATAAAAAAAAAATAACCTGAATGATGCTCCTAGCAAACAAATGGTCTGTAACGTCATTAGGGTAGATGCTCCCTCTCCACCCTCAATTTGCAGCAGGACCTAAAATAATTTTATATTTAAATCAAGTTGGGTTAGAGTGATCATGAAACTTAAGGGCAGCAATAGAAACAATTTGGCTATTGAGTACTCACTGTTTCTTTTTGAAAATGCTAATAAATAAGTATCAAAGATTTCTGCCATTTGGGAGGGCATGTATGGGAGTGGGGGGGGCAATGGAAAGATATGTACACATATAATAAAAGATAGTTGATTAAGAAAAAAAAAGATTTCTGCCATTCCTTGTTTAAAAACTAATACTACTGTTCCATTATTAACGAGGTAAATGGCTACTTTACTAGTGATAAAAGAAAAAAAAATAGTATTAGGGAGAAGTGAAAAAGAACTTTAGGTACAGAACTTATGAATTAAAATAATAAATTTCTTAGTTGCTTTGGATTCACAGAATATACTTTTGAAAAGTGGGCTTCCATGACCAGATTGTGGACTGAACATACAAGAAGCCCTAACTTCATCCTTAACACATTCTGCAGTGGTTTCCTTAGAATTATTGAAGTAACACACAAAAGAACTCAAAACAGAAATTGAGAATGGTTGAGGCTACATATAAGGAATGGACATGGCAGATACAAAGAAGTGAGAAAGACAATTTTTTTTTTATTGTTAAGCTCTTTTCTACTGCTGAATTTTACCACATACTTATACTGCTTTCATTAAAATTAAAACATAAGGAAGGATAATAAGTTAACACTTTTCCAGGTTATTATTTTAAATAAATCAGCTCTAGCCGATGTGGCCTAGTGAATAGAGTACTGGCCTGCGGACTAAAGGGCCCCATGTTTGATACAGCAAAATTAATATTCTGAACCTAGACTTAAATGTTATTTCTTTCAAAAACTGACCTCAAATTAACCATCAGAACCATATCATTCTCCACTTCTCAATCTAAGGCACCCTTATCTATAGGGCTATTCATGAGTGTGCCAGAGTGTGCATAAAGCTTTAGGAGGCATATATTCTGAACTTTCAAATTTAGGTCCAAATTAATTTTGGGAGGGAATATATTCATTCTCCTTTATCATTTGGGGTGTGAGTACTACACATGTATGTGAAGATAAATTTAGTATAAAACAAATTCTCAAAATTCTATGTAAAACGTGATTTTACAAATAAACTTCAAATGATAATAAAAGACAGAATCAGGAGATTAAATAAGCATTGAATTTAAGGTACTTCTTAATCTTCATAGAATAAAATTAATGATAAAATGAAGTCTGGCAGGTGATATTATCAGGTTTTACTAAGACTACTGACTCTCAAGATCTTCCTAGGATCAATACTTCACACAGTACCCTGAACCTGCTTCATAAATGTCCATAAAAATGAACTGATTTCTTAACAAAAAGCAGTGATCTGTGTCTCCAAACCACAGAGCAAGGTAGTCTCCAAGGCAGTTGGTGTCAAAATGATTCAGTGAAATATGGAAGGAAAATATTCAGATTTATTTTTTTAATAAATACAAGTGGGGAAGGAGAAAGCAAAGGAGAGAAAAGGGTAAGAAGGGAAGAGAGGAGTAGTAGAGAAGGAGGAAAAGAGTTGAGGGAAAGAAGAAGGCAAAAGGGGAAGGAGAAAAGAAAAGGGCAGGCAGAAGTAAAAGAGAAGGGAAGAAGAAAATAAAAACACTGTTTAATATCTGGATCGACAACAGTACATGTTTTTATAAATAAATAATGTACATATCTTGGGGTTTTGCTCAAGATGTTTCAAGGAGAGGGTTATGCAATTTAAAAAATGTGGAGATAACTGCCCTCAAGTGCTACTTTTCAATCACCCTGCTGGCTACAATATGGTTCTGTCTGTAGGATTTCAGCTCAAACTCAACAGGCTTACTAAAAATTTGAATGGAGTATATACAGGGTGGGGTAAAATAGGTTTATAGTTGTTTATATGCAAAATAATATAATAATTCATAATAAGAATAAACTCTGTGTTTCATGTACTCACAAATGTAAACCTACTTTTGCACCACCCTGTCTATACAACAAAATACTATTCAGGTGAACAAAAGAAGAAAAATCCTGCCACATGTTAAAACACAGATGAATCTTGAAGACATTACACTAAGTGAAAAAAGACAGTTACAAAAAGGCAAATATTATAAGACTGCCCTATATGAAGTAACTAAAGTAGTCAAATTCATGGAAACAGAAAGTAGAATGGTGGTTACCAGGGGATGGTGAAAGGGATAAGGGTAAGTTTTTATGGTATATAAAGTTTCAAATTTGTAAAATGAAAAAGTTCTAGAGATTTGTTTCACAGCAATGTGAAAGTACTTACTACTACTAAATTGTACATAGTTAGTTTAGACAGTATATTTTATGTGTTCTTGACCACATTATAGGTTTATAATAAAGAAATACATTAAAACTGCTTTGGTGCAGTACTTAGGACTACCAGAAATATATTAGGAAAATGGGATTAGACACAGAGATCACATGCTTAATCTCAGTAAGAGCAAGGGAATCTAGGTAAGAGCTGAAATGTTTCATAAAAAAATATTTATCTGAAAAATTTTACACATGCATGACTTAGTGTTTTCTTAATCTTCTATGCTTTCTCTACCTTTATTATCTAAGTATTTGCCTTTCCCACTAGTTATGGAATAAATCTAATGCTTTTAAAACTTTAAAATTTGTACCATATGACTCTCAATGCAAAGTCAGTCCAAGGATTCTAACCAAAAAATATATTCCCTTTTCTAGTATAACTAGTTATTTTGCAGTGCATCAGATAATTACAAGTGTTTGGCATATTCAACTATGTTTTAAATAGCTGATTTTATTTTATACTAGAGGCCTGGTGCATAAAAATTCATGCAATGGAGGGGAGGGGTCCCTCAGCCTGGCCTGCCCCCTCTTACAGTCCAGGAGCCCACAGGAACAAGAGACAACCTGGAGATCAGGGTAAGGCAACGTCCTCACCACAACTCTGCTGCTGCCCCTGCCAGCAGCACAAGCCTCAGCCGGCCCTGGTTACCTGAACCTCGAGTGGCCCTGGGCGCTGGGCAGCCACCATCCAAGGCTTGCCTGCACCTTGGGCCAGCCCTGGGCAGCTGGGGGGCTGAGGGGACTGGAAGACTCTGGAGGCAGGCACACAGGGTGGGCCATGCCATGCCGTGCGCTTGCTGCCCCAGCGGGGCTGAGGGGACTGGGCTCCGCCATCTTTGAGGGTGTGACAATCAATTAGCATATTACCTCGTCACTGGCTTTGGGTGCTGCCATCTTTGTGAGACATGGTGGTCAATTAGCATATTTCCTTTTTATTAGATAGGATTGTAAATATATTGATGTACAATCATTAAATACAGAATTCACAACTTTTATTTTATACAAATAAATGGGAAAAAGCAAAACATCTATATTTTCTGATTTGTATTTAATATAAATAACCAAATGCCAATGATACTTTAAAATATCTAGAACATCATTAGCAGTCTTGTGGTAAAAATGAAAAAAATAAGATGTTTATTCATTTTATATTTTATTTTTCATTCTCAATTTGGAGACATTAAAATCATTACTGTAAATTTATCAAGATAAACAATTCAAAATTCTTATAATTGCAAATATAACAAAATAAAAAAACTTTAAATATTTTTATTTGCTATAAAATATGCAATGAAAAGCAAAAGTATGGATTTCTAACTGTTAGCAGAAAAAAACTTAATTTTTTGAAAATTTTTATTACTCAGTTGAAAATTAACCTTAATAACAAAATAATTCAGAATACCATGAACATATACCTGCACTATAATTTTAATTAATTAGAAAGTAATAAATCATTAACATATAATTGAAGTCTGCAAAGCAAATTAAACTTGTCTTAAAAATACATTACTGATATACATTAACATGTTTATTGAGAATTTTGCCTGCCAAGCTAACATCTAATAAAAATCATCTGTCATTTTATATATTACAAAGTTTGTCATAATTAAATGTTTAAGTCACTAAAAGAATTAGTACACTGACTGTATAATAAACATGTAGAGAGACATATAATTTAGTTTATGAAACCATTATTTCAAAGAAAATTAAAATGAAGATTTATGCCAGAACAAGAAAATTGTGACTTTTAAATTACTCTCATAGTACTAAGTTTATGAAAAACACTTTTTAAAACACAGATTTTTAGGGGTTCCAAGCATTTATTTCATTTTGAATATACCATACTTTGACACTGATTAAGCTATGAGGAAAATGAAATACTCCATAGAGTTGTCAGTTTTCCTTTGGCCAAATTTGTATGGTAAAAATTAAAAATATAGGTATTAAGTTTTGCTGCACTCAGAACAATTTTTCTAAAACACATTTTTTATACACTTGGTCAACAATGTATACTGAATATATATGCAATTACACATTTGGGACATTATAGTTATGTTTAACAGTAATTCAAACCTGCATGAATGCTTGCTTACAACATAAAATTTATCAGGCTGCTGTGCTGCTTCAGTTAGTGAGTTTGCAGAACAACATAATATTGCCTTCAAAAACAGAACTCTGCCTTATGTTGAAAGTCACTCATACTTGTTTCTTGTTTTGGTTGACTTTCTATTCTCAGATTTTCTCTCTCTTAGTGTCAGTTGATCTGCTTCACTGTACTGCTGCTTCTAATTATTATCTACTGTTTTCACTTCTTCCCCCTTTATCTCTGGTTTTCTACTTTCTTTTTCTACCTACTCCTTCTCAAACTAGATCAGCCTTGGAGCCATTAGGCCTTTGGCTTCACTATTCAGTGAGTATCCCTATTTTCTGGTTAGCAAACTGATGAATCATATAATTCATGTCTTCTGCAAATGCTGCTTTAGTTATTGTTGTATTCAGAATAGTTTGTGGGTTCTCAAAAAAAGATGAGCATCACATAGCCTAAATGTGTCTACATCCAGCCCTACCACTAAGTGAACCATGTTTTAAGTATTCTAGATTATTTGCTTGCCAGTGGTGGGATATAAGTTATGATGGTATTTATGATGGAGTTTATTTGAAAGATAATTTATGTAATGATATTTCTCTCTAGCAACAATTAAATCTGAATAGCTAAACAAAGAATGACCTGCACTATGAGAAAGTTTTTTTATATATCTGTGCTCAGCAAAAATGGTTGAAACTGAGATCTAAATCCTAGCTAGTAAGAATGCATTTTTAATTCTTACAGGTATATGGATATTCCATAGCAAAAATTTATCCCTTTTTAACATTTCACATTAATAGGATCAATCTTAACTATACTCTTCTCTTACAACACACCAAAAACAGTGCAAAAATTAACCTACCAATTATTTAAAACTAATCTCAACTGTGCTATAAATTTTACTCCCTGTTAGAATTTTAAGTTAGTCTTTTCCTTTTTTTAATCCATATCAAAAAATAAAATAGAACAGGGAAATTATTCTTTAAAAATTATAAAAGAGAAGTTATGAAGATTAGAATATTTTTTAATTTAAAAGCAATATTATCACATATGGGCTAATAAATTACAAAAAAATCTTTTTAAAAAGGCCGAAGCATTATGAAGATTCTTTTTAGGTCAAGAAAGCAGAGTGCTTCGACCTTTGAATAAATACATATAGTTTCAATATTAGAAAGTTTAGAAAAGAGGAAACAATTATTTAAAATATTTACTATTCAGGTATTATGGAACACTTAGAAATCCAAAACTCCTAATGTCCAGAATCATAATATGCAAAACATGAAGCAGCGTCATTGAAATTTTTTCCTATTATTTCAAGCCATAGTTTGATTAGGCATGATTAGCTGTGACATTTATTTCCATACATTTAAAAAATGTTAAAGTGGAAGGGATACAAAACATCAAAATAAAGAATTTTTAAAAGAATAAAAATGCAGAAATGATTTTCTAATATACTAATCATTTTTTAAATCAAAAATATGGCTTGCTTAAAATAAATTTTCAATTTTCTATAATAAGTGCCAAACAAAACAAAACTGGCCCACTGTATCCCAAACCCCTCCAAAACAACACAAAGCAAGCTGGACTGTAAAAGCCTATTTCTAAAGCTGGTATCTTGCCTGCAAGACTGGGAGGGCTATGAGAACTGATGGCTGAAAGAGCTTTGGAAAAGCCCACACATTCCATGGAGAATACCACTACCTGGTGGGGGCTAGGCATAGCAAAGTGCCTTCCTGCCAAAGAAAGAAGAGAGAATCTGTATTTGGAATAGAACAAAAACCAATGTTACGTATTATTTCAATAGTAGAAGATTAAAGAAAATTACATTAGATAGTTCTAATCACTGGTACACGAGTATCTTAAAGTTTGAAAATGCACCAGTAACTTCATACTGCATTTTCACCATAGAACTATTGGTTCAGAATTTAAGAACATGGTCTGTATCAAAATCTTTCTATAAATAAATTGAAATGTATTTACATTTGACAAAGTTACTGTTCTGATAAATAAATGAAGCCTCAGTCTTTAATAAACAACAACACATAAAACAAATTAAAAACTAACCGGGTAATGCTTTTGAGTGTGTCTGTTCTTTGCTGGAAACACGTGCACCTCCACCAAATACAGCAGACCACATTTTTTCATTTAGAGGATGTGCCACAATCCGAAATAGTTCATTACTAGAATGTGTTGCCAATCCATGGATGAAGAGACTAAGATACACTGCTGTGAGAATTTCACAGAGCAAAATTGTAAGCCCTGACTGGGCTTCCTCACCAGAAGAATTCAAAAGTCGAATTAGAGAAGTTATTCCTAGAACAAACAACAAACACATACAACTGACAATACATTTTAATAAGTAATTAACTACATTTTCGCATTTTTATAAAAACTTTATTACATTAGGATTAAAACATTTTCTTCTCTAAATTCATAGATGAGTAAAGGTCACTATAGGTTAATGCGTAATTCTGAACTTTTGTCCAAGTTAGAGAAATTCTATAATCTGATTCAAATATGATGGATAAGTACTGGTTGGCATAGCTCAGTGGTCAGAGTGTAAGCCTGCTCACTGGAGGGTCACAGGTTAGATTTTCAGGTTCAATTCTCAGGTCAAGGGCATACACTGGGTTTCATGTTCAATTCCACACACACCTCCCCCAACCAGGGATGCATGCAGGAGGCAACCAATCCATGTGTCTCTCTCACTCTCCTCTCTTTCTCTCCTTCTCCCATCCCTTCCATTGACTCTAAAAAAAGTCAATGAAAAAAATAACTCCCTCCTTGGGTGAGGATTGAAAAAAACAAAAAACAAAAAACAAAAAACAATCCAGCTGGTGTGGCTCCGTGGTTAAGCATCAATCTAAGAACCAGGAGGTCATGGTTCAATTTTCAGTCAGGGCACATGCCCAGTATGAGGGTTCAATTCCCAATAGAAGGCATGCAGGAGGCAGCCAATCAATTATTCTCTCATCATTGATGTTTCTCTCCCTCCCTCTCCCTTTCTCTCTGAAATCAATAAAAATATATTAGGAAATTTAAAAAAAAACAACCTGATAAACATAGTTATTATGAAAAATATTTTTCTGCAAAATTATAAAAATACAACAAGTCATTTGAGTTACTTTATTATGATGATGAAGTAAATACTAAAATTAAGTAACTGCATAATTTGTAATGAGTGGTGAATGCTGAACTGGTATCAAGTCTAACAATATTTAATAATGATTATCATATAGCAAAACCCAACCAAACCTACATTTCCCTCATCTGATTAAATTCAAGCTAAGAAAAACTCAAACACATATAAATTATTTATACCTGGCCACTGAGCTGGTGATGTATTGGGAGTTATTGCTTCATCTAAGCTTCCTGTTTTCAAAGAATGTCGATGGGGAAGCAGAACTGTTTGATACATCATTCCAGTAAACTGATTTGTTTGAAATGAGCTAAAAGAAGAAAACATTTAGTAATAGTAATCTACAATGACACACAATAACAACAACAATATGATAAAAACAATATACAATGATCTAAAATGAATTTCACATATAATATTCTATGTTTTATATCTAACTTCTAGGGTATCTTAAATACAAATTTTTGTTTATCAATTATACTACTATTACATTACACTGTATTCTATCAATATAGTCAAGTGTTATATTAAAGTGTCCTTTAATTACAAATATGCAAATTTTCTAAATTAAAACACATGATAGGCTGTAAGTTTATTTATTTAGTGAAAGACAGAATATGTACAAATCAGAAAACTGAATTATTATTGACCACAAGTAGCAAACTTATACATTACACTTTAAAACAGTTATGTGGCTGAAAACAAAGTCAATTTAGGTTTAATTCAATATTTAATGGCCAGTCTATCCTATAGTAGGATAGATTACATTAAGTATATGCACCAAGTTCCAGGCATATAATAAAAAACGTGGTCTGTGTCTCCTATGAAATTTATAGCCTGATGGGAAAATCAGACACAAATAATTTCACCATAGTGTTTTTAAAGACAAAAATCTATATAATACAGTGCCATGAAAGCAAAAGATATGAGAATTTCACATAATTTGGGAATTCAGGGTAAGCTTCCCCAAATAAATGACACTTTAAACTAAAGTGAATGAAAAGAATAACTTGCAACTTGACACAGACTATGAAATATAACAGAAAACTTTAATACATAAAATTTTGCTAACTTGTCAAATTTCTCTATTGTGCATTAAGTAAAGGAATATGATATTTATGAAGAACATTTAATAGTTTAGACCTATTCTGATTAGTAAGTCTTATTAATGATGGCATTTTCATGCATTTGTAAATAGTTTCTCTTGCTTTAATTTCCAAGTGCAGGATGGCAGAGTAACAACAACAAAAATCCCATTACAGCAGATTGATACAAGAAAAAATATATATATATTGGTGAAAGTAAAGTTATACTTAATAACAAGAAAATTAACTCTTGGAGGACAGATTTTAAAAAAAATCAAGTTAAAGCAAACCTAGAAATACATAACTAGAATAGTAAGCTAAGATTACCCCTGGGAAAATTCACATAATTTTTCACATAACATAAACAGACTATAAAAAATCAGCACCAGGAAGGCTGACATCATGTAAGAGACAAAAAACTCAGCAAAAGGCCTGCACCTGAGGAAGCAGAGTTATCAGAACATTAAGAAAAGTGCTATCTTCAGACAGGTTAAGCAAAAATCAAGAAATAAAGGCATAAAAATGTGGCTATTAAAATCAACAGAGAACTTTAAAAAATGAAATATTTAGACTTAATAAATAATAAGATGTTGCTGCAGAATGAATTAGTTTCTAGAAAATGAAGCTAGGATTTCTCCCAAAAAGCAGCAAAAAGAAATAAAGGTAAGAAACAAATGCAAGATAAAAGAAAAATGAGACACGCAAATTCTAATATCTGTCTAATAGGAAAGGAAAAGAAGAACTAAAAAAAGATATAGAAAGACCCCTGAGTGCTAAGCATATTTTTTTTAAAGCCTAGATGTATTATAGTGAAAACTTAGGACTTAAAGGGAAAAACCATCAACAAAATAAGCTTCAATTCCTCTGTAAAATTTTTCGTGACTCCAAGTCAGTCACTCCCTCCTCGGTACTATCCATCATATTACAGTACTTATCATTTAAGTACTATACCATACTATATATCATTATTAGTTCACATTTATTAATAACAAACTACATTAACCTTAAGAAAGGAGAACTTATTTCAGTGCATATCATGTTGTCTGGCATTAGGCACTAATAAAAGGTTATAAAATAAGTTATGTTGACAAGGGTTTAACTTGAGATTCATTGCCATAAAGGCACAAGTTAAAATTTCAAAGATGAAAAGAAAAAGGACTCAACTTTTCAACCATATTCTTTTTGCATTATTTAAAGTATACAGCTGTATACAGTTTTTTTTCAAAGCAAGAGCATACATATTCTGAAAACTCATCAGTTTGTTGCAAACATTTTAAAATTTCACAAAGATATTTACCTGTAGTTATGACTACCACAAAGGCACTGATATATACAAGCAGAAAGTGAGGCTGCTAAAGTATGCATTACATATACCTGCAAAAAAAAAAAAAACATCCAAAAAACAAAACATCAAAATTACTTTAAGTATGCAATCTAACTTTTTTTTAAGACCTAACAAAATTAACATTTTTAAAAGATGAAAAAAAAGATTTTGCCCTCAAAAACTATTTGGAGCCAATTTCTGCACTTATATGTTTCTTCTAAACACTCATCTTTACATTCTGAGGCCTTACTACCGATAAAGAAAAAATACTGAGGCCTTTGGTAGGAATTATAAAACACATACCTGCTACCTATATTTTATTTTAAGAGCAAATGGGAACAGATGCCAGCTATCCAGTAGTGCATGAACCATGTATTAAAAGTAAACCCTTTAGGGTTCAACCTGCTTTTTACTCAACCAAAATATAAAAAGTAGAGCCTGATAAAAGACAGTTCACCTATGGACAGGTGATTGAAGAATATGCTACCATATATTCTAGTTACTACAGAAAGCAAACAATTTAAAGAAAGTGAAATTTAAGAAAAAGAAGGTATGTACCACAGTAATTAAAGGGCTTCTGTATTGGGCAAGAGGTTCTAAACATGGCATGATGAGAAATAACAGAAGTACATCTGAGGATGGAGAAGTGTAACCCAGGTAAGAAAATAGACTAGACAACTATTAAAAGACTAAGTTCTTGATCTAATTAAGAAGGTATGACAGTCTTTTATGTTGATAAAAAAAAAAAACTATTGCCATTTCCACTTCAATTATCAGCAAAACATGTAGTATGAATTAAAATCATGAATATCATATAAAATTAAGACAGCAAAGACCATGTATGGAACACTGTGAAAATGATAGAATATTTTCCAGCTTCTCCAATCAAAAGATGGAGCCCATTTCTACACTTATTGAATATGGACAGGCCTTATAACTTACTTGGAACAAGAGGATATAACAGAAGTCATGTGTGAATTCTGAAGCTAGTCCTCAAAAGACTTTGCAAATTCTTGCTGCTCTTAAAACTCCTGCAACCAGCCCAGCTGTCATGGCTAGTGGTTGGACACTGACTTATTAACCAGGAGGTCATGGTTCAATTCCCAGTCAGGCTCGATCCCCAGTGTGGGGCATGCAGGAGGCAGCCAATCAATGATCCTCTCTCATCATTGATGTATCATTGATGTTTCTCTCTCTCTTTCCCTCCCTCTTTCTCTCTGAAATCAATAAAAAATATACTTTGAAAAAAACAACAACAAAGAACTCCTGCTACCATGATATGAAATAACCTAGATGTAATTATTTTTATATGTGAATGTGACCAGATCTTCAGGTTCCCAGATATTTAGTCAAACATTATTCTAGGTGCATCTGTTAGGGTGATTTGGGGAGATCATCACTTAAATTGTAACGCTAAGCAAAGCAGATATGGGAAGGCTTCATTCAATCAACAATGGAAGACCTGAAGAGAACAACAACAAACAACGTGAAGAATAAGGGAATTCTACCTGGTTGCATTGAGGTGAGTCTTGAGTCTTTCCTGACTTTTTAATTTTATTTATTTAGTATTAGTATTTTAATCCTCATCCTAGGATATTTTTCCATTTTTAGAGAGTGGGAGAGGGAAAGTCAAAGAGAAATATCAATGTGAGAGAAACACGTCGATTGGTTGCCTCCGGCACATGTCCCTACCAGGGCCTGGGCCAGCAGGAGCCTGCAACAGAGGAATGTGCCCTTGACCAGAATTGAAACCTGGACCCTTTGGTCCACAGGCCAACACTCTACCCACTGAGCCAAATCGGCTCAAGCCCTGCCTTTGAATTAGAACTGAAATGCTGGCTCTTCTTGGGTCTCAAGCCTGGTAGCTTTCAACTGGAATTTACATTACCAGTTATCCTGGCTCTCAGGACTTCAGACTAGGACTGGAACTACATGATCAGCTATCCTGGGTCTCCAGCTTGCCAAATGCACATCTTTAGATTTCTCAGCCTCCATAATCATATGAGCCAATTGCTTATAATAAACTCTACACATGCACACACACCTCGTATTGGTCCTATTTCTCTAGAGAACCCAGAATAATGCGCTTTGCTTGACTGTTTGAAGATGAGAGATGTATGACCCAGATTCCTGTCAGCCCTCCAAACACTCTGCTTACCAACAGAAATCTGAAGTCATCCTAGATCATCCAGAATCCAGTCAACCCACCAGCTAACCAAAGACAAATGAAAGTATCCAGAGATCAATCTAGTTGGCCCAAACCAGAAGAATTGATGAGTCAATCCACAGAATCATTAGCAAAATAAATAATGGTTATTTTAGGCAATTTCAGGATTCTTCAGCAGACAAAGTTAACTGATACACCAGGAGTAGCTTATTATTAAAGTTAAATATAGAATAGTGTTTGATCAAAATGAGCATTATATAAAGGAAAGTAAATTTTTAAAAAAATATATTTTATTGATTTTGTACAGAGAGGGAGGGAGAGAGATAGAGAGTTAGAAACATCGATGAGAGAGTCATCGATTAGCTGCCTCCTGCACACCTCCTACTGGGGATATGCCCGCAACCAAGGTACATGCCCTTGACCAGAATCGAACCCAGGACCCTTCAGTCCCCAAGCCGACGCTCTATCCATTGAGCCAAACCGATCTTGGCAGGAAAGTAGATTCTTAACTACATAGTACACGATATTGACATTTATACTATAGACTAGTACAGGAAAAGAAGTGGTAAAATTAAATGACAAGGGTTAAGGTTATCCAAGAGGATAAAACTGTAGAAGAAACCACTATAAGACATAGCAGAAATGGAACTGATATGATATCACAACCTATGAGGTGACTGAGAACCAAATGACAGACTACGGGGAGGGGAAAGAGACAGATACAAAAATAGTCAAACTTGGTCACACTTTAAAAGATTTCATGTTTGGAGGATAAAGATGAAATGTGATGTTCATGGCAGATAAAATGAAGGGTGGTAGATTGGAAGATTTGACTGATTTACATAACTATATGATTAGTTTTGCATATTCTTGAGACTCTCACAAACTGATTCAGTTAAATTTGAAGTGAATTTAACAATCCAAACATTTAACAAGCACTCAGGTGATACTGCTAAAGATGGAATCATGAATCACTGCCTACCCTAGAGGATTGACTGGGGTAAAATACTTCACATTGTCCTGAAAATATGTAATCTTTTCATATTAACAAAGAAAACCTTTATATAGATATTAGTAACTTCATACCATAATATTAAGTCTCTATATCTAAAAAACAATCAGCTTTTTTACTAAGTGTACTGCTAAAGAAATCACTCATGTATCAGCATATATACAAATTACTATCTTAATAAAATGGCTAACTAATACTTAGTACCTAGCATTGGATTAAAAATTAAAATACTCTTGTGGGTATAAACAACACAAGTAAGATGAACCTGGCCTACAACCAGAAGTTTTCTTTGATAAACGTGGTAATGAAACAATCACTATGTATGTAGTCTTATGTTTAAAATTGTTTTTAAAACCCTAACACTTATCTTTTAGTTTTACTGTAGTATAAAAGACTGAAACCAAGCATACTTACTTTATTGCTTTGAATATCTGGATGGGGTGGTGAATCAAAGTTTATTATGGCATGTAGAATATCATGTGTTAGATTACTAAGGTGCAATAATGGATTGGCAACTACTGTTTTGGCACTGGCTGTACAAGCAAAGAGGAGAGGTACTGAAGTTTGCTCTGACAGAGAGCTAGGAAATATTGGTTCTGATGTTTCCTTAAAAACAAAGGAAAGAAAGGTTAACCAACTATTTATAGATATAGACCATTATTTATGTAATGCAGGGGTTTCTTTGGAAAACTTCAAACAACTAAAACTTAAAAGTTTAACAAACTTTTTATAGAATCAGAGGGACTTGAGGAGGTCATCATTCCAGCAATTATATTGAAAAATGATGGAATAATGCCCTCGTTTTATAAGAAATTCATCATCTCATATGGGAATTCATATAAGAATGTGGCATTTGAATTCAGCATATCATAGAACCTAATATCAAATTGTCTTTAAACTGCAATATGTGCATAAGGCCACAAATTCACAATGAAATATCATGCAAAAATGAGCATTCCTTAAAGATGGCATAATAAAGAAAATCAATATTTAAAAGCAATGATAAAAAACTTTTTCATACATGTGCTGTTTTACTGGCTATCATATAAGTCACATACCTGCTGAGATTCTTGTAAAAGCAAAATCAATTCCATTCTCACAGAAGCAAGACCCCCACCATGGGATCCATGAAGTATGCAATAACTAAGAAACATTCTCAACAGTGATTGATATTTCAAAAGCCATTGTCTTTTTTCCTGAAAATTTTCTCTCAGTTGTTTCACTTTTTTTTCATGAGGCAAATCTTCAGCATCTTCATTTATTCCCAATTCATCTCCATTTGTACCAAATGCAGACTGTAATTCTTCAGCATCTGAACAATAGTTACAAGTCTTCTGAAGAGCTATCATCTCCTTTTCAAGCCAATGATATAGTTGGTAACGCAATTTCCCACCATCTATTTCATAGCCGGTAGATAAAGTACGAAGTTCTCCTGTGAGAATCTTTAAACATGCTCTAAATTTTAATTGAACTGAAATTATATCTTCTGATGGACTTAAAATGTCATTTTCATCTAGCATGTTGAGAGATTCTGTGTAATTAGAACTCGTTTCATCTATTTTTTTTCCTATTTTTTCCTTTGAAGGTTTTATTTCTTTCATTGAAATAGGGAGATCCTCATTTTCTTCATCATTATCACTGTCCCATTTTAATTCTAAAGAGTCATCCTGAAATACAACACTTGGTTGGCTCCAATCAAAAGAAAGAGTGGAGTTTGACTGCTTCTCTGAGGAACCCTCTGAAGAAGATCCAAAACCATTCATAAGTGACTGTGACCAATCAATAGCAGAAGACTTATCTTCTCTGGCATCCAATTTCAATGAAGAAGTTGGGGAACAGTCTTTACTAGTATCCATAAAATTAGATGTTCTACTAAAAGGTTTTTTCTTCTTAATGACTTTTGGTATCTTTGATAATACTTCCAAAGCCAACATGGGGCAGCCAGCTTTTAAATGAGCACAGGCAGTAGTAAAAAATAATCTTCTTTCACTTAAATCAATTGTTCCTGCCAGTCCGCTTTTTCCTGTTAAACTCACGTGTGTGGAAAATGCATCAGATGATCCAAAATGACGTCTCAACAAAAGAGGATGTGTTCTTAGATAATTGTAGAAGTTAAAAACTGCAGGATTACAGGCTGACATCGTGACTTGATCTGAAAGTAAATTCATTTTATGAGCCAAGAAAAATTCTTTAAGAGTTGTATTGTAGCATTTTTCTCTACTATGGCCCCCTTATCTACCTGATCTTTTACAAAATTTTATTAACAGCATACTAATACATAGTATTGAACAGAGAAAAACACATTTGTATCCCGGCCAGCATGGTTCAGTAGGTAAGCCCTGACCTATGGTTATGGCACATGCCTGGGTTGTGGGCTCAAACCCCAGTGTGGGGCATGCAAGAGGCAGCTGATCAATGATTCTCTCTCATCATTGATGTTTCTAACTCTCTCTCCCTCTCTGAAATCAATAAAACTATACACTTCTTTAAAAGAACACATTTGTAATCAAATTTGTTCTAACATAGTAGAAAAACAAAGGTTGTACTAAATTCACAAACTTTCAGGTAACAATCTAAGGTAATTTAAAACTTCCACTTACACCTAGCTCTTTTTCTCTTACTTTCCTAGATAATCCTTTCCAGGCTGCTTTGCTAAATCTTCCTCATTTTCTCTACCTGTGAGCATTCTAGAGTTTGATGCTTGACGTTTTTCCTATCTACACTCATTGTGTAAACTCATATAGTCACATGGCTTTAAATACTATCTAAATGCTAATAACTTGCACATCTCTATCAAATTCTCCCTGTAAATATAGACTATTATATCCAAAGGCCTACATTACATTTCCATTTTCATATATATATATATATATTCTTTTCTCAGACCCTTTAGTGAGCCTTTGGCCCAAGCATGTCAAACTCACAGGCTACAGGCAACCTACAGGGAATATTTTTGTGGTCCAGCCAATATAATGATAAGAAACATTCTAATAAAAATTTTATAACAATTTTTACAATATCCTGTTATACCTAATTATTAGTAATGAACTATAACGTTTGATAATGACTGATTGCTATAATCATATTGCATTCATTTCCCTTATGTGCCTTACACATAGGCACACCATTTCTCTCCACTAATTCTAGCAGCGAGTATTTTAGCAGCCAATTGCCATGTCATTATTCATTATTCTTGTATTGACTTGTTTGGTGTGTGCAATAGGAAATATTTTGCTTTTGAGGAACAAGAAAAAATAAACTTATTTGCATTATACTTATTAATATGTGCAGTTATTCATTGTCTGATAAGTTCATGTTCAAGAAAAAAAAATATTTTTTATTAAAATGTTCTATTATTTTATGTTAACAATTACTTATTTCAGCCCTTTGTATTTAGCATGTCTCTATCGAAATAAACCTATATTTCTATGAAAATTGAAACTTTTGTTTTTTTGCGGCCCACATAAACTTAAATCTTGGTTATTTGGCCCATGTTAGCCTTTGAGTTTGACATGCTTGCTTTGGTCTAACTACTCTACCCAAATAGCTACTTGCTCATTTCAATTAGGTCTCTGCTCAAAGTTGATCTTATTAGAGAAGTCTTCTCTAGCTAAAGCAACACTCTCCAAAATCTGCTCCCATTCTTCTCCATATCATTTATCTATTGCTCAAGCTAAAAACCTAAGAATTATCCTTGATTCTCATTCCCTTCACATCCCATGGCAAATCCTGTCCTATCGAGTCAACCTTAATAGCATTTTCCAAATCCAACCACTTCTCTCCACCTCCACTCCTACCATCTTGGTCCAAGCCACTATTATCCTTTAATTTTTTTCTTCTAGAATACAGATTTTCGTGTTTTTAAATCTTTATTGTTGAAAATATTAGATGTCACCCTTTTTCTTCCAATGACCCCTTCTAGCCCACCCCTGTCCCCCACCCCTAGAATGCAGGTTTAATTTGCTCTAAAAGTATGTGATCATATATTAATCCCAAGTCAAAATACATTTTTGACAAGAATACGTATAGGTATAAAATAAGTGTCTGGCCCTAGCTGGTTTGCCTCAGTGGCTAGAGACTCAGTTTACAGACTGAAGGGTCTCAGACTCAATTCCAGTTAAGGGCACATGCCCAGGTGTGGGCTCTATTCCAGGTAGGTGCCATGCAGGAGGCAACTGATCAATCATTCTCTCTCATCATTAATGTTTCTATCTCTCTCTCCCCTTCCCCTTCCTCTCTAAAATCAATAAAAATATAGTTTTAAAAATAAAGTAAGTGACTGGAAAAGACCTTTTATTTCTAACCCTTTATTATACAGAGGCCAGTTTGGAAACAACAGACTAATATGACTTTTTCATAATATGACATATGACATTTCATAATTAAATGAAGCTATACAAAAAGCTATGAACTAAAAGCTTTTCCAATTAGTACTCCAAATGATATGACACCTATTATACCAGTTATCATAAACAATTAAATTCTAATTATGGAAAAATATTTAAAGAGCATATACCATCATTTTTATAGAAAATTATATAAATAATTCCATATTATACTAACCTCTAGAAAAGTTTTAGCAGAAAGAATTTCTATAGCAAAAGGCAGAAGATTCAAAAAAGAACATTAAAAAATGTACCTCACTTATCTTATGAACAAGGCAGTAAAAAAATTAGCAATTTTAATCACACCATGTATGTCAACTTTCTTTTTCTTTTTAACAATATGCTTTTTATTGAGTTCAGAGAAAAAGGAAGAGAAAGAAAGAAATAGAAACATCAAGGATGAGAGAGAATCATTGATAGACTGCCTCCTGCATGCCACCCACTGGGGATTGAGCCCACAACCCATGTACGTGCCCTTGGCTTGAATTGAACCTAGGACCCTTCAGTCCACAGGCCAATGCTCTAGCCACTGAGTCAAACCAACCAGGACTCAATTTTTTTTTTTTTTTACAATAAATACAGTTCTATTATACAAATTATAAAATTGATTAATTTGTTAACTTCCACCTCAGATAAACTGAGTTTATATCAGTATTTTCTTCAAAACATTTATATTCAAATGTGTATACATTTATATTGAATACAATGATTTCATAAAAACAGAAAATCCAAAGTATGGAGAGTCTTAGACCATGTCATCAACTTGCTTTGTATTACCATTAATACCTAACAATGTGTTCTATATCCAGCAAATACTTATAAAAACCCTTAAACCTTAACAATGTAAAAGTGCAGCTTACCACCATCCTCTCTGACAGGTTGCTTTATTAATGTTTCCAGTGCACTACCATAATCTTCCAAAATCCAATATGCCATACTCCGAAGAAAAGGATCGTAATGCATATTGATGTTCAATGAATTGAGTTCATCAATAGGAGAAAGAATTCCCAAAATTTTTTTACGCAAAATAGACTTATATGTTGCAGATTTATCAAATTCAGACTCATATAATCTTGCTATTACAAGAGCCAACTGAATATCATTCAGTTTCTCAAGACATACCTTGTAAAAAAAAAAAAAAAGAAAGAAATATTGTTTATAAACAAGTGAGAGTATCTTTCACGTAAGATAAACTCAACTGACTCACTATTAACTAGATGAACAAAGGCTTTATTAATATCTAAAATTGGTGAACAAGGATGATTAAAAAAACATATACTGCTTGCTTTGACAAGTCTACTTGTCAGCATTTATGTTAATAGCTTACAATTTTAGTATCTGCCAATACTAAATATGTTTGCAAAAAGAATTGGCCTAATAAAGATATATTCAATAATTCTTAATACATCAAATCAAATGATGTATCTTGTTTTATTCTTGTACTTTTACTGTTCCCCATCCACATTAGCAGGCTATAATGTTTTCAAAATAAATAAAAAGTTGTTTGCTTGTATGAAACTCTGAGCAAAAGGGCAATTTAAGATAGAAATGTTATATCTTAAGTATTCAAAAATTTTTAAGGTTTATGAGAAAGAATCTGTTAAAAATTTGCAAAGGTTCATCTACTGAGACAGAGCAAAATATGTTTTAGGCTAAAATATATTTTAATTGATAGAAGAAACGTTTTTTTAACCTGTTCATGAATATTCTTATGAATCAAATCAACTACCTATCTCTACCAACCAACATGACCTGGCTAATCTTAATTCTGTATAAACATTATTCAATCTAAATGACAAAATTTTAAATCACTATAAAACATTATCAATGACTTTAGGTACTTAGCCTTGTGTTATTTCCACTAGACTTAAGTTGAAATAAAATAAATTTTAAAAAATTAGCCCTAGATAAAGAGCTTATAGATGACAATGATATTTTTTAAAAGATTTCATTCATTACCTCAACTGCATCTCTGAGGCAACCAGCTAAAAGAAAAAATGCTGCAGAATGTTCAAATCTCTGTTTGCCTAACAAAGAAAAAGCATTCTTTAAAGCTGCTTTACGCCATCTCTCATCTTCAAAATTGTGTCCAAAAAATTCTGTCATCTTGGTGTCTTTTTGGGATCTAAAGGGAAAAAAAGTATAAAAGTTTTGGAACACAATGTTTCAGCATCAGAACTGATTTTATAAAGTTAGCCACTTTGAAGATTGGTAAGAAACATCTGACAGTTTAAAAGTAACTATACATCTTTTCTGAGAAAAGAACATTTATGATAAACATTTAGTTTCTCAAAAATATATCAGATTATTGAAAAAATGTCTTCAAACTATTTAAAAAAAAACTGCGTTAGCACATAATGCAAAATTATTTTAAAATCTATGTGAAACATATAATTTATATTAACTTCTGTGCTACTTCACCATTTAAACCTCATCAATCAATCACCTTTACTTTAAGGATCAAATCTAGACTCTTTCCTGATTCAAAACAATACTAAAAGATCTAGTCTCTTACAAAACTGACTGGTACCATGATTTTCCCCTAAAGGTTGCTGTTCATATTGTTCATGTTGAACAGAATCCAAAACAAATGGTGATCATATTCACCAAGTGTTGCTGAGGACAAGTAAAATAAAAATTCTAAGTGACCCAAACTCAATTATGGGGTCTGGACCATAAGAGGTGGGCAGCTTAGAGGGATTTGTCTGGCCAATGAGCTCTTATAGAGCACATAGTAGATGCTTGTTCCAGATTCTACCAACTTATCTTCCCAGCTTTAGTTCTTTATTCTATAGGAATATCATAAGAAGTTCTTAAAATAAGCAAATAAATATTTTTCTGGCCTGATAAAACCTAAAAACAAACTAAAGCGACCTATCAAGTCTGTTCTGCCCAACCAGCCTGGCTCAGCGGTTGAGCGTAAACTTATGAACCAGGAAGTCGCAGTTCCACTCCTGGTCAAGGCACATGCCCAGGGTGCCAGCTCAATACCCAGTCTGGGAGCAGGAGAAAGCCTATCAATGATTCTCTCTGATTACTGATGTTTCTCCCCCCCCCCCATTCCTCTCTGAAATCAATAAGAATATACCCTGTTTCCCCGAAAATAAGACACTGTCTTATATTAAAATTTTTCTCCCAAAGTTGTGCTAGATCTTATTTTCAGGGGATGTCTTATCTTTCCATGTGCTAGGTCTTATTTTCGGAGGATGTCTTATTTTTGGGGAAACACGGTATTTTAAAAAAGAAAAAGATCTGCTCTGGAAAACATCTGGGATTCTTCCCTATGAAATCTCTCCTTAAATGTAAAAATAACTAAAAATCTACATGAATCACACTAAACAGAACAACAAATCTTTATTTCATACATTTACTTTGTGAACAGTTTTTCATTTTAAAGTACAGTTTTCTCACCTACCTATATAATCCCCAAATCACAGCTTTCTTTTTCATTGCAAGGTAGAAAATGGCAGCATCTAAAGGATCGTTCTTTCTATAAAATGCTGCTTTGGCTACCTATAATTAGAATATATTATTCAATATTTCACAAAAATCATTAAGTGAACAGGGAAACTGATTAATATATAGATTAGAAGATTAATATATAGATTATTATACATTAATATACATTAATCTGTTTAAATGCTCAACAGATTTTTAAACACACACACACATATATATTTAATAACAAAAATAATTTATGGTGATGGCCTCCAAGGATATAGAGAGATGAGAACAGGACTATACTTTCCATTACAATCTTTTCTGTACTGTTTTATTTTTTCTTTAAAGAATATGTATTTTGTAAAAATCTGACATATATACTGAACAAGTGTATCAACTAGAAATTTAAGAATAAGAATAGAAACTTTAAAATATTATATTAACATTTTCAAATATAAAGACTATGTAAAATCATCTCACTGCTTAAAAAAAACAACACAACAACAACAAAGAGTAACTTAAATATCCAAAATATAATTTTCATACCAACATAAAATATTTACCTTTTCTATGCATTTGCGTAAAATGCAAATATTCCGGACCCACCACCCCACACCCATGGCTCTCAATTCAGACCAAGTGGGATTGTCTTTCTGCATTGATGGCAACATGTTCAGCAGTTCTTCTTCTGCTACTGAGTGAAATGCCCAGGCAAAATGACTGGTAGACAGGCCTAAAGAAATGTTAAAACAAAGCTGGTAAGAAATATAAACACAATTATACAAGGATTATCAGAAATGTGTTCCATATTTGCAATAAAAATGTCTAAGTTTTGTATGAGACTCAAAAGGTTACAATTAAGTTTTAGGGCTGGAGAAAATATGAGTTATTTTTTTCTTGCTTCTTTTTTTTTTTTTTTTTAAATATATTTTATTGATTTTTTACAGAGAGGAAGAGAGGGGGATAGAAAGAGTTAGAAACATCGATGAGAAAGAGTCATCGATCAGCTGCGGGGATATGCCCGCAACCAAGGTACATGCCCTTGACCGGAATCGAACCTGGGACCTTTCAGTCCGCAGACCGACGCTCTACCACTGAGCCAAACCAGCGGCTTTTCTTGCTTCTTTAAACAATACTATCACTTCTATATTTTCTATAATGAGCATTTTTTTAAATAATTAAAATATGTATTTTAAAAAAGATAAGAAAAAATTCTTATGGCAAATGCCACTGTATTGAGTATTTTTGTTCTCTAGATATTCTCCATGACTTTTTCTTAGAAAATGAGAAGCACAAAGTATTTTTCTATACTGGTATGATTCTTCTTCAAAGCTGATTCTCATTTTCCTTTGGTCTACATTTGTTTTGTGAATTTAATTCTATGGGGGGGAAAAGCATCAAATAAACATTATATCCTGGTGTACAGAATTTAAGACAGTAAAGACTCATCTCAAAAAGTTTTCATACTATTTCATTTGTGTTTTTTCCATTAATACACATTGTTCATAAAGTTATTTTTATTAGCAATTCAATATTTTACCATATTAATATAGTAATGTTTTCATAATGACTTATTCTATTTGGGGCATTTGACTTATATGTAGTTTTTCACTATAGGTAGTACAGATATTATAAAAAAAAAAAGAGCTTTAAAAATCTTTCTTTTTTTCTTCCCAAAGTGGGATTAACATATATATTCCCACGTTGCTTTCTAAAGAGGTTTTCTTAATTTTCAGTACAATAACCAATATTCAAATATTTGTTTACCCATATTATGCTTACATTGAATTTTATTTTTTATAGTACAGTGAATTGTTACCTCATCATTGTGTTAAATTGTGTTTCCTTCATTAGTGAAATAGATAATTTCCCCTAGCATGTTTTTACTCTATTTTTTTTTTTTCTTGTTATTGTTATTTATCTATTTTGGCTATTTATCTGTCCAGAAAAAGTACTGATTTTTTATGTTTTTATCAGCCCCTTATACATTACAGATAATATACTTTATTTGACATTTAGAAGAAAAGTCCTAGCTGGGTGGTTCAGTTGGTAGGAGTACTATCCTGTGCACCAAAGGGTTGCAGGTTCAATTCCTAGTCAGGGCACATACCGAGGCTTTGGGTTTGATTAATGGTCAGGGGATATGATATATAGGAGGCAATGGATTGATGTTTATTTCTCACAATGATGTTTCTCTCTCTTTCTCCCCCACTTTCTCTCTCTCTAAAAAAAATACACAAAACAAACAAACAAACAAAAACATATCCTTGGGTGAGGATTAAAAATAAATATATTATGAAGACTCTGGAATCAGAATGCATGCATTAAATTCCAAGTCCATCCCTAACTAGCTATATAACTTTGAGCAAGTTTCTTGGTCTCCTGATTCCTCAATTTTCTCATTTAAAAAATATGAATAATCATGGAACCTACCATAAAACATTATTGTGAGGATTAAATTAATTGTTTTAAATCAGTTAGTATAATACCTGGCATATAATAACTATTACTACCTACTAGGGGCCCAATGCACAAAATTGGTGCAAGAGTAAGCCTTCCTTCCCCCAGCTGCCAGTGTCGGCTGCACTCTGGCACTCGGGACCCAGGCTTTCCTCTGGCTGCCAGCAGGCACCTGGAACCAGGCTTCCCTCGCAGCCCCAGCTTTGTCTGGAAGGTTGTCCAGGAGAATGTCTGATCTAATTAGCATATTATGCTTTTGTTTTTATAGATATCACTATATTGGAAAGGTACTTTTATGTTTATACAGCACCATTTACATTAGCAATTCTCTCAATTTATTGGCACTACATGAGATGTTTATTATTCAGTTTCTATTTCTTCTTCACAGTACATTTTGTTTAGTATTACTGGGTGAAGATTAATTACAAGATGTGGCTTTGAAATATATGCACTGAAATGTTTAACCTAATATGCAGTGCCAAAGAATTTAAAATTTTCATTATACCCAAGACTATGGGGGGGAAAATGAAATATAAATAAAAAAACAATACTTACACTGTGAATGGACTATTATTCTAAATTATTTTTACACAAGAGGCATGGAAATTCGTGCACTCGGGGAGGGTCCCCTCAGCCCAGCCTGAACTCTCTTTTCAGTCTGAGACCCTTCAGGGGATGTCCACCTGCCAGCTTAGGCCCGCTCCCTGGGGGCCTGGGCCTAAGCTGGCAGTCAGACGTCTATCTGGCAGCCCTGGAGCCCTTGGGGGATGTCTAACTAATGGCTTAGGCCTTCTCCTCTAAGCCGTTAGTCAGACATCATTAGCGCTGTGGCAGAGGCGGGAGAGACTTGCACCTGCACTGGCCAGCCACGATGCAGCTTCTGGCTGAGCAGTGCTCCCCCTGAGGAAATGACTTGACCACCAGGAGGAAGTTCCTGCATTGAGCATCTGTCTCCTGATGGTAAGTGGGTGTCATGGCGACCAGTCATTCCAGTTATTCTGTCCTTAGGGTCAATTTGCATATTACCTTTTATTATATAGGATTTCTATTATCTCTCAACCAAGTTTAATAGTTTTTCATAAATAATTAAAGAATTTGACTTAGAATTTAAAGCTTTACTCTCCCCAAAAATGGGGAAGAAGGAAGCAAAAAGAGAAACAAGGAAAGAAAGGAAAAGAGAGAGCAGGAAACAGAGAACAATTAACAGAGGCTAACCTGTTGTCAATAATGCTGGAAGCCAGCTATATCTTTTGAACTTTCTAGGCACTGAGCTAATAAATATCCTGTTTTGCTCAAGGTGCCTTAAATGTAAGTATTGTTACTCTGAAAGTCCTGACTAACAGTATATTAATCTGAAATGTTCTTAAACTAATATCTAAAATACACATTAATGTTAACAGTAGTTTTGGGGGTACTCTTCATTTAAAAAACAATTAAAACTTGAATATGTATATTTTTCTGTAACAAAATGTTCATTCTTTTCTCTAAAATTTCAAAAGGGAGAAAAAGATAATCTAGAAAAGAAATTAAAGAGAATGAAATGCTAAATGGCCTTTAATGTATGATGTGCTTAAAACATAACACAGAATATACAACTGCCCAATTACATGTTTCTATTTCTTCATTAATTCTTTCCACCTACCAAAAAGATTCCAATATTGTCTCAGTGGTTAAAGTATTGGCCCACACACCACAGGGTCACCAGTTAAGATTCTTGGACAAGGGCACTTATAGGTTTGATCCTAGGCCCCCGGAGGGTGCATATGAGAGACACTTAATCTATGTGTCTTTCTCACAACAATGTTTTTCTCTGCCCCCTCTCCCTCCCACTCTCTCTAAAAATCAATGGAAAAAAATATTCTGTGGTAAAGATTAATAAAAAAAGAAAAAAAGAAAAAAAAAAAAAGGAGGAAATTTCCGGTACTTTAGTCAAAAAATTAAGTGAAAATAAACATTTTTAAAATAAATTAAGAAAACTTAGCATGTGTCAAATTTGTCAGCATTATCATCTCTGAGCAAAAGCAAACTTCTGAAGCCTTTCTTTTCCTCTTCTTGCATTACTTCCTTTTAACAGATTACTACCAAAATCACCTTGGTGAAGGAGTTGAGCTCGATAAGCTGGAAGGGAAGTTGTAAGAAAAGTATGAAGTCGAACAGCCAAAAGAAATTTTAACCCACATTCGTCAAGAGTTTCTCCACCTATAAAAAAGGAAAACGGCATTTACTTATTTTTATTTGTAAAACAACATTTCATCAGCAAAACACAAGTAAATGCTAATAATTCTGACAAGCAGCATGTCACCGCACTAAATACAGAGATAAAACATTCTGAAACTGAAAAGTTCTCAGTCTAAATATTTATTTTTTTTCCTATACAATTATATACTACAGAAAGGATAGTTAAATACTGTGAAAAATAATAAAGAAGAGAATAAATTAACTCAGGGTCTGTGACATTTCTTATAATCAGACCTCCTCTGCTCTGAATCTTATAATTTAACTAAATTTTAAAATAGTTTAACCTTCTCTGTGCTAATATATTACAATATTTCCCATATTGATTCAAGTCATACACTCACCCTAATAATGTTCTGCTATCACTGAAATAGTTATACAGTGGAAAGGCCTGCTTTTTACATTAAATAATTAAAAATATAAAATCCTATAATGTGTTTATATCAAAAATTGTATTTGATGTATCAAATACAATTATATCAAATCAAGTATTGCTAATAGTATCTACTAGCAATACTTCTTAAAGTAAAAGTGTCATGATTCATGGCCAAAATTTTTTCTTTAATTTTTAATTATTATTATTATTTTGGTAAGCAGAGTTCAAGGGGTGTAGCCTACTGATCTCTATCTGGTGCACCTGGCTTCATTTGTTCAATGGTCAGCAAACCTATTAGTCAACAGAGCCAAATATCAACAGGACAACAATTGAAATTTCTTTTGAGAGCCAAATTTTTTAAACTTAAACTTCTTCTAACGCTACTTCTTCAAAATAGACTCGCCCAGGCCGTGGTATTTTGTGGAACAGCCACACTCAAGGGGCCAAAGAGCTGTATGTGGCTTGCAAGCCGTGGTTTGCCGACCACTGGTTTACTTCAAACTTTGAAATTTGATGGAAATTCTATATTCAAATTGATTTGTAACTCAGGAAATTAAAAAGAAGAAAAAAAATCTCTAGATGAGGAATAAATCTAATTTTATTATGCTTATTTTTGTTATTCTAGGTAGTATATATTAATGCAAATTTTTAAAGAAACCTTAATACATTAAAAGCTAAATACTAGCAAATTATCACATGAAAAAAAAATAGAAATCACATTTGCATTATCTAAAGTAATTATTTAATAAGAATGTTAACTTTTCCTAAACTCAAATGATTCAGGTGGGTCTTTAACATTATTAAGCAAACTATTAGGTAAAAATTTAAAATGACTGACAAAATGAATTTTTGTATTATAATTTCAATTTCAAATTCTATTTCAGAGCACAATTTAAGGGTTAAATAGCATATTTTCAAGTAAAAACTATTGTGAAGTCAGCACTGATGATTAAAAACCCTTGTATCATTTTTATAAAATACTTTTTAGATTTTCTGTGAAATTAGGTAAAAATATCACTAGTTTTTCTTTTGCTCCTGTACTGAATTTAGTTTTACCTTGGCTTCTGTCTCTGCTTTCTCCAATATCAGTGCTGGTAGTTGCAATTGTATCTGCTAAGGCCATCAAAGACATCTGCTCCATCCTGCTGAGTCCTGGTAAACTAGAATGAAGTAAGTGGCCAGAAAGAACCTGAGCATGCTCAGGACCAAAGTAAGTTGGACTATATTGTGAAAGGTCAATAACCTTGGGCTTTGTATTTTCTTCATCTGTCTCCAACACATTACTATCAGTCATTAGAGTTGAAATCTGAAAAAGCTCATCATAATTTTCCTTTGATAACTGATTTGAGTTATTCGAGGTATTCTGATTACTAGATTTCTCCAAAGATGAGTAATAGCAATCATCATCTGCCACAAGTAAGGCATATAAAGGAAGTGGAGGAACAGAATCTATTTCTGTGTAATCTGTATTTTCACTCTTGTTGAATGTCTGAGGGTCTCTGGTGGTGCTTCCACTGGCACTGATGGTGAGAGACCTAAGGCGGCGCTCATGACAAGATTCAGTTTCATTCAGGGCCACAACTTCTCCAGCAATGCACTTGACAAGATGGGACAAGATGGCCTTTGCTCTTCGAACTTTGCCCAGATCCATGAGTTCCAAAAGCTGCAATGGATGGTACTGAGGTAAAGTTGGGGAAAGAACATGAGCTGCTTCAAAAAGACCTGAATCTTCCATGTCCACAGAAGGATCAAATGCAGTTTTCTTTCCACAGATTTTCTGAGCAAGACTAGTCATGGATCGAGTTAGAGTTTTCTTTGGAGGATGTAATCCAGAACTTGATGAGTTACTCTGTTTTATTAAACTTATTATAGATGGAGTACTCCCATTGTATGAATCTGTTATAACAGGTTCTTGCTTAGAAGATGGCTGCCACTGGGAATATACATGCATCTCACAATCCATTCCTACCACCAGGATGCCATCCCGAACCCATGATAAAGAAACAGGAAAAGGTGGAGAGCCTTCTACAGAAGAAACCAAATCCACACTTCGTAACAGTACAAACTTAGAAAGAGGTACAACTTTAGTACTCTCCCAGAGAGGAAGCGCCAGGCTTTCCTTACTAGTCTGTTCTTGTACCTTGCCATCCAGGAGTCCATACATAAAAAGTTTTGATCCAATTCCTACAGTCAAGATATGAGAGCCATCTTCCCTAGATATCCAATCTAAGTGAACTAAATGCTTTATGTTTGCTGTTATACTCTCTTTACTGGATAAATATACCTCCTGCTTATCATAGGCCATTAAATTGCTATCAATGCTAATGCCAGAATCCAACACCGTATTTAACTCATCTAAATGAATTGTCTGTTCAAGGACCCAACATGAACCTCCTGTAGACTCACATTCAAAAATGCTTACATGCATAACAAAGTCCTGAGAAGGTCTACTATTCGATGCAGGCGGCTTATATGCTACTGCTAAACGATTTGTGTGTGCACAGCTAACTTCTACAGGCCTACCAGGTACAGTAATACTACTATTGCTCTGAAGTCCATCTTCAATAAGTAATGGCCATTCCTCCCAAGTGTATACAAGATCCATTTTTCCATTATTTGACGTGGCAGCTTCTCCACATGTTACTTTGCATCTCCAAAATCTTACTTTCTCATCTGAGCATGAAGTTGCCAATAAATAGGGAGCATTGCATATGGGATATATGGAAGAAGAACTCAGATGACCTAAAATAAAAACAATCCATTAACAAAATGTCAAATTTGGTTAAATATTCTATTTTCATGTACTAAAGGTTTTAGTCTTTTGTATGAACTACTGTTAACAACATAACAGTCAATATTTAGTTTAAGGGTCAATAAAATCAGTGAAAAGCCTTCAATGACAACAAAAAGTATGCAAGAAGGAAAATATTACCATATCTGAAAGAACTCTGAGACAATTTAGTTCAATTCCTGCATTTTATAGGTAAAAACCCTTGACCAAATATGTTAAGTATCTTATGCCTAAATCAAATAGCTAGATTAAGGCAGAATTAAAAAACCTGAATTTAAGTCCTGGTTCTCAAGTCAATATTCTTTTTACAGGTATTTACTAGTTTTACATATTATTGTAAATCTCATTTTATAATTTTTTTAAAATATATTTTTTATTGATTTCAGAAAGGAAGGGAGAGGGGAGAGAGATAGAAACATTAATGAGAAAGAATCATTGATGGGCTGTCTTTCGCATGCCCCTTACTGGGGATTGAGCTTACTATCTAGGCATGTGTCCTGACCAGAAATTGAACCATGACCTCCTAGTTCATAGGTCAACATTCAACCATTGAGTTACACTGGCTGGGCTATAAATCTTATTTTAAAGATATCAATGAAATTTTAAAAACTTGTCAGCATTCATTGGTCACATCTCTCTGATATATTTCAATTCCATTTTGTGAGGAGTGGGCCATGCTTACCTAAATACTAAATGGGCACTCAAGGATTAAAGAGTATTTGATATAACTAATGCTGAGAAGATTCCTAAGTGAGACATAACATTTTGCTTACTGCAATCATATTCTCTTAATTTCCTAAACCAGGATTTAGCAATTTTTTTCTTAAAGGGACAGAGAATAATAACTATTTTGGCCTTTGGACAGATGGTAATAACTATTTTGGCCATAGGTCTCTGCCACAATTATTCAATTTTGCCACTATAGAACAAAAGCCATATACAAATAAATGTAGCTACGTTTCACTCAAACTTATTTACAAAACAGTTAGATGACCCATAGTTTGCCAACCCCTGTCCCATATAACATTTCTTATAATTAGAACATTTATCATATTTTAAAAGCCCATTTCAATATAATTGTAATTTTTTTAAGTCCTCAAGGAATATACTATGTTTTCTAATAGTCTTGACTAAAAAAATTCTTCAGGCTAGGAAAAAAACTTTTACAGTAGTCTCCCCTCATTTACAGTTCACCTTTGGTAGTTTCAAATACCAACGAGCAAATGAGATCTGAAAATATTACATTGAAAATTCCAGAAATAAACAATTTGTAAGTTTTAAATTAAATACCATCCTGAGTTGTATGATGAAAGTTCACACTGTCCAGTTTTGTCCTGCCTACAACATGAGTCATCCCTTTGTCTAACGTATCTACACTGTGCTACCAGGCTGACAGTCACTTTAGTAAACAGAGCAACTATTGCGGTATCTCAGCATTTGTGTTCAGGTAACCCTTATTAATAATAGTCCCAAAAGTTTAAAAGTAGTAATGTTGAGCAATTTGAATAATCCAAAGAGAACTGGTAAAGTGCTTCCTTTCAGTGAAAAAGTGTGCACATATAAGAACAAACATACTGTATCTAGGGTTTGGTACTATCCTTGGTTTCAGACATCTGTACCATACATTAGTTTTGCCAAACAAAATAAATTTCTTGTTTTTCCCTAGAACTTCTTTTTTTCTTCCAAACTCAACTGGGGCCAAAGTTACATAAGAGGGTTGTTTTCAGAAATATCCTCAGTTTCTCTTACAGTTGCCATATTATTTTAATTGGATTCAGTAGTGAAGATCATACTGACTAAAGATAATTGCTCTTAAAAGTTTCAATGTAAGAGTCAATCTTTTTCAAACATTCACTTTCCTTGTACTGATGTCTCTTTTATTAAAATATACAAAGAAGTAGAATGCAGATATTACCAGAATACTGTTAATTTAAATTAGAAAAAAATTAGGTATCTGATAACATGGCAACTGAAAAGCATTCAAAGTAATCAGTCAAAAAAAAAGAGAGAAGTAGAAAAGACCAATACCCACACTATGATTATGAAAATGAAAGAATTAAGTGATAAGAAGATAAATTTTGTCTTAGTTTTCTTGATACCCTAGAATAGTAGTTCTTTATTTTTTGTGTGCATTAGAATTATCTGGAAGGCCTGTTAACACAGATCCCAAGAGTTTGTGATTCAATAATTCTAGGGTACAGCCCAAGAATTTTTATTTCCAATAAGTTCTCTGCTAATGGTGATGCTGGTAATCTGGGGCCACCTTTTGAGAACCAATGCCCTAAGATAAAGATACTAAATATGAATCAGGAACCACACACTCATAATCCTTCTCAGCACATGGCTCTAGGCAGCACTACCAATATTATCAACGTTGGTGAATAAGGGGCATTACTCTCTCTACCCTAGAAACTTTGTCTTCACAAAAGGATAATGAGAATTTATTTTAGAAATCAATATTTAAGACTACAACTGACTAATAAATTTGTCAAAACAATCTGAAAACAATGAGAAATTGAAGCTATCAAATTTAGGGTACTTATAAACATAATTCATTTATGTTTATATGTGAATTTAAAAAGTAGTAGTTGCACATATTTTTAATTACCTAGTAAGCACTCATAGATTACAAAATTTATAGTTTTTCATGAAATTTACAAACCTGCTGATGGCTTAACACTTATTATCTCAACTCCTTGTGGCAAAAGCAACTCTTGGCTATAAACCATTTCTGAAGACAGAGTCAATTTGCTGGTACTCTGGAGATTTTCTCTGCAAGCCTGATACTTCTGTGAAAAAGGAGATAGGATTTTCTCTGGAGAAGATGAATAATGTTCTTCTGGCTGCCAAACTGCTTCAGGTATTTTTTTATCTATATTTTCATCTATAAAACATAAGAAAAGAAGTAAAAACCAGAGGTGTGGGGGAACCCTATAAACATTGTAAACTGCTACATTTCATAATCCCAAACTGCCTTATAAAAGACTTTAAAAGTAATAAACATATTAATGATTCTTTATTAAGAAAATAAAATCATTTTGCATTTTTAATTAACTGAATAAACTATATATCACTATACAATAAAAACAGCTTTAAAAATATGCACTGAACAGTCTAATCATATGTACTTTGTTATTTTAAGAAATAACCATTTTATGGAAGAAGTTAAAACAAAAAGACTCACCCAATGAGACAGGAATAGACTTTAAATGTAAATTCCACATGTGTAACAATGAGTGGTTGTCTTGAGTGCACTCTATTACAATTAGGTAGAATTTTTCAGAAAATCCATTAGGTGAGCTGCCTATGAATATTAATGATATTTTTTATTATTAACAGGTATAAATGAGATAATTTATTAAATATGCTAACTTAAATGATTTTTAAAAGAAATATATTTTATTGATTTCATAGAGGAAAGGAAAGGGAGATAGAGATAGAAAAATCAATGATGAGAGAGTATCACTGATCAGCTGCCTCCTACATCACACACACTGTGGATTGAGCCCACAACCCAGGCATGTGACCCGTCCGGGAATCGAATTGTGACCTCCTAGTTCATAGGTCAGTGCTCAACAATGGAACTACACTTGCCAGGCAAAATAACTGATTTTTAAAAAGTCAAAACTCTTATCTACAGCTCCAAATAAAAAATGCAATTATAGAACAGAATCAACTTTACCACATGAATTTGTATTAATTTGAATATATTATACTTAAGTTTCATTTTTGAACTGACAGTCTTAAAAAATAATCACATAATACAGTCATTACCAATACAATGTTCACACAGATTAGACCATATTAAGTAGGAAATTTCTGAACAGATAAGAATTATGTGATAGGTACTTTAAGACAACATATCATGATGAAAATTGTGTTGTCAAAATATATTTTGAAATAAGACCATAATGAAATGACCTGTTAATGATGTTTATCTAAGGACCAATATATCAGTATTCATTATCCAACATATTATTCAGGAAAATTTTTTTTAGTCAAAACTGCATAATTTAAGCAGCATATAAATTGCTTAAAATAAACTAAAAAAATGCACCTATCTAAAATATATCGTAAAATCAGTAATTCATTATTGCCTGGGTAAAAAAAAAAACAAACAAACTTAAAAATGCTAGATTTTAACCCAAGTTTTCCTTATTTTCATTGTGCACAAAATTATACCTAGAAAATTACATTACAGAAACTATATAAGTCACAGAGAATATAAATATATCAGAAAACCATTTTGTCCTTTTAAATTTGCATAGAAAAGAAGTTTCAAAGAAACACCAGAAAAGAAAGATAACTATAATATCTTAAGAGACTAACTGAAAAGGAAACTTTGGTGATGTGTTCTGGGTGAGTTAGGCATGTAAATTACAAGAATTAAGAGAAAGGAAAGGATATAGGATTATAACAAAGTAAAAAAATAACAAAAAAATATATTTCTGATAAATTTTACTAACAAGAAAGTTTTAATGAGAGGAAATGCTAACAATACTAGCATTCTTATTAATACTTTAATATTAAAAAATAAAAAGCACAGAACATTTTATTAAAAATAAATAACTCTTTATCCTGTAACTGACATCTTTATTTCTCATTTTTTAGCATCCTGCAATCATTATATTTAGAAGTTACAGAAGCACTGTATTCTTGCACAGTTCATGAAAGCAGTGATAAGAAATCCTATATAATAAACGAGTAATATGCTAAGTGTCCAATCATTCATTGGACCGTTCATTTGACCATTCCACTAATCACTATGATATGCACTGACCATCAGGGGGCAGACGATCCAATAGGAAGGTTAGCTTGTTGCTGGGGTCCATCAGATCAGGACTGGATGAGATGGACCAGATGGGCCAGATGGGCTAGACATACCCTGAAGCCCACCCTTGGTCTCTCCCCAGCCAAATGGCCCCCATAGCTTCGAATGTTGCCAGCCAGGCCAAGGGACCCCACCATGCACGAATTCGTGCACCAGGCCTCTAGTTAAACATAAAAGTACAGAACTCAAAGAAGTACTTCTCAAAGGAAAATGGTAAAAAGGTAGAATAAAGAAATAAGTACAATAGAAGTAAAAAAAAAAAAATCTGGAACAAATAAAAATGTAGTCATTAATATTTCTTGAGGCTTATAACTAACTTTTAAAAGAGCAGGTACACACTACATGGTTGCTTTATAAGAACGGTCATTTTTGTGTTTGGCTTGGCTCTGAAAATTGAAACTGATGACCAAGAAATTTTAGCTTTATTTAGCTTTGTTTTCTTTTATGCAAATAAACAGTTAATATTGAGTGAAGGTGTTTAAATAATTTTCAAAACTATTTAATTTAAAGAGTTTTAATTAAAACATTTGGTCTTTAAATTATAACTTGAAGTGTTAAATTATTGTTTAAAATTATAGATGTCTACACTATCCAAATTGTCAAGATAAGAGCAGACCTATCAAAGAGCACTCATGCATTAATGACAAAATACATTTATATTATGCTTTTTAGAAAACGTAATTGACAAAACCTTTCAATTTGTTTATATTTCCTGATTAAAAGTAAAAAGATACTGATATTTATGATAAATAATGCTATAACCTACACAAGAAAATTTTAACTTCAAATAAATGACATGAGATATTATATCAATTTATCTTTATTAACTGCCTAACATACTCTATAGAACATTTCTCATTACATAAAAAATTGGTATTTACCTTCATCAGATAATATTCTGTTTTTTCCCATATTTTTCTTCTCAAGATTATTCAAAATGAAGTCCTCTTGAAAAACATGAAGTAGTTGGGTTTTTCGGCCTTGCTGAATGTAAATAAACAGTAATGTAAGTTGATATATATGTTATTTACCTAATGCTAAATGGCTACAAAAAAACATACTTACAAGTTTTGTAATGGGATCTAATGCAATAATGCATCCTGGCCTGGCTGTTGATTGTTGACTTACGATGTTAAATACTTCACCAACGTATTTCTATTTTAAAAAAATGGAAATAAACAAAAATATACATCTCCTTTAAAATACTTAAAAATACATGAAATTTTAAGCATAATAATCAATAATAAATACGTTTAAGTGTGGCCCAATAAGTTCACAAGTCACTTTCATTATAAACATCCTAGGACTCTTACCTTACTAGGGAATTTCATAGGAATGAATAAGAATTACAGCTCTTGTGCTTAGAAAAATAAAAGTAAAGCTTGGTAATTGTAAGGGGAAAAAAGTATTTTATACATATAAATGTGAAAGACTGACATCAATTTCATGGAACTGTTCTAAGAATAAATGCTTTTTAAGCACTAATTTTGAGGTAAGAAGAATGCAGCTAAAGAAATAAGTAGACATATTGTTTATCTAGCCACTTATGTCCTGACTGGTATATAATAGTTAAAGTCATATTGTTCAATTCAATCTTCATCATACTTGATTTATCAGCAGCACTGGTGATCACTCCCTCCTCCTTGAAGTAATTTTCTCCAGTTGCCTTCCATTATACACTGCACTCATATCATCCCACTTTAAACAAGTGATTGACCCAGGATTTAATTCTTCTATCACTCTAATTTCCAACTCTATTCTTTCCCTTAGTGACTTTATTCAGCTCTACCATTTTAAATTTAGATTCTAACAACTACTATTTTATCTCTTCAGACCAGCCTCTCACCTAAATTCCAGACTAGCCTACTGGATCTCATAGATGTCAAATATGCATCTCAAAATTAACATGTCCAAAGCTATTGCAGGCTCTATAGGTTCATGCAGGAGTCACCTGTTCAATGATTCATCATTCATGTTTTTCTCTCCCTCTTCTTTCCTCTCTGATATATATATATTTTGATCTGTTACTTATACATTCTTCACAACTCAAGTTGAGGCAATTCTATTTTTACTAATGCTTAGTCACAAAGGTTGGAAGTCATTATCTTTTTCTCACACAAAATTCATGTCCATTCCAACCTTAGCTATTTGATGTTCAAAACACATCCAGATTGAACCAATTCTTAATGTATTTATAACTATCACTTGCAACCATTCTAAGGCCATTTGACTCTCTCCTGGATTACCTTACTAAATAGATCTGATTTCACTTCCGTGTCCCTTTTCTAATCTATGTAGCAATCACAATGATCCTTCAAAAAAACCCAAGATCAGCCCTGGCCCTTGTTCTTAGTGGTTAGTGTCAGCCAGCACACACCAAAAAGTCATGAATTCAATTCTTGTCAAGGGCATGTACCTGGGTTACATGTTCGATCCCCAGCCCTGGTTAAGGCTCATGAGGGAGGCAACCAATTGATGTGTCTCTCATATATGGACACTTCTTTCTCTTCCCCCATCCTCTCTCCCTTCAATTCTCTCTAAAATGCAATGGAGGGTGGAGAGGAGATAGAATATCCTCAGGTGAGAATTTAAAGTAACAAAAAATCTGAGATCATATCACACTCTGGCATTTTCTTCAATGGGTTCTATATTATTCAGAGAAAAAGACAAACTTATCACAATCACCAATGAAGCCTCAAATGGTATTGCCGGCTAAGTTTCTGACTCATCCTTGACAACTCACCTGCCACCTCATTTACTCTGGTCTGTTCCAGCCATAGTGAAATCCTTGTTGCTCCTTTAAATACCAAATACTAGGTGTGCCCGTTAATAATGCAGATTTTTTTTTCAATAAATGGAGTTACACATATGTTGATATATATGGGATTTGATATGTATGCTGTTTTGTTGTATTGACAACAAGCTTCAAAACTTCATATGTCAAATTTGCTGAAGGTGTTAACATCATAGATATTTTTACACATAAAAATGTTGAATTTCATGCCAAAAAAAAGAGCATTTGCAGGAAGTTTTAATTCATTATTTTATTTTGAAAATAAAGTGTTGCTGAATACTTTGGGGAGCTTATGTTGAATATGCTCCATCTCAAGATACTTGTGAATGCTGGTTAAATGCTTTAAAAGTCATGATTTCTATGTGAAAGACAAAGAACATCAGGTCAACTGAAAAAGTTTGAAGACCAAAAATTATAAGCATTATTGGGTAAAGATGCATGTCAAACTCAAAAAAACAACTTGCAGAAAGATTAAACGTTGCTCAGCAAAAAATTTCTGATTGTTTACAAAAAATGGGAAAAATTTTAAAGGAAGGAAAATGGGTGTCACATCAACTGAACTAAAGACAAAAGGAAAACTGAAAAGTCATCAGTAAAATGTTGCTTCAATGGCACGAAAGTCTTTTTTGCATCAAATTGTGACTGGTGATGAAAAGTGGATTTATTTTGAGAATCCCAAACGCACAAAATCATGGGTTGATCCAGGTCAACCATCAACATTGATTGCAAGGCCAGATCACTTCAGAAAGAAGACAATGCTCTGAGTTTTGTGGGATCAGAAATGTGTGGTGTATTATGAGCTTCTAAAACCAGGTGAAACCGTTAATACTGATTATTACTGACAACAAATAATTAACATGAACCATGCTTTGATCGTGTAATGACCAGAATGTTCCAGAAGACATGGCAAAGTAATTTTGCTTCATTATGACTCACTATCACACACTTCAAAACCAGTTAAAGACACTTTAAAAGATCTTGCCTGGGAAGTATTAACCCACCCACTGTATTCACCAGACCATACTCCTTCAGATTACCACTTGATCTGATCGACGGTACATGCACTTTCTGAGCAGCACTTCAAAACATATGAAGAAGTGGAAAATTGGGTCTCTGAATGGTTTGCCTCAAAACAAGACAAGTTCTATTGGGATGGTATCCACAAATTACCTGAAAGATGGGGAAATGTGTAGCTAGCAATGGAAATTACTTTTGAGTAAAGTACTTTTGATGTTTCTCTTGAAATTGTCATGTTTTCTTTTGTTACAAAAAATCCAGCATTATTAACTGGTATACCTAGTACTCCAAAAATTTAAATAATTCCACAAAAGACCCTGAATAGCAACAGCAAACTTGAGAAAGACAACGAAGTTGGAGGAATCACATTACTTGATATCAAACTCTACTATGAGGCCACAGTAATAAAAACAGCATGGTACTGTCATAAAAATAGACATATAGATCATTGGAACAGAAATAAACCTACCCCTTTAGGTCAATTAATATTTGACAAAGGAGGCAAGCACATACAATGAGGTAAAGATAGTCTACTCAATAAATGGTATGAGGAATGTTGAACAGATACAAAAATATTAAACTATCCTGGCTGGTGTAGCTCAGTGGATTGAGCATAGTTCCATGGACCAAGAAGTCCCAGGTTTGATTCCAAATCAGGGCACATGCCCAAGTTGTGGGCTAGATCGCTAGTAGGGACACAGGAGGCAGCCCATCAATAATTGTTTCTCATTATTAATGTTTGTATTTCTCTCTGTCTTCCTCTCTGAAATCAATAAAAATATACTTTAAAAATTAAACTAGACCACCATAGATAAGAATAAACTCAAAGTGGATTAAAGACTTAAACGTTAGACTTAAAACCATAAAATCCTAGAAGAAAACATAGGTAATAAAATCTTGGACATTTCTCCTAACAATATTTTTCCTAGTATATCTCCTAAGGATAGGGAAGCAAAAGAAAAAATAAACAAATAGGACTACAATAAACTAGAAAGTTTTGCACAGCAAAGGAAACCATCAATAAAATGAACAGACAACCCACTGAATGGGGGAACATATTTGTCAATGACACATCTGATAAGGGGTAAATGTCCAAAATTTATAAATAATTTATACAACTCAATACCAAAAAAATAAATAATAAGAAGAATCCAATTAAAAAATAGGCAGAGGACCTAAATGGACACTCTCCAAAGAGGACATACATAATGAAAAGATGGTCAAGGAGGTCACTAATCATTAGAGAAATGCAAATTAAAACCTCAATGAGGAATCACCTCATACCTGTCAGATTGGCTATCATCAATAGATCTACGAACAAGTGCTGGCTAGAATGAGGAGAAAGGGGAACCCTAGTGCAATGTTGGTGGGGAGCTACAACTATACCACTGTGGAAAGTATAGTTACCTCAAAAATTTAAAAATGGAACTGCCTTATGACTCAGGAATTCTACCCTGGGAATTTATCTGAAGAAATCCAAAACACCAATTCAAAAGCATATATGCACCCTTACATTCACTACAGTGTTATTTTCAATAGCCAAGATTTGGAAGCAGCCCAAGCGTCCTTCAATACATGAGGGGATAAAAAAAGCTATGGTACATCTACACAATAGAATACTACTTGAAAGTAAAAAGAAGGAAATTTTACTCTTTGTGACAGCATGGATGGACCTGGAGAGCATTATGCTATGGAAATAAGCCAGTTGGAGAAAGATAAGCACCCTATGATTTCACTTATATGAGGGATCCAATGAACAAAATGAACTAATAATCAAAACAGAGACAAACTCTAGATAAGAGAATAGGCTGACAGCTGTCTGGGGGATAAGGGGAGATGAGGGTAGGGTGTGAGAGGTGTGGAGGAATTGAGCAAAATAGGAAAAGAGAGAAAAAATTCATAGACACTGACAAAAGCGTGATGATTGCGGAGGGGCAGGGAGTGGAAGAAGGAAAAGGGTACAGAGGAGATAAATGGTGATGGACAGAAATTTGACCTGGGGTGGTGAATACACAATACAGATGATGTGTTGTAGAATTGTGTACCTGAAATGTGTACTATTTATAAATTCAATAAAAAGGAAACATAAAACAATTCCTAAAAAATATAAGCCCCTCAATAAATATGTATTTCTACTATAATGCTATATATATGGCTTGAAAAAAACTTCTCTTCTGCAAAACCATACATTAAAAATAAAAATAACTTAGGAGTAAAACAGGATTGGAGGAGACCACTGATACCTATGCAATTCTGTAACCAGGGCATTAACAAAAATTTTAATTGGTAGTTGAGGAGACAGCTTGAATCTCCTAAATAGTAAAGCTGAAGATTACCTCAGGGAATATTTTTTAAAATATATTTTTATTGATTTCTCAGAGAAAGAAAGAGAAAGAGATAGAAACATTAATGATGACAGAGAATCATTCATCGGCTGCCTCCTGTATGCCCCCTACTGGGGATCAAGCCCGCAACCCAAGCATGTGCCCTTGACCAGAATTGAACCTGGGACTTTTCAGTCCATAGGCCAACATTCTATCCACTGAGCCAAACCAGCTAGGGCTCAGGAATATTTTAAAATCTCAAAACCAAAAACATGAAAATATTGGCTTGCTGGAGGTACTAAAATAATGCAGATGGTGGGTTGCTATTAGTTGGGCACGGAAAGAAGTGCTGCCTCTATCACAGGCAAAAGCTTTGCAAAGGTGCTGGAAGAACTCCATCCTGTTTGGCAGCCAAGCTGAAAGCTACATTCTTTGTTGGTTGAGATTAAAATTTCACTCGTTATTCCAGCTCACCTTGCCTAGAAAATAACTGCATATGAATCAACATAACTTCCACATTATACTAACATAACCTCCATTAGTGTCCATTTATCTCTGAGTAAGAAGTATTGCAGAAACACATATTGTAAAACACTAGACTTTACACATCCACTAAGTATAAATTAAGTATCTAAAAAATGTTTAGTTTTAAAAGCGATTTACTTACAGAAATTTCAGGATTGGAAAGGTCACAGAGAAGTTTCTTGGCATCAACAACTACTTCATATAATCTCAGATACTGTCCATCACTTGCTACGAAGCAAGCACTAGGAGAGTTGCAGTACGCACCTACAAAGTATTTACAAACATTTAAAATTTAATCATTATGCAATAATGTCAGAAAATCTAAATATATTAAATAAAAATCAGAATGTTTACCTAGACAGTAACTGGGTATCAGAGTGGGCAGCCATGCCACATTGGAAAATGCAGAAACATGAAGAGAATTAATCCGGGCAAGCTCAGAAACACCTCCGGAAAAAGACAATGGCCCAACTGGATCGACCCTCCAAAGAATTAGCTCACTATAAACTGCATTGGGATCCTGAAATGCCACATCACCGGTGCTTTTATCCTGTTGTGCCAAATCTTCGGTATTTACAGCATCATGAGGTTGTTTTTGGTTATCAACATCTGGTGTCCTTAATGCATTATGGTGTGATGTTGTCAACAATAATGGTAATACTGAATGGCAAGCTAAATCATTAAGATGAAAGCGATGACCACAATATCTAGATTTATGTGAAATACTGAGAACTGTAGAAAAAGCAGATTCTTCAGCAAAACTGACTAGCCACTGATTCAGAGAACCATCAGCATGCTTTGAAATCATCATAACATTAGGGGTAAAAATACTTAATTTTAAGCTATTAGTTGATTTATTGTGACCAGAAGAGATAAGCATTGATGTGGAACGTGTGAGACTAGAAGGCTTTTGTTTCCCTTGTTGAAGAGCCAAGTCAACATTCTTGGTACAGGCGTACATCACTATGCTTTTACAGAGAGAGTTCGCATCACCTGTGGGAAAAGCTACTGGAATTCTGGAAACAAAGGACACCTAGAATGAAGAAAGTGATAGTTAGAATGAATGAATTATATAAAGAGGTATTACAAAACTGTACCTACATTTAACAAGTAACTTTCCAGAGATCTTAAAAATAGTACCTGTACTTGGCGAAACATACCAGGCTGGTATTCATCCAGCCAATCCACATGCCAAACCAGCAAAGAGCCATCCATGGGATGAATACTGAATAGCATATCTGCATTTTTACTCCACTCAGACAGAAGTACTTCAATCTGATGATCAATGGCAGCTGATGGTAATGGTACAAAACTTGAGTTTGGTATCATTTTATCACTACTCAATTCCTTTTTTTCATGATTTATTTTCAGATCATCAACACCATCATCCATTTCTATAAGCAAAATAATTCAAGAACCAAGTAAATACAATCAAGCTATTACTATAATTAAAATATTTTTTAAAATATATATTTCTTTGTTTATTTCAGAGAAGAAAGGAGAGAGAGAGATAGAAATATCAATGATGAGAGAATCATCGATTGGCTGCCTCCTGCACACCTCCTAATGAGGATCAAGCCCACAACCTGGGCATGTGCCCTTGGCCAAAATCGAACCTGGGACCCTTTAGTCCGCAGGCTCACATTCTATCCACTGAGCCAAATTGGCTAGGGCTAAAAGATATCTTTAAAAATGCATTCAAGATAAAAAAAAAAAAAAAACAGATCCCCTTGTGCCCTCCCCAAAAGAAGAAAAAAAAAGATAAAAAACATAATAGTTTTCATAAACAAGAAATGGGCTCCCCTTTAAAAATCACTGGATTATTGGTAGAAGGGCTATGATTGGACTGGAAAATAGGTAAGCTGGTTTCTAAACCTAGATATACCACAATTAACTACTCAGAAGTGAGACACACCAATTCTCTGGATTTTAGTTTTACTCATAGTAAAATGAGGGAGTTGGAACTGGAGCTATAATTCTGGGCTAAATTTTTAAAATATAGTATTAGAATGGAATTTGCACCTTTTCATAATATCATATTTATCAAAACATGCGTCTGCTATACTATCCTCTAGGTCAGCAGTCGCCAATCTTTTGGACCTCATGGACCACTAGTGGCCCACAGACCACCGATTGGTGACCATGCACTTAAAACTGGCATGATATTTTAAAGAAACTATTTTAAAAGAATACATTTATAGTACCCAATTTCTAGATTTTCTTCAACACATAGGTAATTAAAAATAAACTGGTATACCAGCTTCATCTAGGTAAATATGTATATTCTGACCTCTATTTCAAATACCTCGGACTCTATTTCCATTTAAGAGACTCTCAAAAATGTTAGATTGTTGGCCAGATTTTAAAAATTGGTCAAGACATACAAATCATTAAGAAAAAGAAAAAGAATTCAATAGAAAATCAGGAAAAGGGCATGAAGAGCAAAATAAATATGTTCAATTTGCTTCAAGAAAATGCCAAATAAAACAATATACACTATTTTCCCCATATTGACTGGCAAAAGTGATATAATGAAAAGATCCAGTGGTGGCAGGGATGTAAAAAAAAAAAAAAAAAAAAAGGATATACAGAGATACTTAGAGGAAGTATAAACTGGTAAAACATTCCTGGAGGTCAATTTGGCAGAAGATGCTATGCTGTACACCAGTAACTAATCACCTGCCCCTCCCCCAAAAAAGTTAAATTTTAAAAAATTGATAGACATTATTGAAATTTATAATGTTGGCACTCTAGCAATTCCACATTTAGGAATCTATGTTACAGAAAAATTCACACAAAGATGAAAAGATGTGTCACCGTACCTTTACCAGTATAGTAAAAACTACTCAAATCAATTTAAATGTCCATCAATAGAGGAGATGCTAAAGTTTTCTCTTGACATGGCATACTCAGAAAATGTTTTTAAAAAGTGAGATGGAAAAGTTCCCATACTGAATTTAAAAAAGCAGGTTGCAAAACACTAATTTTGTTTTAAAATGAACTTCCGTAGTACTTTTTAAAAAACTGCCTATGTAAATATGTAGGAAGATAGAAAAGAATAAATGTAGGACACTCACTAAACAATATGTAAACTTTATACATATCTATATCATTTTATTTCTTCCCCCAATGAGCATGTGCAATCTTATAATTAAAATAAAACTTTTTAAAATCAAAAACATTTATGAACCATAAACTATAGCAATAGCTAGCTGGTCACCACAAACTCAGTTTTTAGTCCTTAACATAGGATGGCTACATGGACTCCATTACTAGTGCTTTCCCCTGAAATGAGAAAGTGATATGTGCCAATTCTGAGTCAAAGTTGAGAAACAGCTATACCTTTTCCTCTCCCTCTCTCCCCACCTGACTAGACTAAATGCAAAGAGTTTAAGGCCCTAGTGTAATGCTTCCCAAACTTTAATATATATACAAATCACTTGAGGATGTCATTAAAACTATGGATTCTTGTTTAGTAGCTCTAGTAGAATCTGAGATTGTGCATTTCTAACAAGCTCCCGGGTAATGTCCATGCTGCTTGTCCACAGATAGTCCCAGGAGTAAGTGGCAAAATTTGACATGCCTAAATATGAAGAATCCTGAGTCCCTATATCACCATGTGGAAGAAAGCTATACATGGAAAAGGAACATTTTCACTAAATTGTTAAATGAGCTAATCCAAATTTATGTCGTTGCAATTCTGAATTTTATTTCTAACAGTAGCTAGTGTTTCTTAATATAAAAATCTTTACTATTCTGAACAAAAATTTATATTTTTTATCCTTCTTAAAACTTTACCTTCATCAGATTTTGCATCTGCTTGATTAGAGTCTTCCACACTGGCCTCAGAAGATGGTTGTTCAAAACTTTTTCTAAGTTGGTGTAAAAAGACTTCCATGGACAAAGTAAAATGTAATTCTTTATTGTTTAGCCAGTGTACCACAAAAGGTCCACTCTTCTCTTCATTTTCACTTAGACTTAGTGATGTAATAGAAGGAAGAAGTGGAATATCTATAAAGAACAACAAAAGCAACAAAATTAAAATTTCTATCATTCTAGCATACATTGAGATCTCCTTTTTTTATTGACTGCAATACATTTTATTTAACCTATAAATAAGATTCCCAACATAATCTTTACCACAATTATTATTAACTAGAGGCCCACTGCACAATATTCATGCAAGAATAGGCCTTCCTTCCCCTGGCTTCCCTCCCAGTTGCCCGGAAGCCTGCAAGTCATTACTCCTTGCCACAGCAGGGCTCCTGTAGCTCCCTCCTCCTTCCTCTCACAGCAGGGGTCCTGCCTCTCCTGGCCACTTAGCGACCTGCATATGCAAATTAATCTGCCATCTTTATTGGGTTAATTTGCATACTCACTCCTGATTGGCTATGGGCATGGCGAAGGTATGGTCAATTTACATGTTTGTCTATTATTAGGTAAGATAACAAATGGTAAATTTAATATACCTATTATAAGGAAGTAAAATTATGTATTCTAGGTCATATAGCATACTTTATTTTTATATGCATAATTTTCTTTAATTCTAAAAATAATCTCATCAAGAAATGTCTATAATTTATAGACATCTTAATAAAAATGTCTTCAATGATACATACACTTTGATAAGAAACACTTTAACCTGATCTACCATGCAAAAGCCATTATCATGATGTCAAAGGAACTAATAAGTTATCTGAATAGCAACAACTTACTTAATAGACAGACATATTAACATTTTAATGGCCTACCTTTCTAGTTCTAAGATAGATACTACTTATTTATTAGCATCAAGATTAGAGTTGGAAAGTGAAATTTAGGTTCCCTTATGTTCAAAAAAGGCTTTTAAGACAAACTAATTCAACTAAAAAAATAATTGTTCCTTGGTATTATTTTTTATTTAATGCTAAAGTAAGCATATTGAAGTACAAATTCAACCTAAGTTATGACAAATCATAATCCCTAGTTAATAAAGGTAAAGAAAAATTTGTCTATCATATTAAATCACATCTAAATCTTGCTCATGCTGAATGTAAGCTGAATGTAATTAGAATGTAAACTGATTCTATGCTTCATGAGAGCAAGGATCAGACCTCTTTTGTTTCGCCAGTTCCTACCACTACCTTCAATTTCACTTTCCAACTTCAATTTTGATACTGGTACAAACTAAACACTCAATAAAAGCCTAGTGGGACTGAACTACCAATTCCAGTGTTCCTAGGTAGATACGCACTAATGCCAGGGATTAAGAAAATGCCCCAAGAGTACTAATTTGCTGGGATTTTTTGATTTTTTACTTACGATCAAATCAGAAGAAACCAGCAATGTCTCTAATAGACTGCATGCCTGGTTGTTAAAGTACACAAGGAGAGGAAAACCCACAAAACAAAAAAAACTCTTTTTTTTTTTTTTGTCTCCTGGCCTTACTTAAAAAATTTGATTAAAGTCATTTTTATGAGAAATCTTCATGGGAAGGATATAAGTACTAGAATGAAGAGAATATGCTCTTAGGGGTTCTTCTCCTGTTTCTATTTCTATTGATGGGCAAATAAGTGTATCCAAATCTGAAAGTGGAGCTTTAAATAAGAAATAAAGCATCCAGAAAGGTAATTCCAATAGATTTAATTTAAGGAAAGGAATTTCCCATAAGGAAAGGAGTTCCTGTGGTCTATTACCCTCTGCTAATAATATTATTTTGCTTTGATTTGCTCTCTATATAGGGATTTTCCTTTGATACAATCTAAGAAAGGTTTTAGAAAACTTTCCTTATGGAAAGGTAGTCATCAAGGAGATGCTACATGGGAATTAAGGTTTTCCTTTTCTATAATTTCTTAGCCTTTTCATTAAAGTGAGAATTTAAGCTTTCTACCAGTATATTTTCAAAATATTGTCTTTTGCTCAGCAGATACTCAAAATGATTCTACTGACCTTAGAATTGACTCAATGATAAAGGTAATGATATTTTCCAAGCCTATATAATTTTTAAATAAAAATAATTCAGTACCCTCCCCTTAACATTTTCTAAGTTCATGGATTCTTTTAGGACTGGTATCCTCTACATGTTAACTTCTCTAATCAGAGCACTTTTCACTTTTATTCAAGTAAATATTTACTGCTATGTTTCTTTGAAGAATATAATTCAGCAAATCCAGTGTGCTATATGAAAACAGATGATGCTAAATTTATGCTTAAGAATATCCCAAAATATATAAAAACTTATCAATACTGGTTATCTTCTAGGAAGATAAACTAGGTTAGATAGAGGTGAAAAAAGGCTCTCACTTTTCACTTTCTGTAGATGGTATTAATCATATGCAAATATAATTTTTAATTTTTCCCAGGAGTATTCTAAGGTTCTACTTTAAATGCCCCAGCTGTGATCACTTGGTTTCTAAACTTGCATTTACTAAAATGATAAGCACTTAAATTCTTCAAATTTACAAATCCAGATATTCTAATCTTCAATCCAATAATAGTACATATTTGATTATAGAAATAAGTTTCTTAATTCTTCCATTTATATCTTCTACATATTTCTGCTCTATTTCTGAACAGGTTTCAAAGATCAAGTATTAAACACATTGGTTATATTTTAACAACTATAAATAATAATAAAATGTCACTCTGTGATGGTTACTTCTATGTTACGTATTAACTCAAATCTCAAATTTGAATAAACTACTAAAGAATCTCAATGGCTTATCAAGATCTTAAATGGCAAGCCAAATCATAGCCTTCAGGAAGAAAAAACATTAACAAAAATCTCATTTTTTATAACCAGTGAGTTAGCTATAATGAAATATTAACTAAGAAAGTCACCTCCAATATTTTTACCTAATTTATATTTATAACTTATTTGTTATCAAAAATCAATATACTCGATTCCAAAACCATTTTGAAAAGTGCTTTATTACCTGTGGCTGGGTTGATGCTGGCTGCAATATGAAAGTGGCAAAGTGCATTGGCATGCAATGGAGTGTTCCTGTGGACATGATGAGGATCCTGCTGATGTGGCAGGTATCCGGTATGTGCTACAAGTGCAAGGGATCTCCTTCGACCTCTACGAAAATGTCTCAGATTTACCTGTGTGAATAAACAAAACAAAACTAATGTCTATATTGACAAAGGATATATGTATAGATTACATAATGACTATTAGACATTACAGATATTCTATCTCAGGTGAGTTTATATGCACATTTGTACATAAATATTTTTCAGTAGACTTGAACAGCTAATTTGAAACCTGAAGAAGTTTGAAGCTTAAACTACCTGACTCTTAACTATTACATAATTCATTGCAATTTTACTTGGTTTGTTTTCTGATAAGTATTTTCCTGAACTTAAAAGAAAAGTTTACAATAATGTGCCTGTAGACAATGATGTTTCTATGTACACTGTTTCCCTGGTATCAACAGCTTACTTCCTATGACCAGAAAGCATTGGGTAATATCACCATAATAAATTAGGGTTTTATTTCATAATTTACAAAGCATTTTCAGAGATTATCTCATTTTACCCATATGGCAGACGTTGAAAATATTTTTATTCTCATCTTTCAGATGATAAAATAGTTCATATAGAACTCAAGGTCTAAAAGTAGATAAGAATCTTCGGATTTTTAGTTGTTGAGTCTCCATGAATTCTATATTTCATAATATTCTGAGCCATTCAAATACTATACTAATTTGAAAAATAGTTGTTCCATAATCATATAAAGCATTCAAAGATAAATCATTTTTAGATTACTTCCTGTTTTCAATATTAAGAAAATAATAAAAAGAATCTGTAATACTAGTCAGTGTTAAATTAGTACAAACATCAAAAATTGACTTTTACTTTCTACACCACTTAGTAAAATAAATACTCCAAGTTCTGAGGGTAAAGATAACAACTGTAGAACAGAATCTGACAAACTCCTCTAGTCATTCCTGTCATTAAAACAGGACATAACACCCCAAGCTCTAATAATAAAGAAAGAAATAATAAATAAAACATTCTTATAATCCCACCTTTGCTTTCTCAGATTTTAATTTATTTTTTGTTTAGCTAACACAAGTGCAAGCTTCCTTTTGTTATCAATTAACCTAATTATAACTTTCATAATTATAAGTAATTTTTGCTCTACATGAAATCCTTAAGAACACTTTTTAAATCAAATAAAACTAAAAACTTTTGAGATATTCTTAAGACATTCGTATTTTTTATAACTATCCACATGACTTTGATTATTAATCAGGATAAATGTTACAAAAAGGGCAATGTAAAAAAAAGTTTTAAAACTTGTAGGATATAACATCTAACAAAAACACTCACATCTAAAGTGTTTTGAACTCGTTCTTTACTGGAAGCATTTCTCTCAAACTTATTTGTCAAATTAAGCGGTTCAGTCCAATGCTTGCTGTCACCTCCATAAAGTAAACAATCATTTGGTAAAAATGTCTCTACCCAAAGTCGACACACATTATCTTTGCAGCAAGTCAACAGTACATTGCATACAGAAGCCCTATGGAATAAAAGCATATTAGAGACAAAAATATAAATTTTACATAGTATCACATTCTATAATAGTTCTATAATGCGCAGAACTCAGGTACTAATGAAGAAAATATCAATATATGTTTATACAATGTATTTCACCAAAACTACTGCAATTGAGTGGGTTTGTGGTTTCACCGTATCAAATGCTTGCTAACCTATTTCTTTTCTGCCTAAAATTAGGTAGTTCTTGTTTCAGTCATCTAAGATTTTTCTTACTGCTGAAGAATAAACACTGAGATCATGCCACAATCCCTCAGTTAAGATTTTTTTTAAAAACACAAAATACCCACATCTATTTAAAGTTTCTGATTTATTCAATGGATAGTTATTTGAATTATTTCATAATGCTTCACTTTTACTTCCTATACAGGCACATGTACACTGGTCCCTAACAGGCTACATTAACTAGAACACTTATTCTCTCCTTACCTAACACATATGCTAAGTTAGTGAATAGAAAGAATAGAAAATTCATGATATAGTAAGTACAGCCACCTACTTCCTTAGCCATTCGTGATTTTTAGTGAATTGATCATCTTGCCACCCCACAAAATAAAATCAAAACCAACTGCACATATATTAATAAGATCCATAAGCATTAAGAGTTCAATGTTGGCCGAGTCTGGTTTGGCTCAATGGATAGAGCGTCGGCTTGGGGACTGAAGGGTCCCAGGTTTGATTCCGGTCAAGGGCATGTACCTTGGTTGCGGGCACATCCCCAGTAGGGGGTGTGCAAGAGGCAGCTGATCGATGAGTCACTCTCATCGATGTTTCGAACTCTCTATCTCTCTCCCTTCCTCTGTACAAAATCAATGAAATATATATTAAAAAAAAAAGAGTTCAAGGTTGAAATTCTATTCACAAAGACTACCTCCTATCAGTACACTCAGCAAATTTAGAAAAAAAGAAGACACTATATCCTGTAGTATTATAGTTTTATTAAAATATATATTTAAATATAATTGATTATATAAAAAGAGCAATCAGTAGAAGGCTTCTATCAAGTAATTCAGTAAGTCAAATTTTTAAAAAGGAAATAAAAAGTCTGTAGCAGTCACTTTGTTAAACCTGATTAAAAAAAGAATTGCAAAAGGGAAGAGAGGACAGCATGTTTTATTTTGCTTGCTCTTTCCTTCAGTTTTCCTCTCTATTCTCTCACTGCTCTCCTTTCTTCCCCTTCCTTCCCTTGTCTACTCCCTTTTCTTCCTTATCCAGCTATTCCCTGGGCTTCTCCCCCTCAAATCTCAGCCTCTCCTCCTCTCCAGGCTACCCTCTCTTCCTCCTGTCCCTTCACTTCTCTCCGCTTCTTAGAGCCCTTCCTTCCTTCTTTCCTTTCCAAGCCCTGTTTGTTTCTCCTTTCTCTATCCTCATGCCTATCCCTTCTCCATTTTTCTTCCTTTTTCTCTAGTCCACTCTGACCTTTTCCTACCTCCCCCCCTTCCCTCTTGGTTTTCTCTAGTACATTCACACACAGAGGCAATGGCAAGGAAACTAAAAGAAAACAGAAACAGAAGAAAATACATCAAAAGGAAATATACAGAAGTTCAAGGTTCATATTGCCCATTAGTAAAGAGCAGAATGGAAAGGCTGGCTTACAATGAAAGAGCAGAAGGTAAGAGACTAAAGGGCTGAATAGATAACAATCATCTACACTAATAAAGAGAAATAGCGTACCTCTACTATGCCCAGAAGTCACACCCAGCTGCCAATCAGGAGTATGCAAATTAACCCAACCAAGATGGCTACAGTCACAAAGCAAGCAGGAGGTTTGGGTTTCCCCAGCAATGGAAGAAGCCAAGCTTCCCGCCCACTCTGGCTGCCCTGCCCTTCGCTCAAGGCTACAAGTTTCAATTATAGAAGATAAATAAATCCCGACCAAAATGGCAGCAGCTATGGAGCTGGAGAGAGCAGGAGGCTTGGGTTGCCTGGCGATGGAGGAAGCCAAGCTTCCTGACTGGCCTTGGCCCCCGCTCAAAGTTACAGTTTCAATTTTAGAATAAATCCAGATACCAGGACCTCTGCTTGGGTTGCTGTGGAATGTGGCCAGCCAGCAAACCAGGCCTCTTTCCCAGGCCACCCCACACCCCAAGGGAACCCCCACCCTGAGCCAGGTCACCCTTCAGGGAAAACCAGCCAGCCCCCACCCATGCACCAGGCCTCTATCCTATCTAATAAAAGACTAATACGCAAATTGACTGTCACTCCACCACACAAGATGGCTGCCCCATGTGGACACAAGAGGGCTGCCACAAGATGGCCAGGAGAGGAGTGCAGTTGGTAGGGACCAGGCCTATAAGGGAGGGCAGTTGGAGGCAATCAGGCCAGCAGGGGAGGGCAGTTGGAAAGGACCAGACATGCAAGAAAGGGCAGTTGGAGGTGATCAAGACTGCAGGGGAGGGAAGTTAGGGGTGACCAGGCTGGCAGAGGAGGGAAGTTGGGAACGACTGGGCCTGCAGGAAAAAGCAGTTGGGGGGAAACCAGGCCTGCAGAGGAGGGCAGTTAGGGGCAATCAGGCTGGCAGAGGAATGATTAGGAGATGATCAGGCTGGCAGGCAGAAGCAGTATGGGCAATCAACAAGGCAGGCATGCAGGCAAGCAGTTTGGAGCCAGCAGTCCTGGACTGTGAGAGAGATGGCTGAGTGCCCATTTAGGCCCGATGCCAGTAGGACATCCCTCGAGGGATCCCAGATTGGGGAGGGTGCAGGCTGGGCTGAGGGACACACCCACCCCCACACACGAATTTTGTGCACTGGGCCTCTAATAAGAAGTATAAGAATTTAGGCAAGGGCAAGAAAAAAAGAAAGGTGCACAACTCAGAAGCATGTAGAGGTCTTTAACCCTGGAATGTGGGTATCCCAGCTGCCTTTCCTTAGGATACTAGGCTTACATATAATCAGTGTAAACAGCTGGCATGTAAGAAATATTTTGATCTACTTGAGGCATTTCTCTGGCAATACCTTCCTTCCTCACATCTTTATCTGGGTATCTTATTTTTCTTTAATGGCATATCATTGAAGATAATTTTTAAAAAAAGGTATGACCTTATAGAAGGCAAACATGTGATGGGTAAATGTCTGTGACACCCATCCTATTTTGATGTAATAACAGGCTAAACCAACTTTTAGAGGTTCCTGGAAAATATAAACAAATCTCTCAACCTGTCCTACATTCATCAGTTTTTAATTAGTAAAGATGCTTATCAAACACTTCTCTATTATTCTTTCTCAAACCAGTAGTTCCTTGCGTAATGCATTACCATTTGGTCAAGCATCTCTTTTTCTTAATTTAATCCTCACCTAGTATTTTTCCATTGATTTTATTGGGGTGTAGAGGAGAGAGAGAGAGAGAGAGAGAGAGAGAGAGAGAGAGAGAGAGAGAGAGAGAGAGAGATATCAATGTAAGAGAGACACATCGATTGGTTGCCTCCCACATATGCTCTAACCAGGGCTGGGAATCAAACGTGCAAGTGCAGAACTCTTGACCCTTTGGACTGTTGCTCTAACCACTGGGCAACAGGCTAGTGTTGGTTGAGCATCTTAATTTTATGTGAAAAACAAACCACCTATATCACTTGCTCAGTGAAGATGCCATATTAAAAAAAACAATGATTTTTTATGAGATCTGTTTCTCCTGAGAAAGGGTCAGCCTTGCCACTATATACCTGCAGGCAATAGGCAATTTTAAAACAAAGTATGCATGCATATAAACATATTCAATGGATATACGACACTGGGGGTGGGAAGGCATGTGCGGGGAGGTGGGGGGGGGGGCGATGGAAGGGAGGCCAGGAGGTCAATGGGGGGAAAAAAGAGAAATATGTACTACTATTTGTAAGACTGTAAACAATAAAATAAAATAAAAATGTTTTTAAAAAGTAAAAACTGAGATAGCACAGGGAGTTAAGCTAATTCTTAAATCACATGGATCCAAAAGTAAAATTCTGGATACCTGTAAAAGATGCCATAACTAACAAAATTCTAGTTCCATATCACAGTTCCCTATGCTTCAAAATTCAGTTGGTAAGAGATAAAATGAACCCAGGCAGTTAAAAACAAACAAACAAAAAACTGGTATGCCTTATTGCTATTATCAGGCATTTGTAACGGCACACTGTAAGGCATCTGCCTCTGTCTCCACTGTGACCATTGTTGCCAACATTGAGTGAATTTGCTCAGGAGCAGATGTGACTGTCTTCTCTTAAAAGATACCAAACTACATAAGCCTCTTTTTTCAGTATGCTGGTAGTCTAATATCTGTGAATGAAAATTTGGGATATAGAAGAAGAAATCAGCCTCAGAAATGATGTAATCTTCAGATATTTCTAAAAGGTATGATTCAGTGGTTGAGCAATTGACCCATGAACCAGGAGGTCAAGGTTCAATTCCTGCTCATATGCCCAGGTTACAGGCTAAATCCCCAGTGGGGAGCTGCAGGAAGCAGCCAATTAATGATTTTCTCTCATCATTGATGTTTCTATCCCTCTCTCCCTCTTTCTTCCTCACTCTGAAATTAAAAAAAAAAAAAAAAAAAAAAAAAAAAAGGTTCACATGGTATCTATTTTTACTGGGGTCATTTACAAACATGCCACAGCTCATTCTATTCTAAACACATTTTTATATATGTGGGCAATGGTCTCAGAGGTATTAGAGCAGTAATTCTCAAAGTGAAGCTCAGATGAGGGTGCTTTTGCTAATGATATGGGTTGTCTACAGCACTCTTCCTTAACCCAAACTCTGACACATCCTCCTAACAACAGAACCATGACTGTTCCTAAAGTGGCCTCTTATGTATTGCTATATTGGAAGGCTGGGGTAGAAACAGTAATAACTATTACATTATAAAATACCTCAAAAACTAGGTATAACATTAATGATTACAAGTTATTATATATTTTTCCAAATTCATAAAAGTAAAACACCAAGAGTGAACTGTAGAGTATGGAATTTAGGTTATAATAGTATGTTGAAATAGGTTCATAAATCTAATAAATATGGAGGATGTTGACATCAAGGGAAGCTATGTATGGGAGCAAAGGGTATATGAGAAATCTCTATACTTTCCCCATAATTTTGCTGTGAACCTTAAACTGCTCTAAAAAAAAAAAAAAGTCTCAATATAATTTTATTTTAAATCTAGGTATACTCTGCTGGCTCAGTAGAACAAAACTAAAGTCAACAAATGATCCAGGTACATGACCATGGATCAGCTAAGGACATCTCAATGACAAAAAGGGAAAAAATGTACTACTCCACGATGTGGCAAAATTGAAAATGGCCATGTACAATAGAACAAAAGGGGATTTCTCCCTATACTCCAGTAACAGGTATCTATAACTTACTAAGTAGAGGCAAAAATGCAATGGGGTATCAAGTCCTGCAAGTACTACATGAAAGAAATGTTAACAGCTGGGCTTGTGCATGCATGTATAATTTAAACTAACACCTAGTTCAGGATATCATAATGTAAAATGCATTCTCTTTTCCTCAAAGACATTGGACATAATTAAATAAATGTTTTAGCCCTAGCCGGTTTGGCTCAGTGGATAGAGCCTCAGCCAGTGGACCAAAAGGTTCCAGGTTCAATTCCAGTCAAGAACACATACCGAGTTGCAGGCTCCTCCCTGCCCTCTGCCCTGATCCGGGCTCATGCAGGAGGCAGCCATTCAATGTATTTCTCTCACATTAATATTTCTGTCTTTCCCTCTTTCTTCCACTCTGTCAAAGAACCAATAGAAAAATATCCTTGGGTGAGGATTAAAAAACGAAAGAAGTGGTTTAGGCCTCATCGTATGTCCTCTCAATAAAACTGGGGGAGGGAGGCTATTTTTTTTTTTTTTTAAGAAGAGAAATACACATAGAAAGTAGAAGACAAGAAAGTAAAATGTGAAAAGTTCCATGCAAACAATATGAAGAATGATTTGGGATAAAAGAATTAGATACATAACAAAGAGAAGAAAAAGATGCACAACTCTGTCACCTAAAAACATCTAATATGGGAATGTAGGGAAGGGTGGGATAAAGGGGAGAGATCAACCAAAGGACTTGTGTGCATACATATGAACCTAACCAGTCGTCAATGACAACAGGGGGGTGGGGTTATACATGGGGAAGGATGGGGGATGTGAATGAGGGGATGAGGACAAATATGTGATACCTTAATCAATAAAGAAATTAAAAAAAAAACAAACATCTAATATTGGAGTATATCATCCTTTCATATAGCTCTCCTCTTAACTGGCTCATGGCCAGAGGGCTACAAGCCAGGGACTATGTAATATTACTTGAATCTTCATAGGCAAAAGTCCTATACCTATGGATTTTCAAAAGAAGAAAAGTAGTCAAAGTCACAAAGATGATGTTCTCTTAAGACATAGGAAATATTACTAATCCACTGACCTAGGCATATATTTACTTGTTTTACGCCAGGAAAATCCATTTACAGCTCGAGGATGGGCCAGATATACAAAAGAAAAGTCAATTTCTCCTTGGGATTGTTTTTCTGAACTTTTATCTGGAGATGAAACAGTTGTCCGCCAGTTTTCTACATTATACCATACCTTTAAAAGACAGTCATCCTAAGAGAGAAAAAAAAAATAGAAAAACATCCACATCAGAATTAAAGATTAAGTGAAATAGCAAAAGTAAGGTTTTCTCCTCAATCACAGCAACTTAAAAATGGAGAAAAGGATTGTGCATGGATGAACTGAGTAGAAAATCTGTGATGTTGACACTTTTCTATTAGCATTCCCTAACTGGGCTTTGAGAATTAAGGTGTGTGAATGTGTGCATTTAGCAAGGATTGGTTCAAGAAAAATTCTAGTTACTATAAACTATGAAAAACAGAGTCATTCAGGAAACTGAAAGATGAAGTTAAGGGTACTTTTTCCATTTAGCCAAGTATCAAATAAGAAAACATTACTACTGGCAAACTTAAAAAGACAGATAATATCTGAAAACAAAGGACAGTTTTCATGAACTATCATATGAATGTTCAAAGAAAATGTTGAAGATAATAAGTAGTTAACAACCACTACTACATTAAATAATCTAAGTAAAATCAAAATTGCATCTTCTAACTTGGGATGTAAGGGAAGAACAAGGGAGATTAAAATACACCAGGTTTTACTCTTAAGCTATAATTACATTCCCACCTGTAATGTCAACCTGAATAAATAGCTCCACTTCTAAGAAAACCTCACTGAGGCCCAGTCAATGTAGCTCAGTGGTTGAGCCTCAACCCATGACCCAGGTGGTCATGGTTAGATTCCCAGTTAGGGCACATCCCTGGTGTTGTGGTCTCAATTGCCCCTAGGGGGCGTGCAGGAGGCAGCCAATCAATTGATGTTTCCATCTCTCCCTCTCCATCTCTTTATAAAAACATATTTTTTTTAAACCCACGGAAGATTTCGAGTATCTCACATTTTTAATTTGCAGAAGGCTTTGAGCAATGAGAGTAACTTCAATTTTGCATTAACTCCTCTGTAAACCAATGATTAAAAATAAAATCATTTCAAATAAATACACTGTTCTGAAATCAATAAATAACAAAGAAAATAAAAGTCTGCAAATTCTTATAGCTTAAATACAGTTTATATATCTGTCTGCTTAAAGATAATATAAATAGTAGCAAGTTTATAGATAGTATATTACATGCAGAACACTATGCCGGTCACTTTACATAATACTGTCTAAATTAATCCTATGATGAATGACCTGAAGTAGGTATTATTATTCTCAGTTTACATACGAGAAAACCAAGGCTCAAAGAGATTAACTAATTACTCAATATCAAAAAGTTGGTAAATGGTAGATTTATAACCAGATTACCTTTAAGTCTGTGCTGTTTCAATTATATTATATTACCTTTCAAAACAGTAATATTGAGCCAATTTTTGCTATTTAACATTTTAAACAGAAAATATTTTCAACCTAAATAAGAGTAAAGCCGATTAATGTGTTTTTAAAAAAATATATTTTATTGATTATTTTATAGAGAAAAAGGGAGAGAAAGATACATCGATGAGAGAGAAACATTGATCAGGTGCCTCCTGCACACCTCCCACTGGGGATGTGCCTGCAACCTAGGTACATGCCCTTGACGGGAATCAAGCCTGAGACCCCTCAGTCCTCAGGCAGATGCTTTATCCACTGAGCCAAACCGATTAGGGCCCAATTAATGTTTTTATGAAGTTTCAAAATAAACCATAAACACAATTTGGCAATAGCAGTTTTATAAATTACCTTCCCAGTGGTGGCAAAAAATTCTCCATCTGGTGAAAATTTCATTAAATGAATTTGAGAAGCAGTTCTGTAAATCAAACAGATAAAGAACAATTTTCAAGGAAAAATAAGAAATAATGTAGTATTACTCCATTAAACTATACTCAGCAATTTCTTCAAATAATAAAAATTTCTAATAACACAAGTTACACACTCACTTTTAGTATAACTCTTAAATATAAAATAAATTTTAAAATATAAAACTTCACATTAAATATAAATATTATTTTTATGTCTAAATATCCACACATAAGAGTCATACAAGACACGACTTGTCAGTCTTTAAACCTTAAGATCAGCCCTGGCCAGTGTGGCTCAGTTGGTTGGAGCATTGTCCAGTATGCCAAAAAGTTTCAGGTTCAATTCTTGATCAGGGCACACACATAGATTTTGGGTTCAATCCCCAGTCAGGAAGCATATGAAAGACCATGGATCAATGTTTCTCTCTCACATCAACATTTCTCTCTCTCTCCCCCATCCCTTCTTTCATAAATAAATAAACAAACAAACAAACAAACAAATAAATAAGTAAAATTTAAAAATCAATAAATACCTCCTCGGATACTAAAAAATAAATAAAACTTAAGATCAGAGTCATAGCTCTCATTCCCTCAGAATGTGAGAGAAAGAATTATATTATTTTAAATCTGGAATCTAATATCCAGAGCCACAGATAATCTATATTCCACAATATATTTTCAGGGAAAATCAGTATTTCAAGATGAATTCTGCCTGAAGGCAGCATTTGACTAATTAAAGATTATGTGTGGATTAATGGCCATCATAAACTCAGCCTGCCACTTCACCTATATAGCTGGTAAGTAGTAGTTTTTCTTCTCCAAGGAGCTTTGGCTCATTTCCCTTCATTGCCTTCCCTTCTGGTTACCCACATATGCTGGTCTCAAGACACCTCTCATTATTTTCACTTTTCTTTTCTTACCCAAGTTCATGCTTAAATTCATCCTAAAATTATTTGTAAAGCAGGCTAAAGATGACTTCTGTCATAACTCAGCACAAATAACTTTTTCCTCATTTTAAATGCAATAGAAAATATTTATACAGGCGGATAAGAGATTGAAATCATCTATAGTTTCAAAGATACCACAACACCAAATAAATGCAAAACCACTCTTAACATTTTAATACACTGAATTCCAGATACTTCTGTCCACTCTCCCTATTTTCTATAAGAGGATGTAGAAGAGGGGATGAAAACTGAGGTCATATTTACAATTTTATTTGCAACATTTATTTTAAAATGTTATGAAACGTTTTGTGTATCAATATGTGTAGATCTGCATTAATTTACTGGCTTATGGTATTCTATTACACATTTATGCAATGATTTTAGCAAGTCTTCAGTTGATTACTCAGGAAATTTTTCTGTATTTTAGTTGTAATTCCAGTTTGGTCCTGAGAGCGTGTCCATGCAGCATCTACTTACTCTGCCGCCATTTTTAATCTTCCCAAGTGAGATATCTGCAATGATTTTAAATAATTTGACAATTCACTGCTGTTTTCTCATTTTTTTTGTTTGTTTTTTTTAAAAAAAAATGGTGTGATGAACATTCTTGCACATGCAATTTTTATGCATCTGGTTAGCCCTAAGGATGTTCTTAAGACAAATTATTAAAAATGCCTGGTATCCATGATTGTGATCTTATCTCCACTAGTCTTTTTTCAAAAGAGCAGCTAAAATAGTCTTTTTTTTAAATATATATTTTATTGATTTTTTACATAGAGGAAGAGAGAGGGATAGAGAGTTAGAAACATCAATGAGAGAGAAACATCTATCAAGTGCCTCTTGCACACCCTACTGGGGATGTGCCCGCAACTAAGGTACATGACCTTGACCGAATCGAACCCGGGACCTTTCGATCCGCAGGCCAAAGCTCTATCCATTGAGCCAAACCGGTTTCGGCTAAAATAGTCTTTTAAAAGGGAACCAGATCTCAACACTCCCACTGCTCAAAGCACTAACAGTCCCCCAACTCACCTAGAAAAGGCAAAAGCCTCACAATAACCTATAAATGGACTCCTGACTGATCATTTCCCCTATCACTCTTCACCTGGTTCACTTTACTTCAGCTACAAGCTAAGCAGCAGTTTTTGCACTGGATGTTCCCTCTGCCTACAACATTCTTCTCCCACAGATATGCACACATGGCTTACTGCCTCACTTCCTCCAGGTCTATACTCAAATGTCACCTCTACTCCTTTTCCCCTTACCCTACTTACCTTTTCTCTATCATACTTACTGATCTTCATCTACATGAGTTGCATGTTTTAAATTTTTTCTTATATCTAGTAAATTATGGAGACCTACTATTTAAGTAGTTAGTGTCATCAAAATTTGCAGTTTCTAGTTTCATGGTTTTTCTGCTTACTTAATAAACCAGTTCAAATAAATTAGTATGTCTAACGCTGTGGTCAGCAAACTGCGGCTCATGAGCCACATGCGGCTCTTTGGTCCCTTGAGTGTGATTCTTCCATAAAATACCACAGCCTGGGTGAATCTATTTTGAAGAAGTGGCATTAGAAGAAGTTTAAAAAATTTGGTTTTCAAAAGAAATTTCAATCATTGTACTGTTGATATTTTGTTCTGTTGACTAACAGTTTGCCAACCATTGGTCTAGCTCAAGTTATTACTGTATAATCTTAATTTAATTTAAAATTATTCCCCTCTCCCAAATAATGCACATAATGCATTCTCAGTTTAACCCAATGGAAACCCCTTACTACATCTGCAATAAAGGCAACAGTACACTCTGCTGCTCCCCTCTTGCCAATGTTCTAAAGAAGAGTCCAAAACAACGCCATAGCTTTTTCCAAAGAACTCTCTGTGCAAAATCCAATTTCCTTTTCACATGGTAAGCATTTTTAATACCCATGATCTAGCTGAAGGATACAAAATACATGGAACCAGCTCCTTTGAAATCTCCTTGGTAAATTCTATATATAGGAGGTCTGCTTTACTCTCATTTTGGTATCACATATATATCTTCTTATTGCTTCAAATAAAAGTGACTCAGGAAGAATGGCATTTAACATCTTGTCATACCAGTTTACTGGTTATTATCTATCTCTCCTGATCTGTTCACTTCTATATTCCAAGCACTTTACACTGCCTGTAACATTATAAGCACTCAACAAATATTTGTTAAATTAATGAATAAAATTTTAAATTGCTATTAAATGTACAAAAAAAATTAAGCCTGCTGATTCATACTTCCAAATTGCTCTCTAGTAAGATAATACTAATTGTACTCCCTTCTCTTTTTTTAAAAATGTATTTTATTGATTTTGTACAGAGAGGAAGGGAGAGAGATAAGAGTTAGAAACATTGATGAGAGAGAGTCATCGATCAGCTGCCTCTTGCACACCCCCTACTGGGGATATGCCCGCAACCAAGGTACATGCCCTTGACCAGAATCGAACCCGGGACCCTTCAGTCCCCAAGCCGACGCTCTATCCATTGAGCCAAACCGGTTTTGGCTCCCTTCTTAACAGTATAAAAAAGTAGCTATTTTTCCACTATAATAGCTATTATTCATCCTCTTTATGGACATTTCATATTTCTTGATTTCAAGTGAGATCAATCAGCCATTAATAGGTTTATTACTCATAAGTATTGCCATTTAAAATGTTTCTCCTCATTGTCCATTTCTGTTCACTATTAAGATATCTGTTCTTTTCTAATTAATTTTTAAGACCTCATTTTAAAAAAAGGATTAACCTAAAATTGCAAATATTTTGTCTTCCTTCTTATTTACAAAAAAAATTTTTAATCCTTATTCAAAGGTATTTTTTTCCATTGTTTTTTTTTAGAGAGTGTAAGTAAGAAAGGGAGGAGAAAAGAGAGAGAGAGAGAGAGAGAGAGAGAGAGAGAGAGAGAGAGAGAGAGAGAGAGAGAAATTCATGTGAGAGATATCTCGCACGTGCCCCAACCCTGGCAGAGGATCAAACCTGCAGCCCAGGTATGTGCCCTTGACCAGGAATCGAACCTGAGACATTCACCAGCAACACTCTAACCACTTAACACCACTGGCCAGGGCTACAAAAATATTTTATTGCTACAGTAAAAACAATCAATTTTTTCCTTTCTTTTCATTTCCTTTCCTTTCAGTGTCAAGTTCTGGTATCATGCTTAAAAAGTCTTTAGTTAACTCTAGAGCAACACTTTTCATCCCAGAGCAATAGAACATAAAGACAAATGTTAGCCATATATGTGACTTAAAATTTCCCAGTAGCCACATTTAAAAAAGTAAAAAGAAACAGGTGAAATTAATATTTTATTTAAACTAATATATCAAAAATATTATCATTTCAACATGTAATCAATAAAAAATTGATAGGATAATTTAATTCTTTTCTATGTGCTAAGTTTTTGAAATCTAGTATGTATTTTATATCTACAGCACACCTCATTTCACGCTAGCTACATTTCAAGTGCTCAACAGTGATATGTGGCAAGTTGCTACCATACTGGACATTGTAGTTCTGAAATATAAAAATTTACTTATGTTTTCTTCTAATATTTGTTTCATCGTATAGAAATTTAATTTGTTCTTCCTTTGACCTTTATTTTGGTGCCAGATATAAAACAGACTCTACCTTCATTTCTCTTCCATAAAGCTAACAAGTTTGTCCCACTTATGTGAAATGCCACCTTAAATATTAAACCTCCATGTATAACTGGGCCTAATCATGAACCCCAATCTGTCTGTTCTTATATCTTTATCATAAGAACAGACAGATTGGGGTTCATGATTAGGCCCAGTAATACATGGAGGTTTAATAAGAACTGCTTGATCAGTTGTAGCTTTAGAATTCATTTTGCTATGCTAATATCTTTGTTCTTTTTTTCTCTCAGAATTTTCCCATATTTGAGCTTTTAAATGAACTTCATTACTATGCTGAAAAGTAGAAATTCCAATGAAATTTTTACAAAAATTATGTCTAATATATAGATTACTTTGGAAAAAATATAACTGTTCACAACAGAAAAATTTTCACTCAAAAGCATTAAAAGTATCTCTGTCTCCTTTTGTATAATTTAGCAAGTTCTACTGAATGATCTTCATATATGCCTTACACATTTTTTAAGTCTTTTCATAAATGTTTTATTCAACAAGTTTAAATAAAAAAATATGTAGAACATGGGAAATGGTGAATACTCTGTTTATAAAAAGAAAGCATTTCACAATAAAAAAATGTTAGTGTGGTTTTACATAAATTAAAATGCAACTATAATAAAACCATATGGCAGAGGTTTGTCAGTTAATCCCTTAATTAATTGCTTACTTGTAATGCCAAATGCATCTCCAATCCCCCAAGTTAAGACCTGTTTTATCTGGATTTTCATCTTCAGTTGGCTTCTCCAAGTTAGCATTGGACCAGAGTTGTAAACAGCTAGAACCAGTTAAAAGACGATTGCCTAAAAAATATATTTATATATATAAATATATTATTCAGCATTTATTATTTAGGTATTTAGCTAGTGAATTAAGTTCCATACTCAACAATTTCATATAACACTATAAAGATAAAATAACTTCCAAAAAAAAGTCAAAAAACAAAAAGAGATTGGGGGAGTAAAGTTATATATTAATTTTGTTAAAGCAGCTTAGGAAAAAGAGATTTTTATAATCTCTCATTCAACAAACATTTAATGAGTATCTTCTTTGTACTAGGCACTGTGCTAGGCATTAAGCATATAATGAATAATGTCCTTTTTTATAATGAGTTTATATTCCCAAGAGAATATAAATTAGAGAAATATGAACAGAGGCATGAAGACATTTGAATTCAAATACATTCCCAAGAATAGCTTGTAATCTGAGATGGATAAGAAATAAGTTGTATAGTAAATCTGTAAAAATAAATAAGATTGGAAAAAAATCTGAGGTCAGATTATGAAACTTATTAAAAATATATATTTTATTGATTTCTTACAGAGAGGAAGGGAGAGGGATAGAGAGTAAGAAATATTGATGAGAGAGAAATATCAATCAGCTGCCTCCTGCACACCCCCTCCTAGTACATGCAACCACGGTACATGCCCTTGACTGGAATTGAACCTCGGACTCTTGAGTTCACAGGCCGACGCTCTATCCAATGGCCAAACCCGTAAGGGCTATGAAACATTTTTAATGTTCATAAGGAGTTTGGAGTTTATTATAGATCTTGGAAGTTAAAGATTTTTAAGTGGGAGGAGGAAGTTCATATAAATGTACCTGTATTTTAGAACAAGGGGTCTCAACTGGGGGAAGGGTTATCAACAGAGATTTGAAAAGGCCTGTGAACCTCTCTTCATTGAGGTATACAAGTTATGTCTAGTATGTACATTTTTCTAGAGAGATAATCTGTAATTTCCACCATACTATCAAAGATTCCAGTACACACAAAAATGTAAAGATCCATTTTAGAAAATAACTCTAGTGATAATTATTTTAAAATAACTCTAGTGATAGTTATACAAGGTTAGGGAAAACATAGGACAGAGAAATCTGGTTAACCTACTGTAATAATACTGATGGGAAATCACAAGGACCTGAATCAAATATTAAAGACAAGGACTTGAAAGCCATTTCAAAAGTAGAATTTTCAAGGCTGAACACCAATATAATAGGTTTCAGGTAGAGATTTCAACTTTATGACTTGGATAACTAAGTAGAAGATTGTGCCATAATCCAAACATAGAAGATAGGGGAGGTGATGTAATTTTTGCAAAAAAGCTGACAATAAATAAAGCATTCACCTTAGCAACTAAGAACTACAGACTGGTGTCTCTCTGGAAACATGATTTTATTTAGAAAGGAAAGTGGATCTATGGCACATAGACTTTAGAAATCCTTGTGTCTTAATTCCCAACTAAGGCTCTTAATTAACCATGTAAATTTGATCAAGTTGAAAAGCCTTTGAGCCTGAATTTTCTCATCTATAAAATTAAAAGTTTGTATAGTGTTATTGTAAGGATTACCTATAATATGTATAAAGTATTTAGCATAGGCTAGGTACTTAGAAAAAGCTCAATAAATAATAGCAACTATGGGGAAAGTCTCACAGGCAGATAAAAACAGTCCAGAAAGTAATGAGACATTCGATTTAAATATGATTTATATGGCCCGAGAGTCTAGATGGTTTGGCTTTGTAGATAAGAATGTCGGCCTGGTGAATGAAGGGTTTGATTCTAGTCAAGGGCAAATGCCAAGGTTGTGTGCTCGATCTACAGTAGGGAGCATGCAGCAAGCAGCCAGTCAAAGATTCTCCCTCATCATTGATGTTTCTATCAATCTCTCCCTCTTCCTTCCTCTCTGAAATCAATAAAAATATATTTGAAAATAAATAAATGTGATATTCCACTGTTTAACTTAATAACAGACACAAGTTTTCCCTTTTTTGGAGATATAATAATTGTCATATAACATTATTAGTTTCAAGTGTGTAACATGATTCAATATTTGCATGTACTGAAAAATGATCACCCCAATAAATCTAGCTAACACCCACCACCACACATGGTTACAACTTTTTTCCTTATGATGAGAACTTTAAAGATAAAATACTCTCTTTGCAACTTACAAATATATAATACAGTACAATACAGTATTATTAACTATAGTCAGTGCTGTACATTACATCCCCAGGACATTCTTTATTTTATAACTGGAAATTATTAACATAAACTAAAAATAAAGTTACCCAATGAAGGATTAAAAATTTAATAAAGAGTGCAAAATAATTAATCCTAAGTATGGAATGACATAAAAGTAGGTAATGTATGGTATAAAATATATTGATTTAAACACAAAGGGCAGAGGTATAGATATTAAAATTGGGGTGGGGGGTGACATAAGAAGCCTAAGACAGAAAATCTTATGATTTAAGCAAGGTGCAATAGTGATTTCAAGACAACACAAGAGGATTATAGTCAATTTACTAACATCAACTGAAAAATTTTCTTTATATCCAAATACCTGGTACATATATAAATACGGAACAAAACCAAAATACTAGTATTTCATGTAAAATATTAAAAATAATTTTATAAATAATTACAAAGTTCATTTGCAAAAGTAATAATCATATTATTTATTTAATATTTAATAGTTATAATTTATTTAGTATAGCTGTAATCTATTCCTCAACCAATTTCTAAACTTTAAAGTTTTTAATAGTAAAAAGAAAAATAATGAACTTCTATATGAATTTTAGCTCAATCACAGTTAAAAAAGATAATGGTCATGAGCTGCCGTCAAGTCACTATGAGATAAGTGACATTAAAAAATAAGTCATCTAATACTACTATTGTAATTATAATTTTAGAGGAATTTAACATTAACACTATTCTCTAAAATAGTAGTCAGCAAACTGCGGCTCACGACCTGTTAAGACCTGTTTAGGTCTTAGTCAACATACAGGTCTTAGGTGACCCTGCTGGCTTTTCTCAATCTGTTGGTCGGAAAACACATATATTTACATTATAATTTTCCATTTGAAAACACAGATATTTACATTATGATTCATAACAGTAGCAAAATAACAGTTACGAAGTAGCAATGAAAATAATTTTATGGTTGGGGGTCACCACAATAATTCTTTCAGACAATTAATAAGAATTAAAGTCAAATCCCTTACCATGACTTTAAAGGCCTTCTATAATAAGCTGCAATCTTATCTCATCTCCAGATTCACTCCAGCCTCAATGAAGTACTAACCACTATTAAAATCTAACTTACATTTTCTTTCTTTGTGCCTCTGTTCATTGTGGTAAGTTGGTAAAAATGGTTTGGGATAGTTTTTAAATAAATATTTAACTTGTACATATGTACATTAACTCTCCTTAGAATTCTCTTCTTTTTCCCACCTATATCTACCCCCACCTTCATTGTTAAATCTATCTACTTTCAGGTCCTCTTCAAGCAAACTTGGACTCTTTAAAGAGAATTAATGTCACCTTCCCAAAACAAGATTCCTCCTATAGCTGGCACATTCATTTCATCATAAGTTCTAAAAGAGTGCAATCTGTTTTATTATTTTTGTGTTCCCCACAATCTCACAAAAAGCAGAAATGAAATACATGAAAATAATAAAAGCAATAGTGTAGGCAAGTGATATTTCATTTCCATTAATCCTATTTGTAAATTCTTACCTGCTGGATCCCAAGTTATATTGTGAGCTATTGATTCCAGAAAAAATTGACCATTTTTCTGCCACTGACTATATAATTCCTAAAATTAAAAAAAAAGTCATTTATCGAATTATTATTGGTACATTTTCCCTGACAAGAATATATATTATCATCATTGTTACTAACACATGCAGTCATTTTTAAAAACAAAATGTTCAATTCTGTCAAGAAAAATAAGAAAGCATCAACTTATCAATCAGGAGGCCATCTCTTGATTTCTAGTCAGGACACATGCCCAGTTTTCATCAATCACCAATAGGGGGTGTGCAACAGGGCAGCTGAGCAATGATTCTCATAATTGATTTTCTATTTCTCCCTTCCTCTCAAATCAAGAAATATTTTTTTAAAGAAAAAATAAAGAATATGTGATGGAAATCAGTGAGAGAATATCCAGTCCTGGAGGTTCAAAAGTCTTTCTTTAGTATATTTAAACAACCAATGAATATATATCATTTTGGACAATATTCTTATTGACCTCAGACTTTTAAAATATAATTATTACTTATTTATTAATATTGTTACAAAGACTCAATTTTAAATATGCCTGTGTCTCTACTTCTGGAGGCTTTTTTTCAGAGAGGAGGAGAGAGGGATAGAGAGCTAGCTCTTTTTATTTGTTTTTATTTTTATTTATTTATTTTTAAATACATTTTATTGATTTTTTTTTTTTTTTTTTTTTTTTTACAGAGAAGAAGAGAGAGGGATAGAGAGTCAGAAACATCGATGAGAGAGAAACATCGACCAGCTGCCTCTTGCACACCCCCTACCGGGGATGTGCCCACAACCAATGTACATGCCTTTGACCGGAATCGAACCTGGGACCTTTCAGTCCACAGACCGACGCTCTACCACTGAGCCAAACCGGCTTTGGCTGGAGGCTTTATTTTTTAATGTTTTTTTCCAGATCTGAGATGATATGGTATGCATAAAAATTCAGAATAAGAGATGTAACACTTGCATTATAATGTATAATTTAAGTCTTTTTATTCCTTAAAGAAATAATTTTCAACTTTTTTACCTGAAAACCCAAGAAATATATGTTGCACTGTGACACAAAATACACAAAGCATACACATAAATGCAATCTTAAGTAATCTATTTTTATTACATGTGATGCCCTCTAACATTTTCTATTCCACTTCGTCTTCTTTTACATTCAGGCTATGGCCTACTAAGTTGACTTTACTAACCTCTAATACTTTGAGAGTTATAAAAACTTTCTCAATGAATTAGTTCCAAATTTTAATACAAGAATAGGCTGGATGCTTATTAAAAATTCAAATTTCTAAGACCCATGTCCAAAGGTTCAGGATCAAAAGATCCAAGATGGAGCACAGGAATCTGCACTTTAAATGAACCCAGAAGATTTTGATACAGGTGGCTTGCAGTATATGTTTTTATAAAAAATTGCCTTGCAGAAATAGTTCTCAATCACGGTATACATGAGAACCCTCTCTAGAACTAGACATACAAGTGCCTAGACAAAACCCACACCTCTAAATTTAGAAATCCTCAGAGTGGGGTCTGGATATATCAGAACCAGTGATTCTGAAGAGTACCTCTTATGAAAAACCAACATCTTAAAAGACTATTCCAGATGGTATAAAGAAATGGAAACAATATATTTTTATAAGGATCTAAACATTCTCTGAGATATATTCTGGAATAACAGATTTTATGTGCCTTCCAAGTCTTGATTTTTTTCCCATCTGATCTAGTTTTCCCCTTATTCATCAAGCTTTCTTTACCCTCTCTGGAAAGTCAGTGCTACCTACCAATAAACGAGCTTGTTCTTAATGAGTTTTTGACACTGTTATATTAAACAATCATATATCAAGAGAAAAATGGGCAAAAATTGAAAATCTCAATTCTACCCTTACTAATATAGAACTTTTAATATAACACAAATGTTAAAAGTCAGTTATTCTATTTAATAAATATACTGAGTATTATTTGAAATACATTGTTCTGAGAGGAGTGGCCACTTTTAAAATTTCTTTTTAGTACTATCAATTATTAATTCATAAGGCTATAAGAGCTTCTAATATTGGCTTCATTAATGTATTAACACAAATAAAAATCAGGAGAGAATTCTGGACTCTCCTTCCATTGAATTTAAAAATGGGTATCAATCCACAGAAAATATTTTTTATTAACACAAGGTAGAGAAAAGAATGTTCTCATCTAGGAATCAATAAAGCTGGTTTTACTCTTAGTTCTGTGGCTTAATAGCTGTTTGGATGGTCAAGTTACATTTCTTTGGGGCCTCTGCTGCTTATTTATAAAGAAAGAAATGATAACCACAAAACTAAGTCAGGAAATATGCAAGATATTAATGAGCTAAGTGAAAATGAAAACTATTAAAAGATGTATAAAGGTATGTCTGTTATTAAAATACTGTTTAATTCTTTACATTTAACAGATTTCTACACAATCTTTGAAATCATGTCATCCTTATAATAGCCCATGAAGAATGGATAGTAATTAATTTCAGAATTGAGTGAAGATCTCATAAAGTTCCTTGCTTAAGATTTAATAGCTAAAAAGCAGCAAAGAAACCATAGATTCTCTGACCCCTAATAAATGCTCTTTGGACCACACTATCCTGATATCCTTTCATATGGTTTAAATCATTAGTTTAATTTCCAGTGGAGATGGGTAAAATCACCTGGCTTGTCATATTTAAAAGCATTAAAGATATATACTATATAACCTCAATATTTATAAACTAATTTTAACCAGCTTTCAGAACTATTAATAGTTTCTTTATTTAAAAAATTCATTGGCCTATTAACAATTATGTTACATGATATAATAAGTGCAAGAAAATAAGTCCTGGAGGTATGTTAAGTCTGCAATTAAAATATGTAACTTTAACATATGTACTACTACTTGTAATACTTTAAACAATAATATATATATGTGTAACAAAAACATACACAAAAAACATGTAACTTTAAGAACAAAATACATAAGGCAGAAAAACTACACAAAATTAGATCACAAAAGCAAAGAATAAAGTGCCACATATGACTAGACAACAATGTCTGCACTAGCAATAACTTTAACTGCCAAACTTAAAGCTGTTGACTCTTCAAAACAGAATAAAAAAATGTCAAAAGGAAAAAAAATATGTCAAGATAATTCGTTGGCACAATTTAATTCTATTTCAGTGAAAATTTTAAACATATTTGTAACATGAAAGTGGCATTTAATTATAGCATAAATTTATACTGATTTATTTGATTTTGTACTCTTAAAAATAACATCTTTCAACACACAAGGTATTTCAATTCCTAAAAAGAAAATGATAAATTACTGACCAAATTTTTCTTTTGCTTCGGAAGAATAACTGGTTCAAAAACAGAGATAACATTTCCATAGGATGCTGCAATCTTTTAAAAAGAAAAATGAAAAGATAAATTATGGATATGTTAACTTACTTATGAATCAAAAGAACAAAAGAAATAATGTAACTTAAAATATACCCACATGTGCAATTTCATGTGCATTTTAATACTTAAGAATGTAAATTTTAGAGACTGCCATATCTAGGATCAGAATCCCACTACATACTATCACTTACTATGTAACTAGTAAGTTAATCTCTCTTAACCTTTGTTTCTCTATCCATATTTATAACATGAATATCTTCCTAACAGAAGTATTTTGAGGACTAAAATAACATTTGTAAATCATCTAGTATCTATCTATCTATAATAATCTATAATAATAAAAGCATGCTAATTAGACCAGAGGTTCTTCCAGACAAAGCCAGGGCTGCGAGGGAAGCCCAAGTCCCAGGTGCCAGAGGGAAGCTGGTGCCAGCAGCTGGGGGAAAGAAGGCCTACTCTTGCACAAATTTCATACATCAGGCCTCTAGTCTATACCAATAAAAGGGTAATATGCTAATTAGACTGGTTCAACCAGACATCTTCCCAACATCCGACTTCTTTATGGACAAAGCCATGGTTGTGGGGGCCAAGACAGAGGTGGTTAAGGGTGATCAGGTCATCAGGGGAGTAAGCTGTTAGAGGCAATCAGGTAGCACAGGGGAGCAAGCAGCTAGAGGAAAGATCAGGCCAGCGCAGAACAACAAGCAGTTAGAGGGTAATAGCGGGGTGGGGAAAGCAGTTAGGGGGTGATCAGGCCGCAGGAGAGGGTAGTTGGGAGCAATCAGACCAGCAGGGGAGGGCAGTTGGGGGCTATCGGGCCAGCAAGAGAGCAGTTAGGTGGCAATCAGGCTGGCAGAGGAATGGTTAGGGGGTGATCATGCCAGCAGACAGAGGCAGTTAGGGGCGGGCAGGCGAGCAGGCAGGCAGAAAGAGGTGTTTAGGGGCAATCAGGAAAGCAGGCAGGCGAGCAGTTAGGAGCCAGCAGTCCTGGATTGTGAGAGAAATGTCCGACTGCCGGTTTAGGCCTGATCCCTGTGGGACAGCTGTCAGACATCCCCCAAGGCATCCCATATTGGAGAGGGTGCAGGATGGGCTGAGGGACAACTCCCCTTGCAGGAATTTCATGCACCAGGCCTCTAGTGTGTGTGTGTGTGTGTGTGTGTGTGTGTGTGTGTGTGTGTGTATGTATATATATATATAAAAGCCCAGAAACCAATAGAACAGAACGATGCAGGAGCTGCCCCCTGGTGGTCAGTGTGCTTCACAATGGGAGCACTGCTTGGCTGACAGGGATGAGCAGCGCTCCCACAGCAGGCGGATCCCTGTAGGCCACGCTCCCCATCAGTACACAAATCCATACACCAGGCCTCAAATGGATAGTAAACATTAATTCCCTTCCTCAACAGAAGAATATGTATTGATGTATTCCTTGTCAAGTATAAAATTTCACATGACTTAAAAATCAGTTTTTAAGTTACCTATCCTCAAAGCTCACAATTCTGTGAATGTAAATGTAACTTTTTAAAAAATATATATTTTATTGATTTTGTACAGAGAGGAAGGGAGAGAGATAGTTAGAAACATCGATGAGAGAGTCATCGATCAGCTGCCTCTTGCACACCCCCTACTGGGGATATGCCCGCAACTAAGGTACATGCCCTTGACCGGAATCGAAACCGGGACCCTTCAGTCGCCAAGCCGACGCTCTATCCATTGAGCCAAACTGGTTTCGGCGTAAATGTAACTTTAAAAAAATAAAACTTAAATATGTTTCTTTGTGAACTCTTTGAAGAGCGTATTTTTCAAATATTCCACTTTATTTGAATGTATTTAAAATTTACTCTTTAAGTCAATAAAACATTACCCTTCCTGGCTCAGTGCATAGAATGTCAGCCTGCAGACTAAGAGTCCCAGGTTCAATTCTGGTCAAGGGCATGTGCCATATCTAGGTTGCAGGCTCCTGCTTAGTCTGGGCCCTGGCTGGGGCACATGCAAAAGACAACCAATCGATCGTTTCTCTCACATCAAAATTTCTTTCTTTCTTTCTTCCACTCTCTCTAAAAATCAATGGAAAAATATCCTCTAATGAGTATTAAAAAATAAATAAATAAATAAATAAATAAATAAATAAATAAATAAATAAATAAATAAATGTATTTGTCACAATAGAGAGATTATGCTTTACTTCAAATTTATATAAGAATGGAATTCTTGAAGATCTCAAAGATACATTTTAGAGAGCAAGGGATTTTGTTCTCTACAATGCATCTTAGATAGCCAAAAGAAATTTATAGCTACATTGCACTTGAAACAAAGCAAGTTTCTAATTCAATAGGAAATATAGTTCAGACTACCCTGGCATAAACCATATTCAAAACTAATTTCATATAATTACAAGATTACAAACCTTGCCTTGTTGCATTGAACAGTCTACACATCCTATTTGAATATTTCCATGTTTAGCTCCTGGGATTATTTGTAATCTTTCAAAATCACTTCCCAGTATAACAATGTCACATCCAGATGCATAAGCCTAAAAAAAAGAAAGAAAAATAAAGTTATCAAGAAAATATTTATCAAGTAAAATACTGGCATTAAATATTACATTTTAACAGATTACTTTAAAAAATTTTTAAAAATCTGTACTATTTAAGAATATTTCCTTTCCTCTCATATACAGTACCATCAGCAAATCCAGTCTTATCTTCTCCAATGAATGCCACCGCCCTTATCTAAGCCCACCTCTTTTCTGCACTATTATTAATAGTCTGACTGCTTCCATTCTTGCGTCCCTCTAATTTCTTTCACCACAAAGATAAAAGTGTTTTACACCAAATAATTTTTCCTGCTTAAAAACCTTCAATATTTTCTTGGAATAAAATCCTAACTCCTCACCATGTTTAGTGCACTGAATCAGAGATGGGAACTTTTTTTTCCTGCCAAAGACCTTTTGGATATTATAACATCATTCATCGGCCATACAAAGTTATCAACCTAAAAATTATGTTTTTATGAAAAAAGCTCTGAAAAATATTGAATTTCAGTCCCACCTGCAGTTGCCGTGGCAGGGCCAGACTAAATAATTAGGACCCAACAGTTCCCCACCCCTGCCCTAAATGATTGTCCCTAATTCTCTACATTTCAAGGTTCTTTCCTTACCTCAATTGGCTCCTGGACTTATATTGCCTTCTTTCTGTTCCTTAGGCATATCAATCTTTTCCATCTCAAAGTGTTTTACCTACCTTTCATTTGCCTAGTCTTTGCCTAGCTAGCTCCTTTTCAACATTCAGCTCCCAGTTCCTCACCTACCTGCTCCCCACCTTTCTTCCATCCTTCTCTCTTTCTCTCTCATCCTTTCCATCACATTATTATTTATTTTCTTTGTAGCCTATACCATAGTTTGTAAATATATTTCTTATTATTCCTTTCTATTACTAAACATTAAGTTTCAAGACAAAAAGGTAGGGTTCAAGTTTATCATACTCAATTCTAAATGAAGATCCTGCTTTATAAATAACCTACATAATAAATTTAAGTATTTAATTTTACAAAGAGAATCACCATAACCAAACAAAATAAAAAGGGTTTAATTTAAAGTTTGTTTGGCAAATAGCTCTTTGTGAATTTTATAATAAAGCAGAACTTTTCCAACCAGAATTCTTTTTGTGGTCTTTTCCACACCTTTCCAGAGAAAGGTAGTTTCTTCAATTACTTGGCCATTCTAAAATTTAATATCGGAATATTAAATTTTCACACCCTAAAATTTAAAACTCACATATTAAAAGTCAGCATGCAGTGTAACACTGTAATGAAATATCTATTACACACTACTTTCCATCCTGATATGTTCCTAAAGTTTTAATAATTTTTCATTTCTCGTCACTTTTGCACATGCACATATACCTTACTTAATGTAAAAAAATATTATACTTAATAGATACTTTATGACTTTAATTCCTACCAAACCCAAAATGGTCCTATTCACAAGCTGACAGAAAATATTAGAAAATGGACTTGGGAGAAGATACAAATAAATATGTTTAGATTATAGACAAGAAAATAATGCCTAAGTAGGTTAATATAACATCTCGGTGGCAGAGTGGATTTGAGAACCCTGATCTATTGATTCTTGATCTATGTTATTTCCACGGCAACACAGGGTCTTTCCTAATTAATCATGCTTGCCTGGAATTTTCCAAAAAGAAATTAGGAATAATCAAGTCTGGTTCCACTAGAGTCACATAATGGAAAAAATTAGCTCAGTAAACAAACAAAAAAATCTCATGATAGTCTGCTTACCTATACAAATATCCACAATAGGATCATAAGGCTTGTCATGAGACTATTAGCAAGAGTAAGTTCCAAAACTTATTTCAGGAAAAATTTTCATTCATAATGTTTTAAATACTTAATATTTTAAAAATTGATTTTTCAATATTAAATTTGGATAAAATATTAATTGTCCCTGGTTTCCCAAAAAAATTGTTTCAAATTCTAAATGTTTACAACTTAGACTCCCTCTTTGTTATATATTAAAAGTCTTCATAATTTTGCTTTCCTTTTGTTATACCAGAAATTATCTATCTACTTTCAGTTAATTGTGTTGCAACTTTTTTTGTAAATAATCATCATTCTAAATTTTCCAGAAGTCTACATTAATCCCGACGTACCTCACCAAATTACTGTTTAATATAACAAATATTAAACATCTGCAGACTTGGAAAATATAAAATTATTTCAGAAATATACTTAGCCCTATAGAGAGGAAGATGCCAACTTATAATACCATTAACCCTAAATCATTCAAAGATTTATCCATTCTGGATTAGCCCTGTCCTTTTGCCTCTGCTATATTATCACTTGACTATTGTCATTTATATTGTCATTTGACTTTTCCTTAGTGAGAATACCACAAGATATAAAGCTGTCTCTAATTTTGATAAACTTTAAATCCAATGAAAATTATTGATCTTCATCTAGAATAACTCTCATTCAGTCCTCACTTGGCAATAAACTAGTAGATGAGGGGAAAAATCCGGATATAATCAGCTGTACTCCACATTTCACAAGTTGATTATTATGCTTGAAGCTTAAAATAAAGATTCTCTTGTTTTCTTACTACAGAATTTAAATGCTTACAGCTTATTTGATTTGTAATTAGATGTAGGATGAATAAAAAAACTCAAACTCTATTTGCAGTTAGTTCTATTTCTTAATCACTCACAAAAAATTGTAACTGCTCCTATAATATCTTGCTATGCATAGAATACCAGTTGAATTAACTATGATATATACTCATACTGGAAAATTATACAGTTGTAAAAAGAATGAGGTAGATATCTATGACAATGGTGTTTTCTAGGGAATAGTATTAAGTTAGGGGAAATACATTGAAGTACAAAAAAAGCATATATAGTATGTTATTTTGTGTAAGAAACAAATTAAATAAGAAAGCATACATATTTCCAAAATAAATAAATAAATATTAAAAAGAAAAAAAGGTTAAAAAAAAAAGAAAACACACGTTTCTGTTTATTAAGAACATATATTAAGAACAGAAACACCGGAAAGATAAAAGTAGGAAACAAAGTTTGTTACCAAAAAAGGTAGGTGGGAAAGGATGGTGTGGAAGGGATACAGGAAAGAATGGCACTTCGTAGTATAGCTTATTATGTAGTGCCAGGGGTGACCAGCAGACCCTGACTACAGATGAATAGATTACTCTAAAACATGTTTCTGTGAAAGAGAGGCTAAGGAGCTGGTTGGCAGGAGGCATCAAAACAGCCTCCACGGCCTGCCTCCTTTGGCTTTTATTGTAACAACAGTTTAAACTAAAATTAACCTCTAGATACAATAAGCAAGGTAAGTATCCTTGAAGATACTCATGCTTCTACAAGGTCAGGTCTAAAAGACTAAACATAGAGATTCCAGCAAAACACCTAGGGGTTCAGATTTGTTTGGGAAAGTCAAGGCACTGGCTTCCGCGTTCTGAAAGGTCCCCCCTAAAAGCCCCTGACCTTTTGGAGAATCCTCCTCACAGACTTTCCAACCAAGTCCCTTGCTTCCCAACAATATAATTATGATTTTTGGAAATATATTAATGTCATACATTTTAAAATTTTAATTCAATCTGGATGGGGAAAAAGGGAAAGCAAGTGAAACAAATGAACTGCATTTCAAGTGAATATTATAGCCACACCTAAAGAAAGGCAGGAACAAATTAAGTAACTTATGAACACAGAATTTCACCATCTATTTTGTCTTGGGCAGCTAGAAGGAAAAAACAACAACAAAACAAAACAAAACAAAAAAACAAAAACTAGTTTTCCTCCAGTGTTTCTTCTTTACTTTCATACTACTACCAAACTCACAAACTTTTGAGTATTGTGTGAAGGAACACACTAAGCAATTCCTCCAGTTTAATTCAATTCTGGCACCACCCAGAGAAAACATTACTAGATTCCAAAGGTTAAGAAGGGCTCAGTCTTGGATGAGACTTCCCTCTACTTCAGATGCTAATCACAAATACTAGGACCCCAGATTATCTACAATTTCTGTCCAATTTAGGTACAAATCAGAGGTTCCCATGACCTTCTCCTCTTGGATTATTTACTAGGATGGTTCACAGAACTCAGAGAAAGTTATGTTTATTAGCCGATAAGGTACGGATGAACAGCCAGATGAAGAGAAACATAGGGTGTGGTCTGGGAAGGTCCCTAGTGCAGGGGCTCCAGTCCCTGTGGAGTTGGGGTCCATCACCCTCCTGGTGCATGGAGGTTTTCTCTAAAATGAAAACTCCCCATTCAGCCAGACTTCAGGCGGTTCTGAATGATGGTTGTTCTGTATTTTAGTTGTAATTTTGATGTGGATGTGGGAAGTCGCTACCACCATTTACCTATGCTGCTATCTTGGTTCTCTGCCACTAAATTCTTTAATAATCCATTTATCTGGTTTTAAATAAAAACTTAAGATATAACACAACACATAATATTTCTAGGATAAAGTCTAAAATGAGTTTTACAGATTTTTCTAACAAATTATTCTCAAAAATTCATTTCAAAGTGCCCTGATAATATTCTGAAAGGCTATCAAACCCTAGAAGCAACATAGTTTATCAAACAAACTGTCATGCTACTTGCTCTTCAAAATTAATATGCATATACTAAATTAGTACTATACCTGTTTCTGATTGTAATCAAAACAATATAAAACTAAAATAAAAATTAAATTGACAAAAGAAAATCTTTATTAGGCACAAATAACATTAAGTTTACTCTCTTTGAGACTAAACAAGATAGCACACATGAGTTCATGTCTACTACCAAGCATATAATTAAAACCTGATTTTTAACTTTAAATTTTGGCAGACAACCTACTATAATATTCCAAATATTCTAAATTTCAAAAATTATCCAAGTCTGTACCAATCAGCATTTTAATTTGGAAATCCTGTGATTCTTGTAAATCCTGTGAAACACTTAGATTTCCTGTGTTTACTATTTTGTTTTCACCAAAACAATCCCAAAGAATTTCTTCCTGGTATATTTTCTGGTTAAATGACTTGCTTTTGGTATGTTGTACTTAACACTGTTCTCGCTTTTAAAAACAATATTAAGAATTAGTATTATTTCAATAATCTAAAAGGCACTTAAGTACTATTTAAAACACAGTATTTGAAAACAGGCCCAATTTTTAAAACCAATCTAATTTAGAACTCGCAATGGCATGAGTACCACAAAAATCTCTTTCTCCAGGTGCAAACATATCAAACTTTCGCCTCCTGTAACTTTTCCACATACAAAGACCCTCCAAAAAAGAATCTTTCCATTCTCCCACCCTTAAAGGTTTCTCTAGAGCAGTGATTTTAAACTGGTGTACTGCATAAGCTTCTTTTCCTTAGATTGTCTAATAAAAAAATGACATCAGGTGGGAATGCAGACTGGTGCAGCCACTGTGAAAAACAGTATGGAGTTTCCTCAAAAAATTAAAAATGGAACTCCCATTTGACCCAGTCATCCCACTTCTAGAAATATATCCCAAGAAATCAGAAAGGATATATGCACCCCTATGTTTATAGCAGCATAGTTTACAATAGCTAAGATTTGGGAACAGCCTAAGTGCCCATCAATAGACAAGTGGATTAAAAAACCTGTGATACATCTACACAATAGAATACTACGCTGCTGTAAAAAAGAACTCTTACCATTCGCAACAGAATGGATGAACCTGAAAAGCATTATGCTAAGCAAAATAAGCCAGTTGTAGAAAGATAAATATCACATGATCTCACTCATTTGTGTAATATAATGAACAACATAAACCAATGAACAAAAATAGATCCAGAGACAGAGAAGCATCGAACAGATTATCAAGCCTCAGAGGAAAAGTAGAGGAAGGTGGGGGGAGGGAGGAGTAAGAGATCAACCAAAGAATTCTATGCATACATATGAGCATAACCAATGGACACAGATACAAGGGGGGTAAGGACATGTGCCGGAGGTGAGAAGGGCCGGGGAGAAGTCTATGGGAGAGAAAGAGATATGTAATATTTTAAACAACAAAGAATTTTTTAAAAAAAACAAGAGACAGGTGTGAATGCCTGTTTTGAATCATAAATACTTTATGTAGGTCATATAATAAAGTTGTATTTTATTGGTCACATATCATAATAAGTTTGTGTCTGATTCGTTAATTCTTGGTACCAGAAATCCTTATATACAAGGATTATAGGCATCTGGTTCTTTAAAAAGTCACCGTAGTGAAGATGGGTAGAAAATTAGCATTATTGTTTTGTTTTGTTTTGGTAAAGCAATCAAAATTACATCTATTTTTTTGTTGTTGTTGTTAGACTGGCAAAAAATATATTTTTTGGTGTGTTGCCAAATTTTACTAATTAGTTTATGTGTGCCCTGAGATGAAATAGGTTTAAAATCTCTGCTTTAGAGTGAACAAAAGAAAAAGTTAAACTAAAGGATGGTTACTATGACAGAAAGTTGAGAAAGGAGAATGCCAATTAAGCCTCAGTTCTCTACCAACAGCCAGATAGTTGCAGTCAGTTTCTTGACTTCGAATCTGAGTCCCTTTGGCTGGGAACACTGGTTTTTCTCATCCAAAAGGGAGCCTGTCCTATATAACATGCTTCCTTTCAGAACTAAGGTATATAAATTCCATAGTAGACACAGAAAGTAAAATATTAAGACAATCTTGGAAATTATCTCCATCTTTCCATTTCATTCAAAACAGTTTCAACACTACTAGTATGTATGAATAAACTACAAAATGGGGTGGGAGGAGGGAGGAGAGAAATTTAAAAAGTGTAAAAGAACTTGTCCTGGATATACAACTAACTATAAGAGATTGGGCTGGAAGTCAAACCCAGGTAATGACTCTTGTATTAGGTCTCATCAGTACTTCAATCCCTATGCTAGATACAATGAAACCATGGAAGACGTACACAAAGCAACATTGGTTAATGATATAATGAAAGTGCAAATAAAGTGCTTTGAAATTATGAGATATGGTCACTGCCTACTAAAAGCTTTCATACTAAGAGCAAAGTCAAAATAGTTTGTTGCCAGTTTAAGTAGTAAAAAAGTATCTAATTCTTGGATATACTAACTTTGTTTAATAATGGCATATTTTAAAATGGAAACTCCAAGAAAACATGCATTCAATTTCATTTCAATTTACCAAGTAAAACCTGTCACACTTTATTGTGAAAATAGGATCTCATCTCCTGTAATCTTTTGAAACAAGAACATCTGAGTTATCTACAAACATTCAAAGTGGCTAATTACAAACACAGTACTGTCTTCAGAGAAAGCATTCCATACCAAGAGGAATAGAAATTCTTCACGGGGGCCTGCAAGAGGGAATCTCATGACCTTAACTCAAGTAAAACTAGAATTTAGAGAATTTTTTTTAGTCTGCACAAACCATGTACCGTTAGTGTTTGCTATTTTCCTATTTAAAAAAAAAAAATTCAAGGAGTAAACAATAAATAGATTTACTTTCAACATGAAAGAAAAATAAACGATTTCAAGAAAGGTAAATTTAAGATATATACAATATCCAGGAAATCAGGGGCAAGAAATTTAGTTTATAACAAAACTATCAACTTAATGTTAAAAAGTCAGGGATAGATTGGCTGCAAAGGAAACAGATGATTAGTAATCCTTAAACTTTCACCAAAACTGTGTCTCTTTACACTAAACAAAAAAAATAAAAGTATTTTTACTGTATTTATTGCAATATTTCCTGAGACCTGGAGACTAAAGCCTGTTCTATGGAAATGGACCAAGAAGCTACATGATGGTGTGGAATGACTATATGAGCTTTGGTACACTCACTTACCTCTCCTTTTAAATAACATAGGGGCATTCATCAAGGTTTTATATACACTTTAGATGGATCATCTAGGTATATAAACCAGCATATTATATATGCTTTGAAGTAGATTACATAGGTTCTTTTTTTTTTTTTAATATAGTTTTACTGATTTCAGAGAGGAAGGGAGAAGGAGAGAGACAGAAACATCAATGATGAGAGAGAATCATTGATTCACTGCCTCTTGCATGTTCCCTACTGGGGATCAAGCCCAGAAGCAGGGCACGTGCCCTGATCATGGTTCCTAAGGTAGGCGCTTAACCACTGAACCACGCCAGCCCAGTGATTATATAGAGTTCTTAGGCTTAACATAGAAGGAAGCACTCATATAACTTTAGGAGATAGCTGAGAAGGCAATCTCCTGCTAGGAAAACCTCCTTGAGTCAATGCTGTTTACTCTCTCCCTCTACATAGCAAAAGCAGAGAGCAATGTCCAACTACAGTTGCTCACTGAAACCCTCAGAACCCACTCTTCTGAGTATTCTGGGTTAACATTTAGAACTAGAATCTCTAAAAATGCTAGGGTCAAGTGCAAGCTAAGGTGTGCATGTGTTATTCTACAGGGGAGGTACAGACTCTATTTTGAAGCAAAATATTGGTTGGCACAGATCTAAAAACACAACTTGAGAATTAAATGCCTACACCATGTAAAATAATGACTATTATTTGTTCTGACTGTCAACGACCACAAAAAAAGGTTAAAAGTGGACAGAAAGAAATCATGGATATCTATCAACTCTTTACTTTATTTCTCTTATATATGTAAACTTCTAATCCCAACTAAGTCACAGTCACACAAGTTGTAGCAGAAATCGTCAGCATTGAAAATACGTTTAGATATAGGGTATCATGTGAATACTGACTTTTAATTTGAAGTTATCACAAAAACTATTATTAAGGCATAAATTTCCACTATCCTCCTAGTAAGTAGGCAGAAATTTGGAGTCCTCTTACTTCCAATAGTTGAGTAAGACTAATAAAAAATAAATCACTTTTCAATACACCTTAACCTTGGATCACTGCTACACAGCAAAAAGGGGGTTTTACTGAAAAACAGGAATGCAACCTTTAGCAGTCCATGGGAACAATCTAAACTAAGTTTCCCAGGATTACTAAACTGTCACATACGGAAATTCAAAGGGCGTCAAGAGTAAATTATTTATACACAATATATATATATATTACTTTCTAGTTATACCTCAGAAGAATAAATGAGAAAGCACTGCTTTCACTTTGGTTTTAACCAGCTCTAGCTGTTAACAATTAGTAACTATGTGGAGACACCCACTCATTCTAACTACAAGGCTACTTGACCTTAACTTAGAATAAGAAATGAAATCCACCCAACTATTTCTCAACTTGACCATGTTAAGCCTATGGAGTAGGATAATGAAAAGCCTCCCCTACCCCCACCCCACACACTCAACATTACACAATTTTTGTTTAAACGACTTTGCCAAACCACCCAGCCCAAGGACGTCAGGCTGAACACTTAAAACACCTACAGAACATCCTCCCGGGCGCAGGCTCCGCACAGTAAGGACCCAAGGACCAAAAGGTCTTTTCCGCCTTCCCTCTCGCGGCCAGGTGCGCCCGGGACGGGGGCCGGGCCCCCGAGAGGATCTGCGGACCCTCCTCCCCCCGGGGCGGGAGCGGAGGCGCGTTCTCGGCTCTGCCCGTCCTTCCAGGCCGAGACCCGCGGACTCAGGGACGCGGACCCCCGGCGGGCGGCCGCGGAGCCTCCCGGACTCACCGTGAAGCGCTGGTCGCCGACGCTGCCCACGGAGAAGCAGTGGTCGCCAGGGTTCACGGCGCCGGTCAGCACCTGGTGCAAGTTCATGTCGGCGCCTTAGTGCAGCCACGGACACCGCGGCCGGCTCATGCCCGGGGTCCGCGGCGGCGGCTTCCCTCCCTGCTTCCGTCAGGGGCGGCGGCAGCGATCGAGGCGGCGACGGGCGCCCGGAGCTGGAGCCGCGCAGCCGGGGGGCCCGCAGCTCACGCCGAGCCCGGCGGGCGGGCGAGGTCCGGGGGGGGCGGGCCGGCGGGCGGGGCGCCGCGCTGCTCCGCGCACCTGTCACAGCCCGCGCAGGCCCAGGTGGAGCTCGTCGACCCGGGGCTGCGACGCTCCGGCCCGGAAGGCCGCCCCTGCACACGCTTCTGGGGTCCGGGTGGGTGGATCTCGCAGTCGCATAGGCAGCACCCGATCGCCCTCCCGGCCGAACCAGTTCCTCCCCGGCTCCCGGGTCCGCCACCCCGATAGGCCCGGGCCGCTCACTAGGCGTCGCTAGGTCGAAGTATCGCGAGACTTCCCGCGGCGTATGAGAGGACTGCGGTAAAGGATTCACTTCTACACCGCAGGACAGTATACAGACCAGCAAGTGGATAGGAAAACGCCTCTTCTCGTCAGATGCTGGCCAATCCCGAGCGCCAGTCAACCCAGGGCTCCGCCCACCGCGGAGGACACGCCCCAGGGCTCCGCCCACCACGGGGGACCCACCCATCTCGCTGAGGCTGGAGCGTCGCTCTGCCCAGATGAGGGTTGATTATTAAGGAGCCTGGTAGAAATATAACGAGCCTAGAAACAAGTGACAGCTTTCAGGTTATTCTTTAGCCGAGGGCTTTAACCTGACTGTTGCGCCAGAAAGTTTAAAAGGTAGAAGTGCGTTGGAAATGGAGTTGCAGAGTCTTCGGCCGCGGTAGAGACTACAAGTCCCAAGAAGCACCGCTCCCCGCCCGGGGCGGCTCCTGAGGACTCCGAGTCCATGTGACTCAGGCGGCGTCTCCGTCACAGCATAATAGTTTCTGCATTTCCAACTCGCCAAACAGGATGGTTGTGAAAGGTTTAAACATTTGACAAGTACTAGGATGTTTTCACCTAAGTCCACCTTAAACACGCGTCTGCAATAATCCTGCGCCAGCCCTAAGCATTCCAAAATGATTGGTATCATAGTTAACCACTGTGAAATTCCAACTCTCCTTGTACTTCGACACAAGTTTTCTATTATTATTACTGACGAACATGTGTTTATATGTGTCTCCTCTCATATACTCTGAGTCTCCTAGGGACACATCGTGTCCTGCTTGCCTCGGTATCCTCAACAATCTAGCACAGTGCCAGTTCCAATTTATAAGTGTTGAATGGATGTAAACAGGAACTCTCCACCTAAAGAGTAGTTTTTAAAATTAATCAATTTAGTTTTATACACTGAGCGGAAAAAAACAACAACACTGATTCTTAGATGGAAGGAGTACTATTGATTTTATTTCATTTTGCTTTCCTTAAGTTTTTTTGCAATGTACACTTTGTTTTAAAGTAAAAAGTTACTTTAAAAACGAGTCTGCCTTAGCCGGTTTGGTTCAGTGGATAGTGTCAGCCTGCACACTGAAGGGTCCCACCTTTGATTCTGGTCAAGAGCACATACCTAATTGGGGCTCAAGTGGAAAGCAACCAATCGATGTGTCTCTTTGTCCTCCTCCCTTTCACTCAAAAAAAAAAAAAATTAAAAATTAAAAAATGTAAGAGCCATCTCCCTTTTTTAATTTGGAAGGTGTAAGTGAATCCCATTATTTATCCCAGTTTCTTCAGAAAAATGTGGCACTTCAAACTTAATTTGTCATTTAAGAAAAACTATTGAGTTCAAACATAGTTACAGTTTAATTTGTATTTTAATTATTGATCCAATTTGTATTTATTTTAGTCCCTAAATCAAGAATTTTCTGTGGCCTACATAAGTTTTGTGTCTGGCTCGGAAGTTTTTTACTCATTCAATTCTGCTAGTTTTTGGCTTTGAAAGGCATGCAGTATTATGGCAGAATAAAAGAAACTACATGACCTAATAGTTAAGAAATCTGAGATCTACCTCTGATCTTTCTGTGTGACCTTGGAAAGTCTGGTTAATTTTAAGGCTCATTTCCCTTATCTGTAAAATTAACAAGTTTAACCTGATTATCAACAACATTTTGATTGTCTTTTTCACTCCTGCACACTGTAATCTATTAGTTTTTATTAAATTGCTTTAGCCGCAAGATAGGGTACCTGACTTTGAATCCTGGCCTAACTACTCAGACAAATTATTTAATCTCTCTGTGATTTACTTATCTATAAAGTGAAGATAGTAGTAAATTTTTAAAATATAATTATGAGGAATAAATGAGAACAGTGTTTAGAACATTGCCAGAAGTTAATGAATGTTAGCTACTTTGTAAGTATTACTCTTAAATAAACCTAACATTTTGAGATATACTTACTCTTTCTAAGGTTTTCCAAATAGTGTCAAACTCTAGTCTGAATCAAACTTTCTGGGGATGTTTAAGAGTGCCTCAAAAGCTCTTGAGGCCATGCCAATCTTCTGTACCTAAAATTATGGAACTACAAAAGCTAGTGGAAAGCAAGGACATTTTTTTAAGCAAGGATATTCTTTTGCCTATGTTTAGTGTCAACAAAGAGTTGACTAGGAATTCCACTGGCAAAAAAATAATTTATTCAGGAAAAAGAAAGGATTACAATCCAGTACATACAGTCTTGGTGGGTCACACAGAAGAGAGCAAGAAGGAAGCTCCTATCAGAAGGGAAAAAGAATATTTTTATCGTTATATAAGGGGAGAGGCTGTTGTAACCATAGAGCTCTATTATAAACATTGAGTTCTCCCCACAGACTTTCCAAAGGGATGAAGGGTGTGAGAACTCTTTCCACAGGCCCTCCTGATTCTTGTCTTAGTTAAATTCTCTGTCATGAATTTTGACACCTCTTATTTATCAGAAATACTCTACTACTTTATTAAATTGCCCATTAAACCATCTAACTTTGATTTATAGCAGAATTAACTATTTCAATGAAACAACCAAATGCTATAACTTATCTATTTCTTCCACTGCAACTCCAGCCTATTGTCTATTTTTATACAGCCTTTGAGGTAACAATGGTTTTTCCATTTTTAAATGTTTGAAAAATATCAATATATATACTAATAAAAGCCTAGGTGGCATCATGCCCTCATGCACAATGTCATCACAAGATGGCTGCCACAAGATAGCCACGCACACAGCAGAGGTGGAACCCAGTAGAGGAGGCAAGTCGTGGCAAGAGAGGACAGTTGCGGGCAATCAGGCTGGCAGGGGAGAGCAGTTAAGAGTCATCAGGTTGGCAGGCAGAAGCAGTTAGGAGCCAGCAATCCTGGATTATGAGAGGGATGTCCCACTGCCGGTTTAGGCCCGATTCCTTCAGGTTTAAACCGGCAGTGGGACATCCCCTGAGCGGTCCCAGATTGGAGAGGGTACATGCCAGGCTGAAGGACCCACCCTGCCCTGTGCACAAATTTCATGCACCAGGGCTCTAGTAGAATAATAATATTTCAAGAAACATGAAAATTATATGAAATTCACATATCTATTAATAAAATTTTATCGGAACACAGACACGCATTGTGTCTATGGCTGCTTTCACACTGTACTTGCAGAACTGAGTATTTTCAACAGAGACAATATAGCCTGAAAAGCCAAAAGTCTTTACTATTTGGCCCTTGGAAGAAAAGTTTGCTGATTCCTGACCTGTATGAAGGATCCTCTACTGCTCTATGAGCAATGCAGGTCTCTGCTCAGCAGTATTGTTGTTCTACTGCATGACAACTTAATTAGAAAAACATTTAATGTTAATGATTACACAAGCATCAGACCTGGATGGGCCACCGGGTGAACAATGAGGGGACCCACCGCCACAGACACTCAGCGTGGCCCCACGATGCCCAGGACACCTGTCAATCCTTCCAAGCGCAAAACCTCGAAGCTTCCTCCTGCCCCAGGGACCCTGCCCGCCACTCTGGAGACCACAGGCGACCCTCACACCACAGGGAAGCCGCTGCAGCTTTCTCCAGCCGTCCTCCCATTCATCTGCCTTGTCCGACTAGGACAGGGGCTCGCATCCTGGGCAGAACATAACCCAAGGACAAGCTGGGCTGGATCCAGCCTGTGCAAGCACACCAGTCATCTGTGAATTGGGGATGAGAGCGGATGGAGAGCTGCTCCAGGGTGGGAGCAGGCAAGTAGGGGAATGGGGAAGGCCTGTGTCTCCCCGCCCCCCACCCTCCCCGTCACCTCCCTCCCCCCCACACACCCCTTCAGCACGCTTTAGAAGAAAAGCCTTGCATGTGCACGAATGCACACGCACACATGTAATGCAGCAGTCCCCGCGATGGATCCTCCCCCAACTTGGGGGGGAGGGGTGTTTCAGGTCACTGTAGGCAAGACACAGCTGCATCCTTGCTAGGCCTCTCAAAGCCAGTGCAAGAGGGGCCCAAGTGCCCAAACAGAGGCGGCTACAGGTCTCAGAGAGGAAAGAAGTCAATACTAAGTAAGACAAGACAAAAGTATAGAATTTTTAATTAGGCTGTAAAAAGAGTAAAAGCGTGAGAGGGGAAAGGGAGGATGGGGAAGAAAGGAAGAGGAGGGAAGAACTTTATAAAGGAGTCAGTAGAGAGTAAAGAAGGAAAGAGGATGTATGAGTAAATCCATCCCTTAACACACACAAATCTCAGGGAATTCTTGAATCTAATTATTCTCTGAACTGTAGGTAACTGAATTTTATCATTCTTTCCTTTGAATGCTCAAAGGCTGTGTAATTTTTTTCCTTTAGATTTTTTTTAGTTTCTTTAGTTTTATTTCTAAGAAATAAAAGAGGAAGGGTGGCTTTAAAAAAAGGAAGTCTTTCTTTAAAAGTAAAATTCTGTATATTTTGCATTATTACTAGTAGCAAAATCTCTTAGAAAACCAAAGTGCTGCAGTTTCTGGGACTGGCAGGCCAAAGAGAAGTTAGGCTTTCTTCAGTGCTAGTCTTAAAGGGGAAG